TTGCCAGCATGACTCTTGTCAGAGTTCTGGTTCCCCTTCTGACCGAGGTTTGGAGCTCTGGGAAGGCAGTCGCCTATTACGGACTCAACACTGAAGCCAAACTGGAGATTCCCGGGCAGAAAAGCACCATCAGTCTTAACGCCGCTGTTTTGGCCAGCGCAGTGGGTTGCTCATATTTCAGCCCTGAGAATTAACAACTTGGACATCCACTCAGAGACCTAATTTGAAAGTTGGTAATTACAAAGACGACAGGTGGATAAATTTACAATGATGGGAAGAAACCAGCGTAAAAAGGCTGAGAATACTCAAAATCAGAATGCCTCTCCCTCTACAGAGGATCACAGTTCCTCATTAACAAGGGAACAAGGCTTGATGGAGAACGAGTGCATCCCATTAACAGAATCAGGCTTCAGAAGATGGATAATAAGAAACTTCTGTGAGTTAAAAGAACATGTTGTAGCCCAATGTAAAGAAACTAAGAACTTTGAAAAAAGGTTTGACGAAATCCTAATGAGAATAGACAACTTAGAGAGGAATATAAGTGAATTAATGGAACTGAAGAATACAATACAGGAACTCCGAGAAGTATGCACAGGTTTAAACACTCAAATTGTTCAAGCAGAAGAAAGGCTATCAGAGGCGGAGGTCCAACTTAATGAAATAAAATGAGAAGACAAGACTAGAGAAAAAAGGATAAAAAGGAATGAGCAAAGTCTCCAAGAAATGTGGGACTATATGAAAAGACCAAATTTACGTTTGGTAGGTGTACCGGAATGTGACGGAGAGAATGAATCCAAGCTGGAAAATATTCTTCAGGATATTATTCAGGAAAATTTTCCTAACTTAGAAAAGCAGGACAATATTCAACCCCAGGTAATACAGAGAACACCACAAAGATATTCCTCAAGAAGAGCAACCCCAAAGCACATAATCGTTAGACTCGCCAGGGTTGAAACAAAGGAGAAAATACTCAGGGCAGCCAGATAGAAAGGTCAGGTTACCCACAAAGGGAAGCCTATCAGACTTAAAGCAGATCTCTCAGCAGAAACTCTACAAGCCAGAAGAGAGTGGGGGCCAATATTCAACATCCTTAAAGAACAGAACTTTCAGCCCAGAATTTCATATCCAGCCAAACTAAGCTTCACAACTGAAGGAAGAATAAAATCTTTTATGAACAAGCAAGTACTCAGAGATTTTATTACCACCAGGCCTGCTTTACAAGAGCTTCTGAGAGAAGCATTACACATAGAAAGAAACAACCAGTATGAGCCTTTCTAAAAATATAACAAAAGCAAAAACCATCAACATAAAGAAGAATTTACATCAACGAATGGATAAAACAGCCAGATAACATCAAATGGCAGTAATCCTAAAATTAAATCGACGAAATCCCCCAATCAAAAGATACAGCCCAAACCCAACGGTATGCTACATCTAGACCCACTTCACATGCAAGGATACACAAAGACTCAAAACAAAGGGATGGAGAAAGATTTACCAACCAAATGGAGAGCAAAAATAAATAAATAAAAAGCAGGAGTTGCAATTCTTGTATCTGATAAAATAGATTTTAAAGCAACAAAGATATAGTGGTAAAAGGATCAATGCAACAACAAGAGCTAACGATCCTAACACCCAGATACATAGAGACTTAGACTCAATGAGACAGAAAACTAATAAGGATATCAAGAACTTGAACTCAGATCCGGAACAAGTAAACTTAATAAATATTTATAGAGCTCTCCACTTTAAATACACAAAATATACATTCTTGTCAATACCACATCACACCTACTCATAGGTTTAAATGAAATATTGATTGGCCATCATTAATACCCTTTTTTTTTTAGAATAAAGCAACATTTCCATTCTCTCTCCCTCTTCTTCTTCCTCTTTCTTCCTCTCCTTTACTCTTTTTTTTTCTTTCCTTCTCTCAAAAAAAGAAAAAAATAAACCAACTTGCAGACCTCTAGATCCAGGTTGGCAATGTCTCTCTCATTGCCTGATTTCCTTCCTTCCCTTCTCTCCCTCCCTCCCTCTCTCCCTCCCTCCCTCCCTCCCTTCCTCCCTTCCTGCCTTCCTCCCTTCCTAAAATAAATAAATAAATAAAACAAATCATTTTACTACAAGGACACATGCACCCCAATGTTCATTGCAGCACTGTTTGCAATAGCAAAGACCTGGAACCAACCCAAATGCCCATCGATGATAGACTGGACAGGGAAAATGTGGCACATATACACAATGGAATACTATGCAGCCATCAAAAACGATGAGTTCGTGTCCTTTGAAGGGACATGGATGAACCTGGAAACCATCATTCTCAGCAAACTGACACAAGAACAGAAAATCAAACACCTCATATTCTCACTCATAGGTGGGTGTTGAACAATGAGAACACATGGACACAGGGAGGGGAGCATCACACACTGGGGTATGTTGAGGGGAAATAGGAGAGGGAAAGTGTGGGGTGGGGAGTTGGGGAGAGATAGCATGGGGAGAAATGCCAGATACAGGTGATGGGGAAGAAGGTAGCACATCACAGTGCCATGTGTGTACCTATGCAACAATCTTGCATGTTCCTCACTTGTACCCCAAAACCTAAAATGCAATTAAAAAAAAAACATTACAAAGTGGCAGAAAACCTGATGCTATGAAGAAAACCTGAAAGCTTCCACTTTTGGGGAGTAGTTAGCTTCCAGGTAAGACGTCTGACTACCCAGTTGGAGGAGATATCCTGAGATTACATGGAGAGGGAGAAAAGCTAGCATCCTACTGTTTCAATGCAGCCTTCAGATGACTCCAATCCCAGCTGCCATATGACTGCAACTCCATGAGAACCTCAAGGAAGAGCAGCAGAATTGCCCAGTTGAGACGAGCCAACCCACTGAACTGTAGGAGATGATGACAAAATGGCTATAATTTTTAAAAAATTATTTTATTTTAAGTTCTGGGATACATGTACAGAACATGCAGGTTTGTTACATAGGTATACATGTGTCATGGTGGCTTGCTGTACTCATCAACCTATCATCTACATTAGGTATTTCTCCTAATGGTATCCCTCCCCTAAAATGGCTATACTTTTAAACTGCTAAATTTTGGAACAGTTTGTTACTCAGTAATACACAACTGAAATATGTAATTCTAGTATCTTATTAATAGGCTTGTGAACACTGTAAGGATAGAAATGGAGTCCCTTATGCCAAAACCTAACAAAATTTAGTAGAGAGGCCATAAAGGAGGGGCTCTCATGCATACATGCCTACAATTAAGACTATTACAAAGGCGTTCTGAAAACCACAACCATACACAAAGAACACTTCTGCAAGGATGTCTGCCCAGCAACTGCCTGTTCAACCCTGGACTAATGCCATCCTTGTTATTAATTCTTGTGGTCAAGGATAATCGTTTTAAAACAACTTATGTAAGCTTCCTCATTTTACCTTTAGAAATCCTTGCCTTCCTGGGTATATCTCTGGCCCTTAATGGTTCACCAGGGCATAGGTATTATCAGAGAGCAATTCATCATTCATTCCCAAATAACCTCTTTTTTTTTTTTTTTTTTTTTTTTTAAAGAGACAGAGTCTTGTTATATTGCCCAGGCTGATCTCAAACTTCTGGGCTCAAGTGACCCTCTCACTTCAGCCTCCCAAGTAGCTGGGACTACAGGTGCACAACACCCACACCTGGCTAAACTCATTTTTACTTTATTTTTTCTAAATTCCTTATTCATGCACAGGGTTATTGCTTACAAATATTATATTTGAATTCTGCATTTTACAAATATATACTTATTTTATAAATACATAATGATAAAGATGTTTCCCAGTATTGGCTTAATTACTTTCAGAGTCTGCCAACATTTCAGTTTAGGTAGAGAATGAAGTGGGCTACTGTGGGGAAAAGCAGAGCCATCTCTATCATCTGCAAGATAACATCACAGTATCAACGTTTTTTTTTGAGACACGAGTCTCACTCTTGTTACTCAGGCTGGAGTGCAATGGCCCGATCTCAGTTCACTGCAACCTCCGCCTCTGGGGTTCAAGTGATTCTCCTGCCTCAGCCTCCCAAACAGCTGGGATTACAGGCGCCCGCCACCATATCTGGCTAATTTTTTGTATTTTTAGTAGAGACGGGGTTTTACTATGTTGGTCAGACTAGTCTCGAACTCTTGATCTCAGTCGATCCACCTACCTCTGTCTCCCAAAGTGTTGGGATTATAAGTGTGAGCCACCAAGCCAGGCCCACAGTAACAATGTTAAACTAACCTTCACTAGTCCTTCAATTCCAAATTAGGAAATTTAACTAAAAACTAATACTTTTGTTTTTGAGATGGAGTCTCACTCTGCCTCCCAGGCTGGAGAGCAATGGTGTGATCTCAGCTTACTGCAACCTCTGCCTCCTAGGTTCAAGAGATTCTCCTACCTCAGTCTCCTGAGTCTGGGATTACAGGCGCCCACCACCACACCCAGTTAATTTTTATATTTTTAGTAAGACAGGGTTTCGCCATGTTGGCCAGGTTGGTCACAAATTACTGACCTCAGGTGATCCACCCACCTTGGCCTCCAAAAGTGCTGGGATTACAGGCGTGAGCCACTGTGCTTGGCTTAGCTGCCTTACTTTTATAAGTTTAGTGAAATCCTTCAGAGAAAACAAAAATGTACTCATCCTTGTTATATTTGAAATAAATGTGAAAACTGTAAAACACCAAACTACACCAGCTTGGTGACTGGTACACTTACATATACAGCAGACAGACATTTTACAGAGCTGAAATATTTAATATTTGCTATATATTCATGGCACTATACTATAGTCTCACTATATCCGAAGATTCATATCCTCAAAATAAATTACTATGTTGTACTTTCTAAAGTCAGCATATATAATAGATTACAAATTAAAGGAGAAAAATAATTAAGTCAGATTAACCCATCATCTGGAAAACACATCTTTATCTTATTATTCTGTCTAATAACTAAATGCAAAAGTCTTACCAAAGCTTTCCTATGTTTATAGATGAAATCTTCAGCTGACTTAGCCCATTTGGGGAGAATGACATCATTTACTAATTCTTTGGAAACTTGCAGACGACCCAAGTTAAATTCTAAGACATGTAAAAAGATAATGAATCAAATTATTTTAGATTATAATAAATGAAGTAACACAAACAAAAATGAGGGCATATTCCCAAGCAAAACATACTTTTTCTTTTAAAATTCTCATCTATTTGAGTACATATCAGTTAATTTAAACATAAATAACTAGTTATTACAAGGTAATAATAGTTATTACAAGGTGAATTAGAGTAAGAATTAAGTTGTTTCTTAAGAAATTTGGGGCAAACTGTAGCTACAACCCTCATCCTAATCTGACCAGAATGAAAAATTAAGTTTTCTTCTTACACTTAAAATAATGAGAGGGACACACTCCTTCTAATAGTAAATTTACAAAGCACAGCTCCTTAAAGCTTTTTGGTACACCTCGTACCTTAAACTCATTTACTGGAAGAGTTTTATTTGTCTTACAGAAGAATAGTATATTTACAAACCACTATTCTAAACAGATACTTATATAATAAAGATTTGCTCTATAGTTAGAACATGGTATTTTGATAAAATTTCCCCAAACATGAGGTTTTTTTGTTTATACAACACGGCAGGGGAGAAAGGGGCACTGTTAACACAAGACACTTTCAAGAAAGAAGGCCTTGGGCTGGGCATGGTGGCTCATGCCTGTAATCCCAGCACTTTGGGAGACCGAGGCAGGTGGATCGCCTGAGGTTGGGAGTCCAGGACCAGCCTGACCACATGGAGAAACGCCATCTCTACTAAAAATACAAAATTAGCCAGGTATGGTGGTGCATGCCTGTAATCCAAGCTACTTGGGAGGCTGAGGCAGGAGAATCGCTTGAACCCAAGAAGCGGAGGTTGCAGTGAGCTGAGATCGTGCTATTGAACTCCAGCCTGGGGAACAAGAGACTCTGTCTCAAAAAAAAAAAAAAAGGCAGCCTTAAAATACCAGTGTATCACAAATTGGAGAGAAGTTTAAATGTACCTGAGGTTGGGAGTTTAAGACCAGCCTGACCAACATGGAGAAACCCCATCTCTACTAAAAACATGAAATTAGCTGGGTATGGTGGTACATGACTGTAATCCTAGTTACTCAGGAGGCCAAGGCAGGAGAATCACTTGAACCTGGGAGGCGGAGGTTGCGGTGAGCCAAGATCATGTCACTGCACTCCAGTCTGGGGAACAAGAGTGAGACTCTGTCTCAAAAAAAAAAAAAAAAAAAAAGAAGGCCTTAAAATATCAGTGTGCTGCCTTAAAATACCAGTGTATCAGAAGCTGGAGAGTTTAAATGCCATGACAGGATGCACAGGGTCTTTGGTTTTATGGTAAACTCACCACAGTGTGGCAGGTACTATTCATTGCCCACCTGATAGTCATTCCTCCTTTTCATTTCCTAGCAGAACCTTTATTTCATTCAACTGTCCATCTCTGCCCTATATTTCATGCCATGATCTAGTGGTTGGTATATGACCCAGTTCTGGAGAATGAGGAGAAGTTATGAGAAAGAGTTTCTCACTCTTAGGAAAGGACACATGGATTAGCAGTCTCACTTATATCTAAGATACTGTTGTAGAAATAAGATACTCACTTATTTCTAGATACTTTTAGGCTTATGATACCTAAAACTGTGTTGGGCATTTGTGATCATGAGAGGAACTAGCCAAAGCCAAAATATTCAGAATGGCAGAGTGAAGATACAGAAAAAAATGGCGCTGATGATGCTAAGTTCTCTGAAACTAGCATACCTCAGGATTTTTATTATGGGAAACACTAAAATCTCCTTGTTTGCACAATTTTGAGTTGGTTTTATTAAAATTTTTCCTAAAGGCATTCTGTTTTTTTTTCTTTATTATTCTTAAAAGCATTCTAACTGATTATTTGCTTTCTCCCAAACAGCTCATTTCAAAGAGGCAATGTATAGTTAGAAGTGAAGGCCATCAGGACAATGGTGCTAAAGACAGCAACTAGCTCTGATATAAATTGTTAAGAGTACCTTAAGTTCTCCATCCAAATGTAGTCTGCTCATCTCTCCTATTCTAGATACCTGCGTTAGGAGACTCCAGTCCAATGGCTGACTGAGAGTTTAGGATAAGACTCAGTCAACAAATTTACTTGATTTTTCTGAAAGTCAGCAATTCTGGCTGCCTTACTGTGATGCCCTGCCTCCAACAGCCTGTTCCAGAGCGCATGGTCAAAGTACATTAAGCCCTGGATATGTTCTCCTCAGTATGACAAATAATTGTACTGAATAAATGAAGGGGCCAACATTAACATTTCATGTTAGGGCCAGGAAAAAAAGTTGGTAATAACCCTTTAACCTGTGGAACCTCCCTAAAGAACACCGATAATAAAAATATTGCCAATTTCCTTATTTTAACTTAAAAGTAAATGTAAAAACTACCTCACAGAAAAAGGATTTGGACATTTTAAAAATGTATTAATATTTAACTCCACACTTCTCTACTTTAAAAACATAAATTTTCAATTATTATAGTAACTTATACCCTGTCATAATTTTTAATTTGCCTACTCTTATATGCTCTAAATCAGGAGTTACCAAACATTTCCTATAAAAAGTCAAAGAATACATATTTTTGGCTTTGTGAGTGATATCATATGTGTTACAACTACTCAAATCTGCCATTATGCTTACTTTGACAGCAACCTTCTATGATACAAAAATGAATTGGCTGGTGGGGTATGATGGCTCACACCTGTAATCCGAGCACTTTGGGAGGCCGAGGTGGAAGGATCACTTGAGCCCAGAAGTTGGAGACCAGTCTGCACAACAAAGTGAGACACCCCATCTCTATAGAAAAACTGCAGGCATGGTGGCGCACACCTGTAGTCTCAGCTACGCAGGAGGCTGAGCTGAGAGGATTCTTTGAGCCCGGGAGGTCAAGGCTCAAAGTTGTGATCACGGAACTGGATTCCAGCCTAAGCAAAAGAACAAGACCCGATCTCAAAAAAAAAAAACTGCTGGCTATGTTCCAATGAAATTGTATATATAAAAACATGAGTTTGCCCGTGGAGTTGGTTCATAGATCTGTAGTCAACTGATGCTTAGTCTGAATCCTCACTTTATCTAACTCAAACACTTTTAACCTAAGTGGTATATACAGCTGAAACAGCATATGGCCATTTTTGCTTCCCTAGTAAACACTGCAGTCTGATAAATTCTCTTACTGCTTCAAATCTGACTCAATTAACTTAGTTCCCTATAGCACTTTCCTGGAAGGTAAGATTTGTACTATTAGTTCAGCCCTGTCACTAAGTAATCCATAGACAGAATGAATCTTAAATAATCTACAGGATATTATAAAAATGTCCTAAAAAGCCTCCTAATTTTTGAGGCTCTTCCATTGATACTGCTGAGTCAAAGTTTGAATCCCTATTTCTTACGATTTTGATTTTCCAAAAACTCTGGAAAATAGAAGAATTCAGGAATAAGTTCTTTCACATCATATGTATTATCCATGAGAGCTTGCCAGGTAGCAGGAATAGAATGGAATTGTCGATCTGCACAGTCAAACCTGCATGTAGAAATTAAAAGAGAATGTAAATATTGAATGAAATCAACAAGAAGGCATGAAACAAAGCCTTTTAAACTCACTTCAGGGTTCCTAATGATTAGCGGTACTGTTTTCTGAATTTTCCTCTTTAATGCCTACACATACAATTTACTCTCCTTATTATGATAATATCTTTATATTTTGTTGTCAGAAACTAAAAACTCTAATTTTAATCACCAGTAGCACCTTAGCTGAAGTAGCTGAAAACCAAACCACACTAGATAAAAATTTCAAACAAATTAAATATAATCTTAAAGTCTTTTAAAAGTAGCATTTTTGTAAATTAAAATTTATTATAGAAAGTGAATAGTTTCAATATCTGAAAATCACAGAGTATAAATATGATTATAAACATTATAATGTAAATATACTTGGTTAATACATCTATAGGAATGCTGCTGATTTAATCACTGATATATAAATATCTTTACAAACTCATCTGCTTAAAACCAGAGGATGAGTTAGGGAAATAGCTCTGTGACTAAAGCTTTTATGTTTTACTTGCATAATCTATTGTCTTATTTGAATTTTATTTAATTTTTAATTAATTTTATTTATTTACTTAGAGATGAAGGTCTCACTATATTGCCCAGGCTGGAGTGCAGTGACTATTCACAGGCACCATCATAACGTGCTGCAGTGTCAAACTGCTGGCCTCGAGTGATTCTCTCACCTCGGCCTCCCAAGTAGCTGAGACTAAGAAGCCCATGCCATAGCTCCTGGCTTAATTTTCTTTATTTAAATTTAATAATGGGCACGGCATCTACAGTAGCTGAATGAAGCTCAAGTGGACATGCTGCAATTGTATTATGCTTTCTCTAATCACAAACAGTATAAATCCCTTCTATTATTTCATTTGATATTGTTTTCCTGGATTTATTAAGTATATAATGACCTTGTCAGAAACTAAAAACTCTAGTATAAGGTAAAGCCCCCATGCTACAAGGAAAAAAAGTGACATTAATGACTAACTCGACTCTTGTGTTTTATACCTATTTAATCTTGGTTTGAAGCAGAGCTGATCTTAGCAGAATTTTGAATTTAATTATAGACATTAGAGCACCTAAAACATTGTAGCATATTCAAGAAGAGGTATAGTTTTAATTGAGATAAAATTAATGTATCTAAATTATTCATTTTAAGTGGACGATTGAAGGGTTTAATTCAGTATATTCATAGTTGTGCAACTATCATCACAATGAATTTTACAACATTCTCACAACTCCAAGAAGAAATGCTGTACCTATTAGCAGCCACTGCCCATTCACCCTACTCCCACCCCTGGAGACCGCTAATGTACCTTCTATCTCTAGGCCTATTTTTATTTCATTTTACCTGTTTTGACAGTCTATTTTGGACATTTCATGTAAATCATGCAATATGTGGCCTTCTGTTTCTGGCTTATTTCATTTGGCATAATATTTTCAAGGCTCATCCATATTATAGCATGTATCAATATTTCATTCCTTGAATTCATTCATGGGCAAATAATATTCCATTGGGTGGATATATCACATTTATTTATTCATTTATCAGTAAATGGACACTGGTTTGTTTCTACTTTTTGGTTATAAATTATGCTGGTATGGCCGGGTGTGGTGACAGACGCCTATAATCCCAATACTTTGGGAGGCTGAGGCAGGCGGATCACTTGAGATCAAGAGTTCGAGACCAGCCTGGGCAATATGGCAAAACCCTTTCTCTACCAAAAATACAAAAAAATTACGTGGGTGTGGTGGCACACACCCATAGTCCCAGCTACTCTGGAGACTGTGGCAAGAGAATTGTTTGAGCCTGGGAGACGGAGGTTGCAGTGAGCTGCAACTGAGCTGAGACTGAGCCACTGCACTCCAGCCTGGGTGACAGAGTGAGACTCTGTCTCAAAGAAAAAAAGCTGGTGTGAACATTTGTGTACAAGTTTTCGTATGAATATATGTATTCAATTATCTTACGTATATATCTAGAAGTGGATTTGCTAGATTATACGGCAATTCTATATTTGACCTTTTTTTTTTGAGACATAGTCTTGCTCTGTTGCCCAGGCTGGAATGCAGTGATATGATCTTGGCTCATTGAAACCTCTGCCTCCTGGGTTCAGGCAATTCTCCTGCCTCAGCTTCCAGAGTAGCTAGGATTACCAGCACCTGCCACCATGCCTGGCTAATTTTTGAATCTTTAGTAGAGACCATGTTTGCCAGACTGGTCTCGAACCCCTGACCTCAAGTGATCCACCTGCCTCAGCCTCCCAATGTGCTGGGATTACAGGCATAAGCCACCACACCCAGCCCTCTATATTTAACCTTTCAGGAACTGCCAGACTATTTTCCGCAAAAGCTGCACCATTTTACATTCTCATCAGCAGTATTTATAAGGGTTCCAATTTCTCCGCATGCTTATCAACACTAATTATTATTTGTCTTTTTTATTATAGCTATCACAGTGGGTGTGAGATGGCATCTCACTGTGGTTTTTGTGAGCATCTTTTCATGTGTTTATTGAACATCTGCATATGTCCTCTGAAGAAATGTTTATTCAGATCCTTTGTCTATTTTTTAATTGGGTTGTCTTTTTATTATTTAGCTGTAAGAGTTCTTCCCTCTCTCTTTTTTTTTATTAAATGGAGATGGGCATCTCACTATGTTGCCCAGGCTGGACTTGAACTCCTGGGCTCAAGCAATCCTTGTGCCTCAGCTTCCTGAGTAGTGGAAGTTACAGGTGTGTGCCACCTCACCTTGAGTGTAATGGTTCTTTATATATTCTAGGTACAAATCTAAGTCTCTTATCAGATATAGTTTTCATTTCTTTTTTTATTTGTTTTCAGACAGAGCTTTGCTGTGTCACCCAGGCTGGAGTACAGTGGTGCAATCATGGCTCCCTATCGCCTCAACCTCCTGGGTTCAATCTATCTTCCCACCTCAGCTTCCTGAGTAGCTGGGACTATGATGAGCACCATCACACCCGACTAATTTTTCTGTTTTTTGTAGAGATGGGGTTTTGCCATGTTGCCCAGGCTGATCTCAAACTCATGGGCTCAAGTGATCCACCTGACCTGGCTTCCCAAAGTGTTGGGAATTAAAGGTGTAAACCACCACGTCTAGCCAGTTTTTACTTTCTTGATGATGACCTTTGAAGTATTATAAAATCAATTTTTGAAGCTCTGTAAAAAATCATTTAGCCATGAAATTATTATAAGGTGAAAAGACCTAGCTATACTTTGTTGCATTTTTTTTTTTTTTTGAGACAGTCTCACTCCTTCACCCAGGCTGGAGTGCAGTGGCACAATCTCGGCTCACTGCAACCTCCGCCTCCCAGGTTCAAGCAATTCTCATGCCTCAGTCTCCTGGGTAGCTGGGACTACAGGTGTGTACCACCATGCCCACCTAATTTTTTTGTATTTTTAGTAGAGACAGGGTTTCACCACGTTGGCCTGGTTGATCTCGAGCTCCTGATCTCAGGTGATCCACTCACCTTGGCCTCTCAAAGTGCTGGGATTAGAGGCATGAGCTGCCGCACCTGGCCTACTTTATTGCATCTTACGGGGAGAAAAGTATCTGTTATTATGGTACATGTCACATCTGGGGATGTTTAGTGACCGTAGGGCCGGAGTCTCTTCTTGAAAGCCAAGGCTTATTGTACATAGACAGAAATAAGGAACCCAGGCTAACTGTGAGAACAGAATAGGCAATATTCACATAGCTCAGGATTGGGTAGGAAAGGCAAAATGGTTGCTACAGAAGGAGACAAAACATGTATAAATAGGGAGCTTTGTGGAAGATTTATTGAGGAACAGAAAATTCATGGAAAAGCTGGTTTCCTTAGGATTATTAGGCAAATGTATAACATAGGTAAGTTATAATACCCACAGTGTAAATGCAACATTATCACAGACTTGTTTGAGCTGCTGCAATAATGTAAGAGTCTCTTATTGCTACTCCTTCTACTCCTCTTCATACACACTTTTAAGACTACATAGGCATAGGCATTGGCTCAGTTTGACTCTCCGATGATGGCTTAGATTTAGCTCTAAATCAGATCTAGTTATAAATCTCTGCTAGATTCCTCAAAACAGTAAGAATCACAAAGGTACACTGGATAACACTAAAAAAGGAATTTTCCTTAAGTCACCTGTGTGAGTCAATTTGAGTGATTTATTCTCAAACTAGTTTATCTATTTTTAGCTGAACTGAAATTGAATACAGGAGAATAAAAAAAGAAATCTTACATAGTACATGATGTGAAGGCAAACAGTTTCCAACAGTAACATAAAGTCATAAAAAAATAGCTTATTTACTTGAAACATACCTTCCACTCTGAAGTTGGATGTGGAGGGTGGTGAATGGTTCTACACGAATGAGATAGTGCATGACCCCCGCAGAATTTGAATAGTGAGTACCATAATGAAACTTATCAATAGTTCCCATAGGATCCTCAAAATTTTCATATCTGTAAGGAAAAAATCCTAAAGTTTTATAACCACAATAACAGAATACATAGGGGGCATAAGTTTGTATTTTATTTCTGAAAACAGTTTTTTAAAAGTCCATCCTTTTTCATATGCCTCATTATCAAACTCTGTACTTATATCATCATTATACCATACTAGCAAATGAAAAAAGTTTTATTTGTTAATACTTCTTTTCTGAACAATGAAATATCACAAACAATTCTGGAATAGTTTCGTATTATGCAATAATAATACACGTTCATTGTAGAAAAATCAGAAGAGAATTAAAACAGAAGACACTTAAAGTCAACCTACAATTTCACATCCCAGAGATAATTAACACTAATTTTTTGGTGAATATCTATCTATCCTAATGTATAAATTAATATACAAACTTTTTTACATAAAAATGCTATATAATAAAAAGTTATATAATTCATAACTTATATTTTGCATTTTCTATGGACATCAAGTTATTGAGTAGTCTATTTTTAACATGCATATAATATTGTATAGATGTACTACAATTTAACTATTTATTTACCTTTTAGACACTAAGACTGTTTCCCTTTTTTTTTTCTAGTATAAAGCACTGTGATAACTAAACATCCTTTTGTGGCCAAGGTAACAGAAAAAAAAATGGAGAACTAGTCAAGAATTATGGAAATTAATGCCTAGAAATTTAAAGGCAAAAGAAAAAAAGAGATGGTAGATAGTAAAAAGGCCTAAACCAGATTATTAGCAAAAGATACATAGTGATTCTTCAAGCTCTATCATTGATATAAGCATAATTAGTCTGAATGGTGACATCTGAAATGAAAGATTTTATAGGTCATAAACACTGAATTTCAAAAACCAAAATAGTAATTGGTTCATTAAGCTGGGGCCAATTTCTTTTTATATACTAATCATTAATATTCAGGGGAATAAAAAAGTTTTCAGGTCAAAGTTATTTGTATGTATGCAAAAATATACTACTAAAATTTAAAACAACTTGCATCTTTATCAATATAATAAGTTATGTATTTCCTGTAGAACACTGTTTTAAAAAATCACAAAACCTTCTTTTGGTTACTATCAGAAAAAAAAGTATGATTAATGGTAGTGACAAAATACATATATACACAGCCAAGTTCCACTGGTAAATCAAATTAAATCAAATATTAAACATTGCAAAAAGTCCTAGGGAAGATCTGTAAAGAAAAAGTAGGGGGGGAGGACTCAAGATGGCGCTGTGAGAACAACCCAGGATTGGAGCTCTTCTCGTTGAATCTGCAAACGGTGAGTCAGAGAGGATTTCCAGACTGATCTTTGTTGTCCACAGAACGGGGAAACTCCCAAGTATAAGAAAGACACGGGACGCCAGGCAGTAGGTCTGCCTGGCGAAGCCGGCAGCCAGGGCGGCGGCGGCCGGCCCTACCCAGCAATCCCCGCAGGGCGCGCTTGTCCGGGTGCCCTGTTGAACCGGCAACCTGAGACTTGAGAGGGCTGGACTTGAGACTGAACGAGACTTGGACAATAGGCCAGCCCAGGGGATTGCAGAGATTGGGATACCCAGTGGGACAAACAAAACCGCGATTTCAAACTATCCCGAGCAGACTGTCCGAGACGCTCTGTGGGGGAGGGGCGTCCACCACTACCGAGGCAACCCGCCCCAACTGAGATACACACCCACTGCTGATGCAGCCAGCCGTTGCCGAGGCAACCCGCCCCAACTGAGATACACGCCCACTGCTGACGCAGCCAGCCGTTGCCGAGGCAACCCGTCCCTACTGAGATACACGCCCAATGCTGACGCAGCCTGCCGTTGCTGACGCAACACGCTACAACGAAGAGACTCCGCCGCAGGGCGTGGCGGAGACCACAGCAGAGCCGGCAGGAACAGCGCGAATCACATAACAGCAGGGCGGAGCCTCGGCAGCCAAACAGTGGCTAGTCTGCCTTCGAGCTGGGCAGGACACCTGATCGGACATCCAAAAATAAAGCCCAAACCCCTCAACACAGAGCATTTGAGAAAAAAAAAAAAAAGGGTTTTTTAATGAGCTCTGTTGCAGCAGAATCAAACATAGCAGACTAACAGCCCTGAATGAACAACAGAGTGCACAGCTCAGCAATTAAACCCCTATAAAGTACAAACTGTCTCCTCAAGCAGCTCCCTGACCCCTCTATATCCAAAAGACTGACATTAGGCAGGCATCATCCTGGGACAAAGAGAGCAGAAAAAGAAACTGGTAGCATCCCTCGCTGTGCCACAGCTACTAGAGGTGCACCCCAGACAAGCAGGGTCTGGAGCGGACCTCAGCAGTCGTACAGCGAAGGGGCTAGACTGGTAGAAGGAAAACCAAGCAACAGAAATACTTCATCATCAACATTCTGGGTGTCCACTCAGAGACCCAAACGAAAAGTCAGCAACTACGCAGACGACCAGCGGACAAATCCACAAAGATGGGAAGAAACCAGCGCAAAAAGGAGGAAAACACCCGAAACCAGAACACCTCGCCTCCTAGAAAGGACCAAAACTCCTCACCAGCAAGGGAGCAAAGCTGGACAAAGAATGACTGTGACGAAATGACAGAATTAGACTTCAGAAGATGGATAATGAGAAACTTTTGTGAGCTAAAAGATCATGTATTAAACCAATGCAAAGAAACTAAGAACCTTGAAAAAAAATTTGAAAAAAGATTCGAGGAAATGATAACAAGAATGGATACCTTAGAGAGGAATATGAATGAATTAAAGGAGCTGAAAAACACAATACGAGAACTTCGCGAAGCAAACACAAGTTTCAATAGCCGAATTGACCAAGCAGAAGAAAGAATATCTGAAGTCGAAGACCAACTCAATGAAATAAAACGAGAAACCAAGATCAGAGAAAAAAGCGCAAAAAGGAATGAACAAAGTCTCCAAGAAATGTGGGACTATGTGAAAAGACCTAACCTACGTTTGATAGGTGTACCAGAAGGGGACGAAGAGAATGAATCCCAGCTGGAAAATACTCTTCAGGACATCATCCAGGAAAATTTCCCCCACCTAGCAAGACAAGCCAACACTCAATTGCAGGAAATACAGAGAACACCACAAAGATATTCCGCAAGAAGAGCAACCCCAAGGCACATAATCGTCAGATTCAACAGGGTTGAAATAAAGGAGAGAATACTAAGGGCAGCCAGAGAGAAAGGTCGGGTCACCCACAAAGGGAAGCCCATCAGACTCACAGCAGATCTCTCGGCAGAAGCACTAAAAGCCAGAAGAGAGTGGGGGCCAATATTCAACATTCTTAAAGAAAAGAACTTTCAACCCAGAATTTCATATCCAGCCAAACTGAGCTTCAGAAGTGAAGGAAGAATAAAATACTTTGTGAACAAGCAAGTACTCAGAGATTTTGTCACCACCAGGCCTGCTTTACAAGAGCTCCTAAAAGAGGCACTACACATAGAAAGGATCAATCAGTACCAGCCATTCCAAAATCACACTGAATGCTAAAGAGCTTCAACATAATGAAGAATCTACAACAACTAACAGGCAAAACAGCCACTTAGCATCAAAATGGCAGTATCAAATTCACACATAACAATATTAACCCTAAATGTAAATGGACTAAATGCACCAATCAAAGACACAGACTGGCAAATTGGATAAAAATCCAAAACCCATCAGTGTGCTGTATCCAGGAAACACATCTCACATGCAAGGATACACAAAGGCTCAAAATAAAGGGATGGAGGAAGATTTACCAAGCTAATGGAAAGCAAAAAAAAGCAGGAGTTGCAATTCTCATCTCTGATAAAATAGACTTTAAAGCAACAAAGATCAAAAGAGACAAAGAAGGCCATTACATAATGGTAAAAGGATCAATACAACAAGAAGAGCTAACGATCCTAAACATATATGGACCCAACGCAGGAGCACCCAGATACATAAGGCAAGTTCTTAATGACTTACAAAAGGACTTAGACTCCCACACAATAATAGTGGGAGACTTTAACACTCCACTGTCAATACTAGACAGATCAACCAGACAGAAAATCAACAAGGATATCCAGGGCTTGAACTCAGACCTGGAGCAAGCAAACCTGATAGACATTTACAGAACTCTCCACCCCAAATCCACAGAATACACATTCTTCTCAGCACCACATCACACCTACTCTAAAATTAACCACATAATTGGAAGTAAAGCACTGCTCAACAAATGGAAAACAACTGAAATCATAACAAACAGCCTCTCAGACCATAGTGCAATCAAGTTAGAACTCAGAATTCAGAAACCAACCCAGAACCGCACAGCTTCATGGAAACTGAACAACTGGCTCTTGAATGTTGACTGGGTAAACAACGAAATGAAGGCAGAAATAAAGAAGTTCTACGAAGACACAATGTGCCAGAACCTCTGGGACACATTTAAAGCAGTCTCTAGAGGAAAGTATATAGCAATAAGTGCCCATATGAGGAGAATGGAGAGATCCAAAATTGACACCCTATCGTCAAAATTGAAAGAGCTAGAGGAGCAAGATCAAAAAAACTCAAAACCCAGCAGAAGACAAGAAATTACTAAGATCAGAGCTGAGCTGAAGGAGATTGAGACACGAAAAACCCTTCAAAAAATCAATAAATCCAAGAGCTGGTTTTTTGAAAAGATCAACAAAATAGACCACTAGCCAGATTGATTAAAAAAAAGAGAGAGAACAACCAAATAGATGCAATAAAAAATGATAAAGGGGAAATCACCACAGATTCCACAGAAATTCAAACCATCATCAGAGAATATTACAAACAACTCTATGCACATAAACTAGTAAACCTGGAAGAAATGGATAAATTCCTGGACTCCTGTGTCCTCCCAAGCCTAAACCAGGAGGAAGCTGAAACTATGAATAGACCAATAACAAGGTCTGAAGTCGAGGCAGCAATTAAGAGCCTACCTCACAAAAAAAGCCCAGGTCCAGACGGGTTCACAGCCGAATTCTACCAGACACACAAGGAGGAGCTGGTACCATTCCTTCTAAAACTATTTCAAACAATCCAAAAAGAGGGAATCCTTCCCAAATCATTTTATGAGACCAACATCATCCTGATACCAAAACCCGGCAGAGACCCAACGAGAAAAGAAAACTTCAGGCCAATATCCATGATGAACATAGATGCAAAAATCTTCAATAAAATATTGGCAAGCCGATTGCAACAGCAAATCAAAAAACTTATTCATCATGATCAAGTAGGATTCATCCCGGGGATGCAAGGCTGGTTCAACATACGCAAGTCTATCAACGTAATTCACCACATAAACAGAACCAAAAACAAAAACCACATGATTATTTCAATTGACGCAGAGAAGGCATTTGACAAAATTCAACAGCCCTTTATGCTAAAAACCCTCAATAAACTCGGTATCGATGGAACGTATCTCAAAGTAATAAAAGCTATTTATGGCAAACCAACAGCCAATATCATACTGAATGGGCAAAAACTGGAAGCATTCCCTTTGAAATCTGGCACTAGACAAGGATGCCCTCTCTCACCACTCCTATTCAATATAGTACTGGAAGTTCTAGCCAGAGCAATCAGGCAAGAAAAAGAAATAAAGTGTATTCAAATAGGAAAGGTGGAAGCCAAATTGTCTCTATTTGCAGATGACATGATAGTATACCTAGAAGACCCCATTGCCTCAGCCCAAAAACACCTGAAACTGATAAGCAACTTCAGCAAAGTCTCAGGATATAAAATCAATGTGCAAAAATCACAAGCATTCGTCTACACCAATAACAGACTTAAAGAAAGCCAAATCAAGAGCGAACTGCCATTCGCAATTGCTACAAAAAGAATAAAATACCTTGGAATACAACTCACAAGGAACGTAAGGGACCTCTTCAAGGAGAACTACAAACCACTGCTCAACGAAATCAGAGAGGACACAAACAGATGGAGAAACATTCCATGTTCATGGTTAGGAAGAATTAATATCGTGAAAATGGCTATACTGCCCAAAGTAATTTACAGAATCAACGCTATCCCCATCAAGCTACCATTGACTTTCTTCACAGAACTGGAAAAAACCACCATGAACTTCATATGGAACCAAAAGAGAGCCCGCATAGCCAAGTCAATTCTAAGCAAAAAGAACACAGCGGGGGGCATCACACTACCGGATTTCAAACTATATTACAAGGCTACAGTAATCAAAACAGCATGGTACTGGTACCAAAACAGAGATATAGACCAATGGAACAAAACAGAGGCACCGGAGGCAACACAACATACATACAACTATACAATCTTTGATAAACCTGACAAAAACAAGCAATGGGGCAAGGATTCCATGTTTAACAAATGGTGTTGGGAAAACTGGCTAGCCATGTGCAGAAAGCAGAAACTGGACCCCTTCCTGACACCTTACACTAAAATTAACTCCAGATGGATTAAAGACTTAAACATAAGACCTGGCACCATAAAAACCCTAGAAGGAAATCTAGGCAAAACTATCCAGGACATAGGAGTAGGCAAGGACTTCATGAACAGAACACCAAAAGCATTGGCAACAAAAGCCAAAATAGACAAATGGGACCTAATGAAACTCCACAGCTTCTGCACGGCAAAAGAAACAGTCACTAGAGTGGATCGGCAACCAACAGAATGGGAAAAAATTTTCGCAGTCTACCCATCTGACAAAGGGCTGATATCCAGAATTTACAAAGAACTCAAGCAGATTTACAGGAAAAAAACAAACAAGCCCATTCAAAAGTGGGCAAAGGATATGAACAGATACTTTACGAAAGAAGACATATATGAGGCCAACAATCATATGAAAAAATGCTCATCGTCACTGGTCATCAGAGAGATGCAAATCAAAACCACATTGAGATACCATCTCATGCCAGTTAGAATGGCGATCATTAAAAAATCTGGAGACAACAGATGCTGGAGAGGATGTGGAGAAAAAGGAACACTTTTACACTGTTGGTGGGAGTGTAAATTAGTTCAACCATTGTGGAAGACGGTGTGGCGATTCCTCAAGGCCTTAGAAATAGAAATTCCATTTGACCCAGCAATCCCATTACTGGGTATATATCCAAAAGACTATAAATCGTTCTATTATAAGGACACATGTACACGAATGTTCATTGCAGCACTGTTTACAATAGCAAAGACCTGGAATCAACGCAAATGCCCATTGATAATAGACTGGATTGGAAAAATGTGGCACATATACACCATGGAATATTATCCAGCAATCAGAAATGATGAGTTCGTGTCGTTTGTAGGGACATGGATGAATCTGGAGAACATCATCCTCAGCAAACTGACACAAGAACAGAAAATGAAACACCGCATATTCTCACTCATAGGTGGGTGATGAAAAATGAGAACACATGGACACAGAAAGGGGAGTACTAAACACTGGGGTCTATTGGGGGGAAAAGGGGTGGGCCAGTGGGAGGGGGAGGTGGGGAGGGATAGCCTGGGGAGAAATGCCAAATGTGGGTGAAGGGGAGAAGAAAAGCAAAGCACACTGCCATGTGTGTACCTACGCAACTGTCTCGCATGCTCTGCTCATGTACCCCAAAACCTATAATCAAATAAAAAATTAAAAAAAAAAAAAAAAAAAGAAAAAGTAGGAAAAAAAGTACCATCTACTTTCATATCAATCTATAACTAAGTGAATTTGTAAAACAGTTTTGTCCTTATTAAAATTCAAAATTCAAAAGTCATCCCTAAGTTTACAGGGAGAAAAAGGGAAATTAAAATCAGGTTATTCTTTTGCCTGTGGGCAGCTTGCTTTGAAAAAATTAATTGTATGAAATGAGAACATATTTAAAAAAGAAATAATTAATTGTGAGAATTTGTCAGGGTAGATCATAAACAGAACTATAAAATTTTCTTCTTATCAAAATGACATGTTCTAAATTGCCACACATTAACTCTTCTTTATTCACATTATTATTGAATAACACATCAGTATTAGTTGTATACTACCCAACTGTTACATTAGATATTTTAATATGTTTGATTATTAGGTTATACAGTTTAAAATATCTGGGAAGAAAAATTTCAGGAATTTATTACTCTTTAGCACCTACTTATTACATGGTAAAAAGACATTCTGAGCAATATCAATTTAAATATGATGAAGCAAAATCAACAGAACTATAGTCAAGATTTCTGAAAGGCAACTAAGATATTTTCTTTTTTCTTTCATTTTTTTTTTGAGACAGAGTCTCACTTTGTTGCCAGGCTGGAGTGCAGTGGCACGACCTCAGCTCACTGCAACCTCCATGTCCTGGGTTCAAGTGATTCTCCTGCCTCAGGGAGTAGCTGGGACTACAGATGTGTGCCACCACACTCAGCTAAGTTTTGTACTTTTAGTAGAGTGAGGTTTCACAGAGTTGGCCTGGATGGTCTCCATCTCTTGATCTCATGATCCACCTGCCTTGGCCTCCCAAAGTGCTAGGATTACAGGCGTAAGCCATCACGTCCAGCCTGCCAAGATATTTTCAAGAAAACTTAGTGAAGTAACTATTGGCCTCTGATTATCAAAAATAGTACTAAGGTTAAAAAAATTTTTTTTGGTTGGCCATAGTAAAAAATCAATACAAATTCAAACAAGCAATGTGTCTTTTTCAAAAGGAATAAGGAGCACTTACTTTTCTCGCATAGCTTTGGCATTTTTATCATTAACTACCCCAATTGGTTTGGAAAGATCTCGAAATACAGCAGGGTTATTCAGGTCCAACTCTTCTGAAGTATAATCTTGTAAAATCCAGGGAAACTAAAAGAGCCATAATTTACAATTTAGACATTCCTTCCTAAAGAAGCGAACATCCCCATATCTAATATCAAATGCTTATCTAAAGACAAAAAGGGATAGTCTCTAAAAATATTTTTACCCTGTTACAAATACCATTCATCTTTAGTTCAATAACTAGAAGCATTATTTCCTATAATTCCACTGGAATATTTTCTTTTCTTTTTTTTTTTTGAGATGAAGTCTTGCTCTGTTGCCAGGCTGGAGGAGTGCAGTGGCACCACCTGAGCTCACTGAAACTTCCACTTCCCAGGTTCAAGTGATTCTCCTGCCTCAACCTCCCGAATAGCTTGGACTACAGGCCAGCACTGCCATGTCCAACTAATTTTTGTATTTTTAATAGAGATGGGTTTTCACCATGTTGGTCAGGATGGTCTCGATCTCTTGACCTTGTGATCCACCCGCCTCAGCCTCTCAAAGTGCTGTGATTGTAGGCGTGAGCCACCGCGCCTGGCCTTCTTTCCTTCTTTTTTTTTTTTTTTTGAGACAGAGTCTTGCTCTGTCGCCCAGGCTGGAGTGCAGTGGCATGATCTCGGCTCACTGCAACCTCTACCTCCTGGGTTTAAGTGATTCTCCTGTCTCAGCCTCATGAGTTGCTGGGATTACAGGCATGTACCACTATACCCAGCTAATTTTTGTATTTTTAGTAGAGACAGAGTTTCACCATGTTGGCTAGGCTCGTCCCAAACTCCTGACCTCAGATGATCCACCCTCCTTGGCTTCCCAAAGTGCTGGGATTGCAAGCATGAGCCACCATGCCCAGCCCCACTGCATATTTTCAATGAAGTGAAAGAAAAAAGACTTTTACTTAGTTTTCATGTTTATATACTTTTTGAAAATAAATGGATAGAAAACATACAGAAAGGCATTTAAATAAATAAAAAGTATCATGTATATACTTTTGCAATTTATAAAACTATAGGGCAATCCCACATTTATAAGGTTTATGCAAAACTTACCACAGGATACTGTGCAAGGTCATTATAGGTTCGTCCTGCCATTGTATTTATTTGAATAAGGTAGTCAAAATTTGATATCTCTCTGTTTACCCATTTCTAGACAGCACAAAAAAGAACAATATCAAAATTAAAAAAATCTCTGTCTCTTAGACATTGGTAGCTGTTACTGACAGTACAAAGAATGGGCTAAAAAAGAAAAAGAGGTTCAACAGAGAGATAAATCAATATACTTTTCCTAAATTCACTTCTTTTTAAATATTGGTCTCTAAAAAAGGAACAGAAAATTCAATATAAAGCTTACACCAGTCTAGAAGGTCTTGATAATAATTCTTTCCAAAAACAAACAAACAAAAAAAACAACTTGTCTTCTCTTTAATTAAAGGTTTATTTGAATACCTTAAAACTTTTATTTTATTTATTTATTTCAGAGAAATGGTCTCTGTCACTGAAGCTGAGTGCAGTGAAGCAATCATAGCTCACAACACCCTCAAGCTCCTGGGCTCAAGCCTCGGCTTCTTACTACAGCCTCAAGCTTCTGGACTCAAGCAATCTACCTGGCTTAGCCTCCCAAGTAGCTAGGCCTAAAGTGATGCCCTATTACACTGGCTAATTTCTTTTTTCTTTTTTTTTTTTTGAGACAGAGTCTCACTCTTGTTGTCCAAGCTGGAGTGCAATGGCATCATCTTGGCTCACCACAACCTCCACCTCCTGGGTTTAAGCGATTCTTCTGCCTCAGCCTCCCTACTAGCTTGGATTACTAGCTTGCCACCACGCCTGACTAATTTTGTATTTTTAGTAGAGATGGGGTTTCTCCATGTTGGTCAGGCTGATCTCGAACTCCCAACCTCAGGTAATCCGCCCACCTTGGCCTCCCCAAGTGCTGGGATTACAGGCATGAGCCATTGCACCTGGCCCACTGGCTAATTTCTTAAACTATTTGTAGAGATGAGGTCTTGCTTTGTTGCCCAGGCTGATCTTGAACTCCTGGCTTCAAGTGATGCTCCAGGCTTGACTCCCACAGCACTAGGTTTATAGGCATGAGCCATCATGCCCAGAATAAATGTCTTAAAATTTGAATTTTATTTTGCTATTATTGTTTTTATTTTTGAGACAGAGTTTCGCTCTTCTTGCCCAAGCTGGAGTGCAGTGCCATCATTTTGGCTCACTGCAACCTCTGCCTCCAGGGTTCAAGCAATTCTCCTGCCTCAGCCTCCCGAGTTGCTGGGATTACAGGCATCTGCCACCATGCCCGGCTAATTTTTTGTATTTTTAGTAGAGAGACGGGATTTCATCATGTTGGCCATGCTGGTCTTGAACTCTTGACCTCAGGTGACCCACCCACCTTGAAGCTGGGATTATAGGTGTGAGCCATTGTGCCAGGCCTAAAATTCTGAATTTGAGGAATGTTCCACTTTGAAATTTTTGTTACAAATTGAAATTTACATTAAGTATGCATATTAAAAACAATCTTAATATATTAAAACTATCCAAATACTTTCATAAAACATTACATTAATTATCCTCAGAGGATAATCAGGTATAGCCCAATTGTTCTTGAGTGCCAGGTTGAGGGATCAGCACTTAAAGAACAAAGTCTACTGTAGAGGCAACAGGAAAGGTACTTTATTAAATAAAACTCTTTCCACTGGCAATAGTAAAGAACTGCTGATGGTTCTTGAATAAGAGCAACACCTACAAAAGATTAATGTGTATGTGGGAGGAAGGAGAGAGCCAGGAAGCAAAGACTCCAATTAAGAGACTATGAACAGTCCTGAAAAGCCAAAAACAATGGCTTTCCTTTGGGTCCTGACATCACAAATCCAAGTGATGCTGGGATATAAATAAGCATACAATTCATGGAGCATTAATTTACTTTTGCTGGTAGGAGAATTGGTATTTTTTGGCCCTTTTCTCCTTTTTTTTTTTAACCTCATGTTATGGTTCATTTTTTAAAAATTAAGATTTTAAAAACCCATGTTATTATTTTTTTAAGACTGAGTCTCACTCTGTCACCCAGGCTGGAGTGCAGTGGCATGAATCTTGGCTCACTGCAACCTCTACCTCCCTGGTTCAAGTAATTCTCCTGCCTCACCCTCCTGAGTATCTGGGATTACAACTGCCCATCACCATGCCCAGCTACTTTTTGTATCTTTTAGTAGGGATGGGGTTTCGCCATGTTGGCCAGGCTGGTCTTGAACTCCTGACCTCAGGTGATATGCCCACATCAGCCTCCCAAAGTGGTGGGATTACGGCATGAGCCACTGTGCCCGGCCCTATTTTTCAAAAAGAGAAAATTATTGACACATATACCCATGAACTGAATGATACAGGAGGTGGCAGGGAGGGGACTGTCTGTGGGAGGGAAACAAAGGAAAATTAAAAAATAATTCAGAAGATTAGTCTGAATGAAAGAACAGCAGTTATAAAAATCAAAGGAAAATAATCAGAAGAAGCAAGTTTTACTTGAAATGAATAGCAGAACAGTTCATGACAGACTATTACAATTTCCTACCTGTGTCAATCCTGATGCTTTGAATAACTCCTGTGGTGATCTGCTTCCATAGTAACTATTTGGAGAATGAAGTGACAACAGTCTGCTATATATTTTGTTTCTAACCTATAAAAAATAGCATGTTATACTTTAAACAAGACAAATTTGGAAGATTATGGTCATTATGACAGCTGTATTGAGAGAAAATTCACCCTTTTAAAGTATAAAATTCAGTGTTGTGTGTTTTGTTTTTGTTTTGTTTTGTTGAGACAGTCTCTATTGCTCAGGCTGGAGTGCAGTGGTGTGATCTTGGCTCACTTCAGCCTTGACCTCCTGGCTCAGGTGAACCTCCATTTCAGCCTCCTGAGTAGCTGAGACTATAGGTTCGTGTCCCCAATGCGGGGCTAATTTTTTTTTGTATTTTTTGTAGCGACAGGGTTTTACCATGTTGCCCACAATGATCCAAACTCCTGGGGTTCAAGTGGCTCAAGTGCTCCTCCCACTTGAGCCTCCCAAAGTGCTGGGATTACATGTGTGAGCCACCATATCTTGCCTCAGTGGTTTTTTTTTTTTTTTTTTTACTATATTCACACAGTTGTGTGACTATCACCATCATCTAACTTTAGAAATTTTTTATCACCTCAAATAGAAATCCCATAGTCATTAACAGCTACTTCTCAATTCTGTCTCCTTCCCATTCCCTGACACATACAAATCTAATTTCTGTCTCTATGGATTAGCCTGTTCTGGACATTTCATATAAACCGTAGATTATGTTTTTAACTTCTCTATCATACTTGCTGTAGTCAAGCCATGCAAGTTTTACAATAACATTTTTTTACAAAGTGTTGTAAAACTATTTTACAAAATAGTTTTATTTAAAAAATTTTATTTAAAAAATTTTGTAAAACGATTTTTACAAAAGTTATCATATATAATAGAAAGATCACTAGATTCTGAATTAGAAAACTTGCTCAAGTCTACTTCAAATTTAGTTCTGCAATTTATTAATCATCTTGGCAAATTAATTTACTGAGTCTCATTTGTAAATTAAACACAATATCTATCCTTATAGTATTGTGAATTATTCAGGGCCATACAAATGCAAAGTTACAAAGTTCACTTATAGTTTCTTTAATTATTAAAAAAGAATAATGGATTTTGCCTTTTTTTTTTTTTTTGAGATGAAGTCTCACTCTGTCACCCAGGCTGGAGCACAGTGGCACAATTTCGGCTCACTGTAACCTCCACCTCCAGAGTTCAAGCAATTCTCCTGCCCCGGTCTCTTGAGTGGCTGGGATTACAGGTGTGCATCACCATGCCCAGCTAATTTCTGTATTTTTAGAAGAGATGGGGGTTTCACCATATTGGGCAGGCTGGTCTCAAACTTTTGACGTCAAGTGATCCAGCCACCTTGGCCTCCCAAAGTGCTAGGAATATAGGGTGAGCTATTGCACCCAGCCAGAATCTGCATTATTTATTTATTTATTTTAGAGATGGAGTTTCACTCTTGTTGCCCAGGCTGGGATGCAATGGCATGATCTTGGCTCACTGCAATCTCCGCCTCCTAGTTTCAAGTGATTCTCCTGCCTCAGTCTCCCAAGTAGCTGGGATTACAGGCATGCACCACCATGTCTGGCTAATTCTTGAATTATTAGTAGAGATGGGGTTTCACCATGTTGGCCAGGCTGGTCTTGAACTCCCGACTTCAGGTGATCCACCTGCCTTGTCCTCCCAAAGTGCTGGGATTACAGGCATGAGCCACTGCGTGTGGCCAGATTTGCCACATTTAATCTCAAGGTTGTTATGAAGATTAGATACTTTACACAAATGTACTTTAAAGACAACGAAGTTATACAAACATCCAGTACTTAGCAGGGGCAGACTTAGTTTAATTACATGACACAGCTTCCTGTAAAACACATGCTTTGTGTTTTCCTATGAAGGAAAACTTTTTTGTAATAGTAAAAAGACTTCCTTTCGTAAAATTAGAAAAATGGTCTTTAAACAACTGAATCAAATCATCAATAAGTAAACCTGGGTTCCACAGAAGAATGGAAAATTAGTTATTGTGTATGCTAATGTAGGTCTTCTGAAAAGCAGATGCCAAACAATTAAAATGCAAAGATTTTACTAGGGGAGATGCCTATGAAAGAAAATGAGAGAGCTATGCAAGGTGGGGAAAGCTGTCAGACTATAATACATGTCTGACCCCAAGTGAATGAGAGAGGGAAGAAAGGCTGAGCCCAAGCAGCCTCAGTAATGAGCCCAAGCTTACACAGCTAGTGGTGGAGACAATACTTGGAACCTGATAATCTGGCTTTAGAGCGTATGCACTTAACAATTTACATTACTTAAGAATTTACTATATTCTTAGAAGAAACATTCACCATTGTTTTTGAATTTCAAACCAGTCTAATTTAACAAATCCAGTCATAGCTTACATATCATATTACATCACAATTGAATGCAACGAGGCACTCAAAATTCTACTACTTTATCTATATCTAGCCATAGACATAAAAGCTGAACTCCCCCAAAACTGAAACATAAACAAATCTCAACAAAAATTTATATGCTGATTCGCCCCCAAACTATATATTTTTTCCTCTAACATTTTGTCTTGACAAAAGAGTACAGCCCAAAGTTCCATTAGAGCTCACTAGCTGGAAACTTATTTAAGGTTAGTACTTTGGGATTTCCTGAAACCATAGTACATACCTCTTTTTTGAAATTGAGAAAGTAGTTGGATTGGTCAACATGAAAAATCTCAAGGGCTGATCTTCTTAAGTTGTAACGCCGGAGGTGAATCTCTCGAATTTGAGAATGAGGCCACTTGAAATCAAAGCCTACTCCTGAAAACGGTAGAAATCTTGTGACTGAAGTACCACATAAAGTTACTCATGCCATGTAGAAAATACCTCTTAGTTCTTGACAAAAGGTTTTAGGAAAAGGAAATTTAATTTCTGTACTATATAAACCATTTGTTAAATGTGTTGGATATTTAAACTGGTTCTTTTAAAACTATTTTAAAGTTCTATAACTATTCTACTGCCTTCCTATTAGAATACAAGATAATTCTTAATATATCTCAGAAAGTTTTCCTTTTCTCTGTATGTTGGCATCTTAGATTTAATCATCCTTTTATTATCATATAAAGGATGACACGGGAAGTCTATAGGAATAAGCACACATACAAAGGCATGATAAAATAAAGACTGTATTAGGCTGGGTGCTGTGGCTCACGCCTGTAATTCCAACACCTTGGGAGGCTGAGGTGGGCAGATCACCTGAGGTCGGGAGTTTGAGACCAACCTAACCAACATGGAGAAACCCTGTCTCTACTAAAAAAAAAAAGAAAAAATACAAAATTAGCCGGGCACGTTGGCACATGCCCGTAATCCCAGCTCCTCGGAAGGCTGAGGCAGGAGAATCACTTGAACCTGGGAGGTGGAGGTTAGAGCAAGCAGAGATCACACCAATGCACTCCAGCCTGGGCAACAAAAGCAAAACTCTGCCTCAAAAAAAAAAAAAATGAAGACTGTAATTTTAACTTAAGTTTATAGCAATTCCCTCTAGCCAAACCCTTAAAAATGAATTGATAATAACTTTTAAAAAGCATTCTCTTCCACACCTTGATAACAAATTTAACCCCATACTGATTATCCATTTCTCCTTTTACTTGATAGACTACAATTTCACAGTTCTATCTTACCACTTTCTTCTCATTTGTGATTAATAAATTGGATACTTAATTACTGAATAACAAAAATTATTTTTTCCAGAATTCCTCACCATCTTCTTTTTCAATGCTGCCATCATAGAAGTAAATGTGCTGAGTAGTGATTTCTAATCTGCCAGGAATTACATCAATTATGGTAATGAGTTCACAGTCTTCCATCAATATCAATTTTTCTTTTTGTTCCTGTTCTTCTTTCTCATCACTGAAAAAACAAAAAACCAATAAACAGAAAAGTCTAACCATTTATTTTTCTTAAATGCAAAAGAATACCGTATTCAAATAGAAATCTCCCTCTCATTTTTCTTTTTTTGAGACAGGGTCTTGCTCTGTCACCCAGGCTTGAGTACAGTGGCACAATGTCAGCTCCATCACTGCAACCTCTGCCTCCCAAGCTCAAGCAATCCTCCCACCTTAGCCTCCCAAGTAGCTGGGACTACAGGTGCATGCCACCATGCCCAGCTCATTTTTATTTTTGTAGAGAGAGGGTTTTGCCATGTTACCCAGGCTAGTCTTGAAATCCTGAGCTCAAGGGATCCACCCACCTTGGTCTCCCAAAATGCTGGGATAATAAACATGAGCCACTGTCCCTGCCCTCAAATATAAATCTCATTATATAATCTCATCATATATATATAAAATTAAACATAAATCTCATCACACATATATCATCAAATATAAATCTCATCATATATATGTAAAATTAATGTCCAGGAAAGAATATCTGAATTACCCTCAAGAAACAGTCTGCATATTAAAGTGACCAAATATTTTTATTACTCGATGATTCAGTTTCATTAAAAATAAGCTTTACATTTTGACTTTATACAGCCCATTATAATAAAATGCCCTTTAAAGTGACCTTGTAAAACAACTAGCAGAGGACAATTGAAAAATATTGGTCATGTCATTTTATATTCTGGGAGATAAGAATTGACCCATAAAATATATGAATCTGTAACTAAGACTGCACTGTAGTGGTGTTTTGTAAATGATTTTTAGAAGTACTAAATATGAATCTTAAATTATAAAATGAGACTTTTCAAGAGGAACTAAAACTAAGGCATCACCATCACAGCATCCTGCTAACAAGGGAACTGGAAATAATGTAAAGAGCTATTGTCATACCTTACTTAAAGTGAAGTTACCTTATAATAGGAGGAATGTTACTTATATTCGCTGGAGAAAGTAACTGGAAAAAGAGACAGTCTTTTGGTGACCTAGGTGACTTTAACTGCCAAGTATAGAAATCAGAGCTCCTATTAATCACAGAATGTTACTCAAGTAAATCTTTTAGGCCAGCTACTCTCTGATCCTAGACATTTCATATCTGCTTCATGTCCAGGGTACCAATGACTAAGTCTAATTTTATTTTCAGTGGGTTTCCATGAAGAAGTTCTGTATCACCAACTTAAGTTTGTAATGTTACAACCATTTACTTTAAACTAAGCTTTTCTTTTTTAAAAAATAATTACCAGAAAGAAGGTTTTCCCAAACACTTAAATACTAATATTTACAGTGATAAATAGAGGAATGAGTAACCCTAAGAAAGAAAATAGTCTGAGGGTTATTTATATTAAATGACAAAAAGTGTTTTGGTTCTTCAGTTTAAAACGAATGAGTCTGACATCCATCAAATTCACTAGTCATCAAAGAAAGAAAAAAAAATCCCAATTAGAAAGCCGACCGAATATTTACCAAGATAGTGCCCTGTATAACTGCCCATACAAAGTACCCTGAAAATAATGAAGGAAATCTAAAACATTACTGAACTAATATAAATACAAATCCTGATTATGCCACCAAAGGATACTACTGAATCTAGTCAATCTGTAATATACATATTTTTTGAGACAGGGTGTCACTCTTATACCCAGGCTAGAGTGCAGTGGTGCAGTCTCACCTCATAGCAACCTCCACCTCCCAGGCTCAAGCAGTCATCCCACTTCAGCCTCCCAAGTAGAGGTACACACCACCACGCCAAGTTAATTTTTGACAGAGACAGAATTTCACCATGTTGCCCAGGCTGGTCTGGAGCTTCTAAGCGCAACTGATCTGTCCACCTGGGCCTACCAAAGTACTGACAAATTGAAGGCCACCATGCCTGGCCCTCAATTTGCAATATTAAACTATTTCAAAGAAATATTTGCCATGTGTAATTTAAAATGTAAACAAATCATATATTTGGGACACAGTTACTCATTCTTGGTTGAACATGTGGCTTTACGAACATAGAAAATTAAATATTAGGCTGAGCGCAGTGGCTCACACCTGTAATCCCAGAATTTTGGGCGGCTGAGGTGGGCAGATCACTTGAAGTCAGGAGTTTGAAACCAGCCTGGCCAACATGGTGAAACCTGTTTCTACAAAGAATTAGCTGGGCATAGTGGCATGCACCTATAATTCCAGCTACTTGAGAGGATGAGGCACGAGAATCACTTGAACCTGAGAGGCGGTGGTTGCAGTAAGTCAAGATCATCTTGCTCTGTCGCCCAGGCTAGAGTGAAGCAGTGCAATCTCAGCTCATTGCAACCTCCGCCTCCTGGGTTAGTGATTCTCCTGTCTCAGTCTCCTGAGTAGCCAGGCGCGGTGGCAGGACTACAGGTGCCCACCACCACGCCTGGCTAATTTTTGTATTTTTAGTAGAGATGGGCTTTCACCATGTTGGAAAGGATGGTTTTGATCTCCTTACCTCATGATCCACCTGCCTTGGCTGGGATTACACGTGTGAGCCACCAGCCTGGCCTATTTTTTTAGAGAGAGGGTTTCACCTTGTTGCTCAGGTTGGTCTCGAACTCCTGGCCTCAAGTGATCCTCTTGCTTCAGCCTCCTTAATAGCTAGGATTATATTCATATGCTATAGCACCCAGCTGGATCAGGGAGTTAAACAACCTCTGAGCAACGAAATGACCACCAAGCCATGCTGACCCACAGACAATTCCTACTCGGCCAGGTTTTACTATTTTACTCCTCGATAGACACCCAAGATAACTAAAAATTTCTGTTTGCACAAAAACTTGTATATGAATATTCATGGAAATACTATTCATAATAGCCCCAAAGTAGAAACAACCTAAATGCTCACTGACAGATGAATGGATAAGCAAAAAGTGATTATCTATATTTTGGATAACCATAAATGGTTATAAATGGAATATTATTTATAATACTATTCAGCCACAAAAAGAAATGCCGTACTCTTATATGCCACAACATGAATGAACCTTGAAAACATTCCAAATGAAAATAAGCCATAACACAAATTATACAAGTTATAGAAAATGTTCCAAAGTAGAAAAATCCAGAGACAAAGTAGATTAGTGGTTTCCAGGGCATGTGAGACGGGGAAAACTGGGACTGACCACTAAAAGGTACAAGATTTCCTTTTGGGGTGATAGTAATGTTCTAGAATTATATAGTGGGAATGGTTGTATAAATCTGTGAAAACAGTAAAAAAAAACTCACTGAATTGTGGGCTTTAAAAATGGTAAATTTTATATTTTTGAGATATATCTGGATTAATAAAAATGAAGAACTCCTTGGATAACAAATGGAGAGTCTGTGGCAATCAGACCTTCCTTATTAGAAATACTAGAGGGCTAAGTGCAGTGGCTCACTCTAGTGGCCTGTAATCCAAGCACTTTGGAAGGATTATGTGGGCCCAGGGGTTCAAGACCAGCCTGGGCAACACAGTGAGACCCTGTCTCTGTAAAAAATTTAAAAATTAGCTGGATATAGTAGTATGCCTATAGTCCCAGCTACTCAGGAGGCTGAGGCAGGAGGATCACTTGAGACCAGGAGGTGGAGGCTGGAGTGAGGTGTGATCACACCACTGTTCTCCAGTTAAGGTGACACAGTGAGATCCTGTCTCAAACAAACAAACCAAAAAAACCCCACACATACCAAAAAACACAAACAAAAAAACTGGAGGAAGTCTTTTAGGATGAAAGGAAATGATATCAGATGATAAATGAATGTACACACAAATAAATAAAGTATGAAAGTATGATAATTGATAATTATGTAGCAAACATAAATAATGTATATATTTGTTTTCTTCCTATAATTGACTTAAAGACAACTACATAAAACAGCAACTATAAAACTGTATTACTAAACGTATACAAAGAAGTGTAATACATAAAAGTAGCAACACAAAGAAGAGATGAGGACATTAATATATTTTACATTTGCTTAAAGGAAGTTTTTACAGTACAAATTAAAAAATTTTAAATATATCTAAGGCTTTTCAGGTTATCTGTTTCTTCTTGAGGGAGGTTTGGTAATTTGTATCTTTTTTTTTTTTTTTTTGAGATGGAGTTTCACTCTTCTTACCCAGGCTAGAGTGCAATGGCGGGATCTCGGCTCACCGCAACTCCACCTCCTGGGTTCAGGCAATTCTCCTGCCTCAGCCTCCTGAGTAGCCTGGATTACAGGCACGTGCTACCATGCCCAGCTAATTTTTTTGTATTTTTAGTAGAGACGGGGTTTCACCATGTTGACCAGGATGGTCTCGATCTGTTGACCTCGTGATCGACCCGCCTCGGCCTCCCAAAGTGCTGGGATTACAGGCTTGAGCCACCGCGCCATGCCCGGTAATTTATATCTTTCAAAGAATTTGTTTCATTTAAGCTGTCAAATTTACAGGCATAAACTCTTTAGTATTATTTTCAATCATTTTATTATTTGTGGCAATAGCTCCTCTTTCAATCCTAATATAGGAAATTTATGTTGTTCATCTTTTAATCAGTCTAGCTAGAGGTTTATGTTCTTTGTTTGTTTTTTTAATAACTAGGCTTCAATGTTCTTAATCTTTTTGTTTTTCTCTTTCATGAATTTCTGCTTTTGTCTTTATAATTTTCTTTCTTTTGCTTAACAGTTTTTATTTTATGCTGTACATTTCCATCTGAACACAGCTATAGCTAAATCTCACAAATACAATATATTGATTTCATTATCATACAATTCTAAATACTTTCTAATTTCAAGGTCCAGTTCTATGTTATCCCAGTTTTAAGAAGCCTTCTTTAATAATTTCAGTTAATACTGATACACTCCTAACAGCTGATAAAGCATTAACTGTTGGACCCTGGGGAAAACATGGTGGTAGAATTTCAAGCAAGTATCTTCCACGATTTTGCAATCCCCTTTCTCAGAACAAAATAATTGTAAATATTTATACATACATATTTACTCTAGCTGTCATATCCTCTTCAGGAAGGTCTAATTTATCCTCCTCCATATCACTAACTTTCACTTGTTTCACTACTTCCAAAAGCAATGAATCACTGGAAGGCTGTGGGTGTTGGATACCTGTTTTAAACACAAAATATCTATTAAATGTAAAGTAAAAAAACAATAGTATAACCCATCTGTAATTTCTGACTGTTAATTATGTTTCTGAGTGTTAGATGAAAACAATAGATATAAGATGGTACTTTGATACAATCTATAAAGTTTGATGGCAATTTTGACAATTACTATACATATGGTAAAAAGAATAAATGTTTTAAAAATAGTAGTATCTACTTTTAATAATGGCATTATTTGTTTCAAAAATAGGCAAAGTACTCTCTTTATATTTAATTCTAAAGGTTGCCAATAATTAAGTCAAGGGAAGAAATATTCTCATTGTATTAATGTAATAGAACTATTTTTTACCATGCATTTTCTATTAAAGCAATACTAAGAAAGATTATATGATAAATTATCTTTAATTGGGAGATAATACATGGACTAAGAGTGAAAGTGTTTACTTTCTGAACCACATGGAATTTAATGCATAAATCTGAGGCATATATATGTAATACATGTAACATATTTTATAAACTACCCTGTAAAAAGGCAGGGCTGGTATAATGAAAAGAACATAGTCTATGAAGTGGTGAACCTAGATTCAAATTTAATTTGGCCAATTATTCAGTCATATGACACTTCTGAATCTATGTTTTCTTGATTGTGAAATGGAGACTTCATCACAAGGTTGTTATGTATATGAAAGGTAATATATGTGAAACACCTGGTACACATTAAATATAAAATAAACAATAGCTACTATTTTATATTTACCTTCCAATTATCTGACTGAAATAAGAACAGTAATACAAATATATGCATAATTTATAGGTAAGGATTAGAAAAAAGTTATATACTTCACTATGAATAAAGACATTTCACTTATGGCAAATAAAAATAATTCATATAAAATATATAAAATAACACAATAATGCAAATAACTATAAATAACAAAACACTATAAAGATGACAAATCCTTCCTTAACTTCTCAAATGATATTATTGCTTAGGCATAAGATGAATCAACCTAATGTACAGTTGTATTTTTCTGTGTAATTCTGTTTGATCATACCTTCTACACTGGGAAGTAGTGGCTCACATCTTTCCTAGAACAAGTTAGGAACTATTTCTACTGAACAGGTTTTTTCATGAGGTCTAATTTATTTTTAAAACATTTAATTAACAAAGCAAATAACAATGCAATCGAAAGTGAAAAGAAGGAAGCCTAGATAGTCTGATACAAAGAGGAAATTGACTTTATGTAGATGTATGGCGCTACTCCGTTAACAGTATGAAATGAAAATGTAATAGAAGAATGGTGAGGGATAGAGGACGTGAGGGACTGCAGCAAGAAGGCCAGTTGGGAAGCTACTGTAAGTCTGGAGAAAGAGCACCAAGCTAAGCCGTGGCAATTACAAACAAAATGAAAATAAGGAAAAACATTCAAAGGCTATGTAAGAGAATCAACAGGACATGGTACCTAAAGAGCTATATATGTAGGGATTTCAGAGACAGGAGGATAGACTCGTGCATAATGTGGATTTTAATTTCAGCAACTAATATATGCAGATACTGGTAACTACAATACCAGATACGGGAGAAACAGAAACTAGAGTAAGGAGTACACAAATGAGAAAAGATAATAAATTCAGTTTCAGAAATGTCATATGGAGACTGTGGAAGAAGTATCCCAATAGGTAGTTGTAAACACTGCTTTAGAGTTCAAAAGGAAGATTAGAACTAGAAATACAGATGGGAAAGCTGCATTACACATACGGTGGGGAAGCCATGAGATCACCCAGGAAGAACACAGGTAAAAGGCAAGATGCTAGGAATGGATCTGGGAACATCATCATTTAAAGGTGTGCAGGAAAAAAAGTTTTTTTTAAAAAAGAATAAAAACTGGTATAAAAAGTAGGAGGTTAAGTAGCAGAGCTAAGAAACAAACACATTTACAGGCTGAGTGTGATGGCTCATGCCTGTAATCCCAGCACTCTGGGAGGCTGAGATGGAAGGATCACTTGAGCCCAGAAGTTCAAGGACAAACTGGGCAACATAGGGAGACCTTGTCTCTACAAAAAAGTTTAAAATTAAAAAATTAGCTGAGTATGGGAGTACACATCTATAGTACCAGCTACTCAGGAAGCTGAGGCAGTAGGATCACCTGAGCCCAGGAGCTCAAGGCTGCAATGAGTGGTGACTGTACCACTGCACTTCAGCCTGGGTGACAGAGCAACAGCCTGTCTCACAAAACAAACAAAAAACAAAAAAAGAAAAAGAAAGAAAGAAAGAAATACATTTACAGAGGAAGATAACCACTGAATGCTTTAGAAGCAATGGAAGCAGGGAGAGCACTAAAAATAAGTTGTTAAATATGGTAATCAAAAAAGAGCATGTCTAATAAAGAAGTACAGATACAAAAAATTCTTAAACCAAAAAAATTTTTTGAGAGAGGTCCTACTGTATTTCCCAGGCTGGAATGCAGTGGTACAATCATAGTTTACTACAGCCTCAATCTCTTGGGCTCAAGCAATCTTCCCACCTCAGCCTCCCAAGCAGCTGGGATCACGGGTGCACATGACTGCACCCAGCTGACTTTTAAAATTTGTTTAGTAAAGATGAGGTCTCATTATGTTGCCCAGACTGGTCTGGAACTCCTGGGCTCAAGCAGCACTTCTCTGTGGCCTCCCAAAGTGCTGGGATTACAGGTATGAGCCACCACACCTAGCCAAACCAAACTGTTTTTTTGAGACAAGGTCTCACTCTGTTGCCCAGGCTGAAGTGCAGTGATACAATCATGGCTCACTGCAGCCTCAACCTCCTGGGTTCAAGCGATCTTCTCACCTCAGAGTAGCTCCAACTACAAGCATGTGCTACCTGGCTACAAAAAAATTCATTTTTTATAGAGACGGAGTATCACTATGTTGGCTCGCACTGCAAACCAAATATTTATACTGATACATTTAAGAATATATTTTCTTTTTGACTCTTCAAATACCCTAATTTACATGTGGTTATGTTCCAAAAAAAACTTCCTAAGTCAGCTGTTTTGAATTAATAATGGATTTTCCATCCAAAATAATACTACAAATAATGGTTAGCTTTGCAGGTTAGCCCATAATATAAACACTATTCTATATATCTGCAATGGGTTGCTTATAAAAAGCAGTGTTGGGGTAAGTAAAACAAAACAAGATAATGTGTTTAAAAAAGAATATCATGAATTCTGGTAGTTAATGAAAATACTCTGTATAGACAAAACTAAGGAGTAGGCAAAACATTTTGCAGTTAATTCTGAAGTGTACTTCAAAGAACTTTAAAGATTTTAAATATTGATGCATTTTTTAAATAATTTCCAATTTCACTTTGAAATATACAAATTTTTTTCTCTACAGTTTTATTGTCACTATTATACTTGGGGTAAAATTTTTAAATGAGAAAAACAAAGCAAAACAGAAAAACAACTGAGACTAAGTAGGGACATAAAAATATATGTGTCGATGTGTAGACAGGTGAGAAGGAGAGGAAAACAGAGAGGGAACTTTATGGAATAAGTTTTCTTGGCAAAAGCCAATAAAATAATATGGAACACTATTCCTTAAGTAATTATTGAAGTCATTTACCCAAGGATGTTTGTTGGGTGATAAGGGTAGTAGTTATATCTCAAAGAGTAGAGAAAGATACTTATAGAAGAGGATACAAGATTCTTTCAGAGAAAAATCTATACACAACTGGCTTTTGCTATGTAAGATAACACTCAAAGTTAGTGTTTACATCATGGACAGGGCCATTATTTTGAATTAAGAAAAACCACTTACTGTATCTGATTTATTTCAAAATGTAAGACTCTAAATGGCAGGCATCATGGCTCTCTCTCTCTCTTTTTTTTTTTTTTTTGAGATGGAGTTTCGCTCTTGTTATCCAGGCTAGAGTGCAATGGCGCGATCTTGGCTCACTGCAACCTCCGCCTCCTGGGTTCAGGCAATTCTCCTGCCTCAGCCTCCTGAGTAGCTGGCATTACAGGCATGCGCCACCATGCCCAGCTAATTTTTTTTGCATTTTTAGTAGAGACGGGGTTTCACCATGTTGACCAGGATGGTATTGATATCTTGACCTTGTGATCCACCTGCCTTGGCCTCCCAAAGCGCTGGGATTACAGGCTTGAGCCACCGTGCCCAGCCCATGGCTCTCTTAATTCATTTTATGGCATCAGATGTATTGGCCATATGTTAAGGAAATTTAAAAATTAAGATCTGGCCAGGCATGCTGGCTCATATCTGTAATCCCAGCAATTTGGGAGGCTGAGATGGGAGGACTGCCACTTGAGCCCAGGAGTTCAAGACCAGCCTGGGCAATATGGTGAGATCTTGTCTCTAACAAACAAACAAAAAAGCTGGGCATGGCATGGTGGTATGCATTGGTAGTCCCAGCTAATTAGGAGGCTGAGGCAGAAGGATCACTTAAGCCTAGGAGGTCAAGGTTGCAGTGAGCCATGTTCAAGTCTCTGCACTCTAGCCTGGACAACAGAGGGAGACCTAGTCTCGAAAAAAAAAAATAATAATTTTAAAATGACATCTAAAAGTTGGTACTCATGTCATCCATAACTACAACTTAACATACCTATGCCTACCAATGATTTGTTGGTGGTGGTGGTGTTGTTGAGAAGGAGTTTCACTCTTGTCACCCAGGCTGGAGTGTAATGGCACAATTTTGGCTCACTGCAACCTCCACCTCTGGGGTTCAAGCAATTCTCCTGCCTCAGGCTCCAGAGTAGCTGGGATTACAGGTGCTCATCACCATGCCCAGCTAATTTTTTTATTTTTAGTAGAGACAGGGTTTCACCATGTGGCCTGGCTGTTCTCGAACTCCTGACCTCAGGTGATCCTCCTGCCTCAGCTTCCCAAAGTGCTGGGATTACAGGTGTGAACCACTGTGCCTGGCTCTATGATTCTTGATAAACAACATTTTGGGGTATTTCACAGACCTATCTTCGAAAAGGGAGAGATGATAAGTGAGATAGTTATAAAGGAAGGGCTTCCTAAAGAGTTACAGAAACACCTTAAGATCTGTTTTGAAATACTGTCAGGCTAAATTTTTGTGTTTTGTTTTGAGACTGAGTTTCACTCCTGTTGCCTAGGCTGGAATGCAGTGGTACAGTATCAGCTCACTGCAATCTCTGCTTCCCAGGTTCAAGCAGTTCTCATGCCTCATCCTCCTGAGAAGCTGGGATTTCAGGCAGTTGCCACTATGCCTGGCTAATTTTTTGTATTTTTAGTAGAGATGGGGTTTCATCATGTTGGCAAGGCTGGTCTTGAACACCTGAACTCAAGTAATTTTTTTTTTTCTAGAAAAAGGCATTGGCCAATCTAGGATACAAAGGTCTAGGTTATAATAGGCCAGGCATGGTAGCTCATGCCTGTAATTCCAGCACTTTGAGAGGCCAAGGAGGGCGGATCACGTGAGGTCAGGAGTTCAAAACCAGCCTGACCAACATGGAGAAACCCTGCCTCTACTAAAAATACAAAATTAGCTGGGTGTGGTGGTGCACGCCTATAATTCCAGCTACTCAGGAGGCTAACGCAGGAGAATCACTGGAACCTGGGAGGTGGAAGTTGCAGTAAACTGAGATCAAGCCACTGCACTCCAGCCTAGGCAACAAGAACAAAACTCTGACTCAAAAAAAAAAAAAAAGTTATAATAAAAGGCATAAAGGATGGCTAAGAATTCAGTCTGGGCACAGTGGCTCGTGCCTATAATCCTAGTATTTTGGGAGGCAGAAGTGGGAAGATCACTTAAGGTCAGAAGTTTGAGACCAGCCTGGCCAAGATGGCAAAATCCCATCTCTACTAAAAATACAAAAATTGGCACATGTGCCTGTGGTTCTAGCTACTCGGAGGCTGAGGCATGAGAATTGCTTGAACGCAGGAAGCAGAGGTTGCAGTGAGCTGAGATTGCACCACTGCACTTCAGCCTGGGTGACAGAGCAAGACTCTGTCTCAAAAAGAAAAAAAAAAGATTGGTAAGAATTCTATCTTAGTGTTAGCCTCAGTGTTAATGAGTAAAAAAAAAATTGTTTATATTGCAAGAGACACAGTAGTTGAATGAAGTATGGTACACTTTTATAATTAAAACTTTTTTCTTTTACAAATTATAATCAATGGAAGTATGTAATCACCTTGAATTTAGGCCAGATGTAACAGTACTGAAAACATATAATCATTTAAATATCAATTATAAAATCCCACCCTTCCTTCATAAGTCAACACATTTAAAACAACTAATAAAATAACAATCAACCCCCAAAACACTCTCATTATTTTCAACAAATAATTAAAAGTAATTGGAACTCACCCAGATTATCTCTTAAGGCACTAGCTTCCTCGTGGGTTTTGAAATTATAATTCGGTACCAGCTTAAGTCTCATGCGGGAATAATTCTCTGCATTAGCTAGCTTCCAATGAATTGGATTCTGTTTCCTAAGAATATTCAAAAGCAAACGAGTGAAATTATTTAGCTTAAGTTACAAAGATTGTTTGATTTAAATAGTATAAAAAAGTTTCAAGTACTTTACATTTGTTTAGTACCATTTTATTTATTTTTCATTTTTTATTTTTTGAGACAGAGCCTCACTCTGTCACCCAGGCTGGAGTGCAGTGGCACAATCTTGGCTCACTGCGTCTCCTGGATTCAAGTGATTCCTGTGCCTCAGCCTCCCAAAACAGCTGCGATTACCAGCATGTCTCACGATGCCCAGCTAATTTTTGTAATTTTAGTAAAGATGGGGTTTTGCCATGTTGGTCAGGCTGGTCTCAAACTCCTAGCCTCAAAACAATTCACCTGCCTTGGCCTCACAAAGTGCTGGGATTACAAGTGTGAGCCTCCATGCCCAGCCTGTTTAAGTACCATTTTATAAAACTGTTCACACTTTTGATCTCATTTAATCCAAATAACTCTGATAGAACCAAAGTAAGTGTGCATAGCTATACTTTATACATGAGGAATCTAAAACAGACTAAATTATTTGCCCAAGATGACATGAGGTTTATAGGTAGCAGAAATAAGATTTGAACATGGACTTTCAGACTTACAGCTTGATACCTTTACTCTTTCACTGTTAAATAGAAGTTCTTAACTAGCTATACACATGGTTTATATTTCCAATAGTTTTCAAAATAAAAAATAATGTTATTACAAATAAAGACAATATAATTGCAAGTGGATCAAAGATCTAAATATAAGAGCTAAAACTATAAAACTCTTAGGAGAAAAGATAAAAATAAAACTTCATGATCTTGGACTTGGGAACGGTTCCTTAGATATGGCACCAAAAAAATAAAAAAACAATTAAACTGGAGTTAACTAAAATTAAAATCTTACCTGTATAAAAAAGGCTGCTATTAAGAAAGTGAAAAGACAATCTACATATGTGGAAATCACATATATGATAAGGGTCTATTATTCAGAATACACACACACACACACACACACACACTATACAATTCAACAAAAAAAATCAAACAATCTAAAAATGAGCAAAGGACTTGAGAAGACATTGTTCAAAAAAAATTTTTTTAATGGCCAAGAAGAACATGAAAGGATCCTAGACATCATTGATCATTAGGAAATGGAAAATGAAATCATAAAAAAACCACCTTACTTCCACTAGGAGGTCATAATAAAAACTCAGGAAAGAAGCCGGGCGCGGTGGCTCACGCCTGTAATCCCAGCACTTTGGGAGGCCGAGGCGGGTGGATCACGAGGTCAAGAGATCGAGACCATCCTGGTCAACATGGTGAAACCCTGTCTCTACTAAAAATACAAAAAATTAGCTGGGCATGGTGGCGCATGCCTGTAATCCCAGCTACTCGGGAGGCTGAGGCAGGAGAATTGCCTGAACCCGGGAGGCAGAGGTTGCAGTGAGCCGAGATCGCGCCATTGCACTCCAGCCTGGGTAACAAGAGCGAAACTCCGTCTCAAATTAAAACAAAAACAAAAACAAAAAAAACTCAGGAAAGAATGTGGAGAAATTAGAACTCTCACACATTGCTGGTGAGAATATAAAATGATGAAGCTGCTGTGAAAACCAGTTTGGGAATTCCTCAGTAAATTAAACACAGAATTATCACACAACCCAGCAATTCCATTCATAGCCTATACTCAAGAGAATTAAAAACAAGTGTTCAAACGCTTGTACACAACAGCACTATTCAAAATAGCCAGAAAGTGGAAAACAACCCAAATGCCCATCAACTGATGGCTAGATAAAGAAAAGATATATCCTTATAAGGGAATATTATTCAGTCATAAAAAGGAATAAAGTACTGATACACACTATTACATAATGAAAACATTATGCTAAGTAAAAGATGGCAGACACAAAAGGCCACATATTGTATGATTCCATTTCTATGAAATAACCAGAATAGGCAAATAATAAGACAGAAAGCTGATTGGTGGTTGCTAGGGGGTGGGACAGGGGATGAGGAATGACTCTTTGTTAGGTACAGCATTTCCTTTTCGGGTAATAAAAATGTTGTGTAGTTAGACAGTGGTGATGACTTTACAACATTATGAATATACTCAGTGCCAGTGAATTGTACATTTTAAAATAGTTAAAAGGATAAATTTTATGTTATATACATTTTACCGCATTTAAAAAAGGTTTGTAAAAAAGATAGTATAATTTAGCAAAACAGAAGTGACTTAGGATCAATTAAATGAATTGTAAAATATTCAAACATATAACAGTATTAGCCCTATCTCAAAGAGCTAGTGTCAAAAAGATAGAAGTAAATTGGTTTAACACTCTCTAAGGGTCTAAAGTCCAATAAACTTCATGTCAAAGGGTCAAAGGAAGGCAAATAACTGTATGATAAAAAACAAGACAATTCACATCATCCCAGACCTATACTTCACAAAAAGACAATAAATAAGATTAAAAGTACCCTTTTATAAACTGAACATTTAAAAAACTGGAGTGAAAGGGACATTCGTTCAAAAAGTTCTAGACCAGAGTTCTAAAAAAAGAGTACTTAATAAAATTATATCCTCCTACCTTTTAGCCCAAGGTCCCCTTTCACATGTAAGATAGAGGTGTATTGCTTTCCAGCGTCTAACAGTGGCTAACTGTTGACTGCTAAGTTGTTTAAGCATATTATTATACCTCAAGTTCTCTTGGCGTGCTTTTCGATTAAATGGCTCCACAAACAGCTCCTGAAAGAAACAATAAGAAATAAGATCATCGACTCATATGTTTACAGGTATTTTTACATTTTAATTCCATAATTTAAAATTTTTGACCAATAAAATCTTGCAGCATGTGAAAGAAGCTGGTAAGCAACAGGCTTTTCTTCCATTAGAATCATTTTCTTTGATGAAGTATGATATAATTTTACCTATAATCTATTTACTTTTTTAAAAAACTTAAAAACCAACCAACCAACAATAAAAATGTGAAGAACTTCAAAAATGGAAAGTATCTCAACACAGAACTTTTCTTCTGTTTTCTTTTTTCATCTAGCACAAAATGTCAAGAACTTTTAAACTCAAGATAATTAACCTCCTACTTACTGTCAAGTAAAATAATTTTCCTCTGGGATCTTTTGATTTATAAGGCATCTAAAATGAGACTCAAGATGAAAGAAAGTAGAAAGAAGGATAATTACATTCTATACTACCAAGATATAACTTTAAGCTGTGAAATTAATGTTTATAGTTTCAAAGAAACAAACAGAAGACTGGCTTATCTATCTCACATCAATATTCATCTATTAGCAACTAAAATGACAGCACTAATTTGTTTTTAAAAAACCAGCAATGAATTAAATTAAAAAGAACAGTTAAAATTTTAAACAATTTTAGAGAGGTAATACAGCAATGTGTCGTTAAAAATACATGCCTTGGAATTAGACCTGGATACAAATCTTAGCTTTTCTGAGCTAATTCTCTTATCTAAGTTGTTTCTCATAGCTAATTCTCTGAGGCTCAGTGTCCTCTCAGGTGTAAAATGAGGTTAACAATAACTGTCATAATAAAGATGAACATTTAAAGTGCTTAATATAGTGCTAAAAAAATAGCAAGCCTTTGATAACTTGTAGTTGTCATTATTATAATTGTTATTGTTAACTAGTATTAGATGAGTAGGAAATCGACTATTTTAGAATACAATGTTACCAAATACTTAAACAGATCATTGCTGAGAAAACTGAGAAAGTCAAGACAGCTCCATGGTAATTAAACATCAATTTCACAGTTTTGAGGTTCAAGCATATAAGGATATTCTTAAATAAGTATTTCTAGAAAAGGTAAAGTTACAGGGAAAGTGTTGATAAGAATATAAAGTGGTAGAACTTCTCTCAGGGAAATATAACAGTGTTTATCATAAGCACTACATACCGGTAATTCCACTTATCCTAGGGAAATCATCTTGGAAAGTCACAAAAATATAACTATAGGGATGATCAATACTATTTATAATAAAGAAAAAAACTAGTGAGGTCAAACAATGGGAAATACATTTCAATATACTAATATATAAAACAATGGAATACTTTGCAGTCTGGCATGGAAAGATGTTTACAATATATTTTAAGTTAAGAAAGGAGCAACGGTCTCAACCAAATATATACACTTTAAAATTACTTAGGACTACTGAGTCTTCCAATTCATGAATACAGTACCTATCTGTATTTATTTAGGTCTTCTTTAATTTTTTTCAAGTGTTTTTTTAGTTTTTGGCATATATACAGCAGATGCTGTATATATTTTGTTAGACTGATAGTTAAGCATTTTATTATTTTAGAGTTATTGAAAAAGTATTTTTAGAAAATTTCAGTTCCCCTGCTCCAAGAATGTTATGGGAAAAAAAAATTCAGTTTCTCATTCATTATTCATTGCTAGGATATGGAAATATGATTAAATTTTGTGCACTGAATTTATGTCCTGCAGCTTTGCTAAACTTGCTTAATTACAGTAATTTATTGGTAGAACAGAGTCCTTGAGATTTTCTATACAGAGAATCATGTTATCTTTAGACAGTTTTATTTCTTCCTTCCCAATGTGAATGCTTTTTTGTATGTTTTTTTCTATTCTTACTATATTTACTAAGATTTGTGGTACAGTGGTAACTAAGAATGTTGAGAATGAATATCCCTGTCTAGTTCCCTATCTTGGGGGAAAAGTACTCAGTTTTTCACCTCTGAATATGAAGCTAGTGGTAGGATGTTGGTAAAGAGTTAAGTAGTTCCCTTCTATTCCTAGTTTGCTGAGAGCTTTCATTACAAATGGATGTTTAATTTTTTCAAGTGCTTTTCCTGGATTTACTGATATGATAATGCAGTTTTTCTTGTTAAGACTACAAACATGGTCTAGTATATTAATTAATCTTCAAATGTTGAACTAGCCCTGCATCCTGAGGATAAATTCCACTTTGTTGTGTTGTATATTATTATTATTACCATTATTATTATTTTCTAGAGATAAAGCCTCGCTCCTCATCTACATTGGAGTGCAGTGGTAGAATCATGGCTTACTAAAGCTTTGACCTCCTGTACACAAGTGATCCTCTCATATCAGCCTTCTCTGTAGTTGCTACTACACGTGTGCACCACCACACCCAGCTAATTTTTAAATTTTTTGTAGAGGTAGAGTCTTCCTATGTTGCCCAGGCTGGTTTCAAACTCCTCACCTAAAACGATCCTCCACCTTGGCCTCCCAAAGTGCTGGGATTACAGGCATAAGCTACTGTGCTTGATCTGATGTATTATTTTAAAAATATATTGTTAGATTTGTTTTGTAGCTATGTTCCTGACAGACACTGGTCTGTAGTTTTCTTGCACTATTTTTCTATTATTTCACTATGAAGGTAATATTATCCTCATCAATGAGCTGGAATTGTTCCTACTTTTCCATATGTGAAGACACTGAGAAAGTGGCACAATTTCTCCATTAAATGTATGGTAGAATTTGCCAGTGAAACCATTTGGGCCTGAAGTTTTCCCTTTTTGAAGGTTTTTAACTATAAATTCTATTTCTTTAATAGATATAGGACTATTCAGGTTATATACTTATTCTTGAACTAGTTTTGGAAATTTGTGTCTGTTAAAAATTGATCCATTTCATTTAAGTTGTCATATTGTTGTGCATAGAGTGGTTTGTAGTGGTCCCTCATTACAATGCTGATGTCTGTAGAGTCAATGGTGATAATTGCCTCTTTCTTTCCTGGTCTAAATAATTTTTCACATCTCCCTTTCTCTTTTTTTTCTTTGTCAGTATTGCTAGAAGTTTATCAATTTTACTGATATTTTGAGGAACTGGACCTTGGTTTCATTGACTTTACTGTTTTTCTGCTTTCAATTTCATTTATTTCTGTTCTTATCTTTATTCATTCCTTACTTCTGCTGAAAAGGATTTGGATTACTTTTGTTTCTAGTTTCTCTCTCTTTTTTTTTTTTGGTTGAGACAGAATCTCGCTCTGTTGTCCAGGCTGGAGTGCAGTGCAGGATCTCAGCTCACTGCAACCTCCGCCTCCCAGGTTCAAGCGATCTTCCTGCCTTAGACTCCCAGTAGCTGGGATTACAGGCACACACCACCATGCCCAGCTGTTCTTTTTATTTTTAGTAGAGACAGGGTTTTATCATTTTGGCTAGGTTGGTCTCGAACTCCTGATCTCAGGTGATCCACCCACCGTGGCTTCCCAAAGTGCTGGGATCACAGGCGTGAGCCACCGTGCCCAGCCATTTCTCTAGCTTCTTAAGGTAGAAACTTAAAATTCGATGCCTTTCTTCTTTTCGAATATAAATATTATGTGCTGTAAATTTCCCTCTAAGTGATGGTATGTATCCAGCCTCCTTAGATGGATCTATTAACGTACTAGCAGCTTAATAAACTTTTTACATAATCACTATGTACAGAATATTTTACTATTAATTGATCTTAATTGTTACTGATGAGCTGTTTTTCCCCTAATTCTAAGATAATGTTTAAACAAATAATATAAATACTGCTTATAAAATTTGGGGCCTGTATTGCTATTAATATTAAATGCTTAAAATCACATGAAAAACTAGATATTAAAACATTTACTTTTTACCTGAAATTTGAGCTTGCTTTCCCCTCCTTCCCGGTCTCGTTTATGCATATTTACCATTAAAGCTTCATAACAATCTTTCCAATAAAGTGCCATGTTCTCATGACCATCATAAAATGTATGAGTTTCATACTGCTTCATGTAAGGTACAATCTTATCCAAAAAAAAGAATACATAAAATTTAATATATGACTTCACATCTATAAAAATTGTAAATCAGCAGAAAAATCTTGCTCAAACAAGATAAAACTTACATATTTTTCAATGTAAACTTGCCATTCATTTGAATTACAATATTCTTGAAAATCTTCAAAAAATGAGGAGCTACCATTGGTAAAAGGTAAAGAAGGTAGGTGCAAGTTCATGAAGAGAAGCTCATAAATTTTGGAAACCAGGGTACGAACAAGAGGAATCAGAAACGAGTATATTTCAGTCTGTTCCTTGATGGATTGACTTAAAACATGTTCCAGCTTCCCTAAAATGTAACATGCTTCATCCTGATTTTCAAACATTTTGGTCTGAAGAAGGGTATTTAGCTTAGCTGATGCCATTGCACAAACCTGGAAGAAAATAGTTAAGATGAGAAAGAGCAGACTAAAGCAAACATTTAGTGATAGCACAAGTTCCGCCTGGCTCTGTGGGTTCAGGACTTTTATATAATAACTGTCAGGAACTATGAAAGGTCTCAGATGTTACTCTGCCTCCAAGCTAAGAGTTAGCTGCTATAGTTTCACAGGTGTTGGCAGAAGATACAAGACTCCTGGGTCAGAGACAAAGATCCATAGCAATAGCGGTAGACAGAGTATGAGCATTTGCACTGTTTCCTCAAAATGCAATTCTCACAATGAGAGATGAAGAGAACTAGATGATGCCTGCACATGTAGACACATTTTAGTAGAGAAACCAACAGTAAAAAGGAAACCCAACTCTTTTATACTGGGTAGTAAACTTGCCTCATTTTGCCATGGAGGGAGACATTATCTTTATACTGGATAGTAAACAAATCTTCCCTTTGCTCTGCAGAAAGACATAACCTCTATCTTCCAAAGTTGTTCATATGAACAACCTCAAAAAGATTTCCATGGAAATTGTCTACCAACAATGACTGTAGGAAAAAGCAATCTCTTTCTCTGGATATGAAAGAAGTAGCATACAGTCCCAATTGCTGTGGGCATCTGTTTTGTGTCCATAAGGGAGGCCAGCTTAACACAAGCTGACAGATGATGGAGAGTGGTGCTGTGAGAATAGCAAATAAATGGAACTGGAGGTCTGACTGAATCCTGCTTAAATTCACCTTAACTATGAAATTCTCAACCATATGAGCAAAAAAATCTTCTCCACTAAGTCAGTTTGGCTTGATGGTTCTCTTATTTGAAATCAAAAGTATTCTGATACATAAAGCACAGGTATATAGGAGTCCAAGTCCTTGATCAGAATCCTAACTACCCTTAAAATTCCCAAGGACTATACATATTCAGGGCACAAGCCTAGGCAAAGGAATACTACTATTAGGCTTTGGCCTTAATCCCCAATGAGGAAAGGTAAATTAGATGACTAAGGGGTTTCCTTTTTTTCTGGGCTACAGAAAGACCCAAGTTTTAAAATTAAGGCAGGAAAATGACATATTGGGTCTCCTTATCCTTCTCCCTTAACCCGATAATCTCACTTGGATCTATATTACTTCCCAAATAAAGAAAAGAAAAAGAAAATTTAAAAAACAATTAGAACCTGAAACCACTGCAAGAATGTATGTGTGTCAAAAGCTGGTCTGGGCTGTACACACAGGTCTTTGCAGGATAAGGCAACAAAAGACATCAGGTACTCTTTCCATGTAAATCTCAGCAATGTAAAGAGCATTGGAGGAAACAATCTCTAACATAACTCGAAGCTTTGATTTATCTACCCTGCTCATATTTTCCCCCAACCCATCCCTCTTCTCACCTTTTAGTCTTTGAATCCAGCTAAAGGAACTGAATTCCAATAAGGGCCAATAAATTAAAGAAAAAAAGTCACACAATTCCTACATACAGGAAATACCAGTGTTAATATTTTGGGCTTTTTTTTTGCTATGTGTTTAAGAAAATACTATTTACATAAAGAGTTAAATATCCAATGTTTTGCTTTTAACTTAATGTCATGACATTAAATAAACACTAAGTTTACACATTTATTTAAAAATATAAAGATACTTTTAATGAATATAATTTACTTGACTAGTGCTTTAATTTTGGATACTGACATATCACATACATATTATGCTCCCTTTCCCCCTTATTATAAATAGTACTGCAGTAGGGTCACCTGAGGAATTACAAAAAATACTATGCCCAGGCTGGTGTCGTGGCACATACTTATAAACAGCACTTTAGGAGACTGAGGCGGGTGGATCACTTGAGGTTAGGAGTTTGAGACCAGCCTGGCAAACTTGGAGAAACCCCATCTCTACTAAACACACAAAATTAACCAGGTGTGGTGGCACATGCCTGTAATCCCAGCTACTTGGGAGGCAGAGGCAGGAGAATCACTTGAACCCAGGAGGCGGAGGTTGCAATGAGCTGATATCGTGCCACTGTACTCCAGCCTGGGCAACAGAGCGAGACTCCGTATCAAAACAAATAAACAAACAAACACACACAAACAATAAAATACTGAAGCCCTAGTTTCACCCCATTCTGAATTAATTACTATGGGTGATGCACTACATAGGTATGTTTAGAATGCTCCTCTAGGTGATTTCATGTGCAGCCAGGCTGAGCTAAGGCAACAGGGGGAGTAAGAAACCAGGCTAACTAGAGACAATATGTACATCTAAATGAATCAATGACCATGCAGTCCTATTTTTTAAACAAGCTGGGAAATCTTGGTTTTTATGTAAAATTTCTTAATACTTAAATACTGGAAATTAATTAACATCTATGAGCCAAATAAATCAAGTTTTCAGGCAGCTCTATTATAGCCCCTATACAGAAAGAGATTTCTGTCCTAGCTTTTAAAGTGTACAACCTCAGGAAAATAGGTTTTTATTTCTGAGAGAATACAATTACTCAACAGGCTAGTGAGAAATGTTTTAGGTCACTAACTGCTAGTAAATAGAATCAGTCTTATCTGGGCTAGGGGCGGTGGCGGCTCACACCTGTAATCCTGGAAATTTGGAAGGCCAAGGTAGGCAGATCACAGGAGGTCAGGAGTTCGAGACCAGCCTGGCCAACACGGTGAAACCCCATCTTTACTAAAATACAAAACTTAGCCATGTGTGATGGCACATGTCTGTAGTCCCAGCTACATGGGAGGCTGAGGCAGGAGAATTGCTTGAGACTGGGAGGTGGAGCGGTTGCAGTGAACCGAGATCGTGTCACCGCACACCAGCCTGGGTGATAAAGCTAAACTCCATCTCCAAAAAAAAAAGAAGAGTCTGTCTTATTTGTATTTGCAGGTGCTGTGCTTATTTACTTATTTAATGATTACTTATAGAGCCCCTATTATGGAATGGGCACTGAATACTTAATTGTGAACTAAATAAATAGACATTTTGTTTAGGGAAATTTCATCAAATTAAGAAACGCTGAGGATAAATTACAAACGTAAGAAAAAAAAGTCCTAACATCTAAAATAAGGAACTACCTGGCATGCTAACTGCAACTACTTTAGTAGTCATTAGGCTAAAATTAATGAAAAAGCCAAAAAAGCTATTCTCATTCTACTTCTCAGTTGAAAAAAAAAAAAAAAGAATACTATACTGAATCTATGTGTATATAAAGGTGGTTCTGTATTTTATTTTAATTAATTTATTTATTTATTTTGAGACAGAGACTTACTCTTGTTGCCCAGGCTGGACTGCAGTGGCATGATCTTGGCTCACTGCAACCTCCGCCTCCTGGGTTCAAGCGATTCTCCTGCCTCAGCCTCCCAGGATGGGGTTTCATCATGATGGCCAGGCTTGTCTCAAACTGTTGGGGTCAAGTGATTTGCCCACCTCAGCCTCCCAAAGCGCTGAGATTACAGGTGTGAGATACCATGCCTGGCCAGTTCTATATCTTAGATTATTACTTTAGGATTGGTTTCAGAGTATAGTTACTAGAGAAAGAGTCTTTTTTTTAAAAAAAAAGTTCTTAGTTCATCTATTTAAGAATTACATTTAAAGTCTGTATAATTCAAACTTTCATCATTTGTGTACTTTAATGCCCATATACCTGTTTAGCTTTTCCACATTTTCCAAGTTTTCTACAATGAATGTATGTTAATTTTAGGATGAAAGAAAAAAAACTCTATTACTAACAGAAAAATAAGTTTACATAACAGTGAGAAAAAGAAAAAACACAAAGCAATCCAAATACATGACATCTGAAAAAGATATATTCATAGAACAAGAAAGAAAAATCATACTAAAATACTAATAGTTATTTTCCCTTATGTTATAGGAAGGTGAATTATTTACATTTTCCTCTATGCTTTTATTTTCTACAATGAGTATGCGTTACTTTTATAATGAAAGATAAATATCTATTAAAAATAGAATGACTTCTCTGCAGCATTCACAATAAAAAATATAAATAAACAAAAATAAAAAATAGAATCATCAGATTATGACATTTTAAAAATAGAATGGCTAGGGCCAGGTGCGGTGGCTCACGCCTGTAATCCGAACACTTTGGAAGGCCACGGCAGGTGGATCACCTGAGGTTGGGAGTTCGAGACCAGCATGACCAACATGGAGAAACCCCATCTCTACGAAAAATACAAAATTAGCCAGGCATGGTGGTGCATGCCTATAATCCCAACTACTCGGAGGCTGAGGCAGGAGAATAGCTTGAACCTGGGAGGCGGAGGTTGTGATGAGCTGATATCGTGCCATTGCACTCTAGCCTCGACAACAAGAGCAAAACTCTGTCTAAAAAAAAAAAATAGAGTGGCCAGAGGTAATGGCTCACATCTGTAATCTTGGCACTTTGGGAGGCCGAGGTGGGTGGCTCACATGAGGTCAGGAGTTCGATACCAGCATGTCCAACATGGTGAAACTCCGTCTCTACTAAAAACACAAAAAAATTTGCCAGGCATGGTGGCAGGTGCCTGTAGTCTCAGCTACTTAGAAGGCTGAGGCATGACAATCACTTGAACCTGGGAGGTGGAGGTTACAGTGAGCCAAGATTGCACCACTGTACTCCAGCTTGGGAGACACAGACTCTGTCTTAAAAAGAAAAAAAAAAAAAAGAAAGAAAAAGAAAAAAATATATATATATATGGCAACCTGATGTCAGAATTATAACCTCTCCATGTTCTTATTAATATTATATCTAGTTTATGTAAATCAGAAGCCAGTTCTACCCCAATCTTCCTGCACCAAATACAAAAATGGAAACATCAAAATAAAATAAAAAGGGCCAGGTAAACAGCTATTAAATTCTTACCACGACTAATCTAACCCAGGTTCTCACAAGCACCCGATGTAAGTAGAAAAATGACAGACCAAAATTCACACCAAATTTTTCAGTCTTTTCCATTTTTAATTTAAAATAGAATAAATATTCCTTGTGATCAATATTTTATTTCTCTTTATTTCTAAAACCTAGCACAGTGCTTAGTACTTTGTAGGTATTTAGTGTGTGATAAAAAAATTTGAGATGGAATGTAAAAATTGTGAATTAGTAAAATAGCAGAAAAAAATTGAAAAGAGTAATTTAAAAAATAATTTTTCTAAAAAATGCAAGCCCTAAACCATATGTATATAAACAATTGTTGCAAGCTACCTAGCACCTAGGTAGTTACACTGAATACAGATGATATACTAACATAAGCTATATATAAATCCTATAAAAGAAAGCCTTAAAATTATATGAAGTTGTTAATATCAGGAAGAAGTAATAAATTAACTGCCTCTCAAGTTCCTCAAAACTTCAAGTGAAATCATGGATAGTTTTAGAACTAATAAAAAACTTAAAATACCAAAAAGACATTATCATTTGCTTAAATAATACCATAAATAATACCTATGCTACATGCAAGCACAAAAAATAATATTAAAAAATTGACAAACCTGTAAATTACCCCTTCCGATGAATCCTAGAAGCAACTGGATCTGAATTTGAGAGAGTTTTACCCATAATGGATTTTCAGAATACCAGACTGACAGACAGTCAAAGAGCAACATCATATCCTCTAAAAGCTATCACGAAGGAAAAAATTGAGAAATAAAAACATTAAGTTTTTCAATTTACTGATGATCAATTTTCCCCAACATTAATACAAACCACAAATATTTCAAAAACTAGTCTAATGTTCAGTTGACAAAAGCCAAAAGAATCATCCTAGTAATAGCTAACAAAAATCTGTGGCTATTCATCACATCTTATCTATGTTTATTGAATATGATTATGTATTAATGCTCTAAAAAGAGGGGATACAAAATTTGTTTTTGAATAAAGTTCTTAATTACCCAAAACATAATTTTAAAGAGATATTACTGCACCTTCTCAGTCCACATGTTTGGATTAACTAGTCCCTCTGACTGAAGAAAGTCCTGTATTATCAGCATTAGTCGGAAGGCATTTTCAGCAGTTACTGGATTAGTTTTTGCTTCTCTGTTTTCTGAGACTGCCCATTCTAACATCTTTTGTAGCAAACTAAATGGAAAACAAATTCCTCTTAAAGCCATTGTGAGCTCAGAAAAATAGAACATTAAAAACAAAACAAAACAGCTTGAGAGGCAGCATAGTATCTCCAAAGATACACGATTACTAGTAGGTATCCCTAAAACATTGTAAAAGAATTTTTTTTTTTTTGAGACAGAGTTTTGCTCTTGTTGCCCAGTCTGGAGTGTAATGGCATGATCTTGGCTCAGCGCAACCCCCGCCTCCCAGGTTCAGGCGATTCTCCTGCCTTAGCCACCCAAGTAGCTGGGATTACAGGCATGCACCAACAGGCCTGGCTAATTTTTAGATTTTTAGTAGAGAGGGATTTTACCAGGTTGGCCAGGCTGGTCTTGAACTCCTGACCTCAGGTGATAAGCCTGCCTCGGCCTCCCAAAGTGCTGGGATTACAGGCATGAGCCACCATGCCAGGCCTGTAAATGGAATTTAACAATAATGGAGAAACACTGAAATGTTTGGAGTATTTATTTTTAATATACCTAGTATTAAAAGTCCAAGTAAAAGTTCCCTGTTTTACCTGACTATAAAAAAACTATGACATAATTCACATTCCATCCTTCATGAGATACTTAGTTTCTTTAAAGCTGGCAATTGGCAAGGTTAGAGAAGAAACCCTTATTATGCCTTACAGAGGATCTAGCTCTGTGGAAGAAAAGATGTCATTCTTCCCTTGTATGCTACCATTACAGAGTCCTATTACCTACAGCACAGGTGTCCAATCTTTTGGCTTCCCTGGGCCACATTGGAAGAATTGTCTTGGGCCACACATAAAATATGCTAATAGGTTGAAGCAGGTGACTCAAGAGGTTAGGAGTTCGAGCCCAGCCTGATCAACATGGTGAAACCCTGTCTCTACTAAAAATACAAAAATTAGCCAGGCATGGTGGCATGGGCCTGTAATCCCAGCTACTCAGAAGGCTGAGACAGGAGAATTGCTTGAAACTGGGAGGCAGAGGTTTCAGTGAGCCGAGATTGCGCCACTGCACTCCAGCCTGAGCAACAGGGCAAGACTCAGTCTCAAAAATAAAATAAAATATGCTAATAATATTTTAATGATATGTTTTAACAATAGCTAATGAGCTAAAAGAAATTGCAAAAAAATCTCATAATGTTTTAAGAAAGTTTATGAATTTGTGTTGGGCCACCATCCTTGGCTGCATGTGGCCTGCAACCTGTGGGTAAGACATGCTTGATCTACAAAGAACCCTAAATCCTTCAGAGAAATAATTTTCATGAAAACATAACTCCCTTCTCTTAGCATGGAAACACTCAAATATAGACAAGCCTGCAGAAAACAATGCATCAAGTCCTCAAATACCACAAGAAAACAGTTTAAACAAAAAATCTGTAATCACTTATGATCTAGATTTACTTAAGACTTAAACCTCCTCATATTGGAATAAGTTTGGGATTCCTCTTTAGATCCTAGTAGTATGGCAAAAGATAGGAAAAGGAACTGAGTACAAAGTTTCTCTTTTTCTCCCTTTTTATATCCACAGAATACTGAATAAATGTTCAATAACTAAAATTATTTTAGACTCCTGCTCTCACCAAAAGGAAGATGGAAAATCACTAACAAAATGCTTACATTAGTTTTATTTCATCTGATGGTCGAAGTAGCTCACTGGATATTCCTGGTTTACTTAGTGCTGAAAATACTTGTCCTCGTTCAATCCAAGTATCATCATCAGACTTTTCTAGTCCCTTACACATTACGTAATTCAAAATATTTGTCAGTAATTGAAGAAGCTCTTCCTCACATCTCTATGAAAAAGATAAAGTAATTAAAAATAACTAGAGGGTGTACTTGTTCAAAGCACATCATAAGAGCCATTATGTATACTCATTGTAATCATTTAACATATTTTTAAAGTGCCTTAATGAACCTGAACTTTACTAGGCACTAAAGATATAAGATGAGTAAGACACTAGCTTTGCTCTCAAGAAACTCACAATCTAGTCACTTCTAAGTTTCTAAACCTTAGATCATGAAACTTAGAACATGAATATAAAATTGTTAAGAACTGCTCACATATTTCTAAGGATTAGAAGTATGTATCAGACATGAAAATAAAAATAGCATTTGGAAAAATAAGCAATTTTACCTCTTGGCTTTCAAGTAAAGAGAAGTCATCACTAAAGCCCATATCATTTGTGATGCTGCTTTCTTTGCCAGAGTGCACAGAAAATGATTTAGTAGACTCTATTGGCGATGGTGTGCTAGGCAGACTGTCTGGCACTTGACTTCCACTATCACTCATTTCACATGAGTCAATTCCACTGAGATCTAAACGGAAATGTGAAGGGTTGCTATGCCAGAATTCTTCTTGATTCTCTGATTTGAAAGACAATTCTCCCATAGAGCTATCTTCTTGATATAATGGTGTGTTTGAGTCTAAAGAGTGTCTATCCTCCAAACTCCACTGATCCGAAGACACTTTAGCTGAGGAAAAAGAGGTGATTTTTTCCTCATCTGTTTTTTCATCAAAGTTCTTCTTAGTATCTTCAGTTGACATATACTTATCATTGTCTTTCATTAAAACAGCTCTACTGTGCTTATGAAGAATATTTCCATTTTCAAATTTTGCTTTTAAAAAAAGCCTCACTAAGGTGTCTTGCCACCCCACTTGTTGTGATATTTGATGTGCTGCATCTGGGTGAAACTGCAAAATTTGTAAAACCTGTAAAAAGATTAAGAATACAAAATTCTTCAAAAAGTACATAGTACTTTATATTAAAAAGTCTCTTCAGTTATTTTAATAATAAAGTAATTTAATGAGAAACTGCAGAAGAATATACTTTCAAAAGATTATATTCTTAATTAGATTAAAAACTATTTGGAAGACTGGCATTGTGTTTCCAACAAATCTCCATACTACTCATTGTACAGAGTAAGGGTGAACTAAAATATTTGCTGAAAGATAAAAAAGGAAAATTAAAATGAATAGGATGATGGTGTACATTAAATAATAGAGTAACATCCTTTCAACTAAATACTTTCCATGAGCCCACTACATTTGTTCAGCAAATACTATTGCATACCTACTATGTGCTAGGCACAGGGGAGCGAAAAGGACACATAAGGGGAGCATTAGAGGAGTGAACAGGACAATTAAGACATTTTGATAGAACCTGGGTACACCAAGGATGTTTTTCTGTCTCATTTTTTTTTTCAGGGAAAGTTAATGGTTGCTTTTTTTTTTTTTTTGAGACAGTGTCTTGCTCTGTCACCCAGGCTAGAGTGCAGTGGTATGATCTCAGCTCACTGCAACCTCTGCCTTCTGGATTCATGCAAATCTCCTGCCTCAGCCTCCCAAGTAGCCAGGACTACAGGCATGCAGTACCACATCCAGCTAATTTTTGTATTTTTAGTAGAGACAGGATTTTACCATGTTGGTCAGGCTGGTCTCGAACTCCTGCCTGCCTTGGCCTCCCAAAGTGCTGGGATTACAGGTATGAGCCATTGCACCCAGCCTAATGGTTGCTTTTGCAAAACATTTTTGTTCAGTAAGTCTACACTAAATTCTACGTTGTTTATTAAGTCTATATTATACAAACAGAACAAAAACTAAACTTAGTCCCAGAAAATGAATTTCAGCAAGATGGATGCCACTGCTTAGCCAGAACAGTAAACAGTGACATGGGAATATGTATGATCTCTACTATCCAGTTGATTTCAATTTTTAGATAAAAACAAGTTCTTAAAAACCTTTAGACATTCACTTAAGATCTTTTAAGACAATTTTATCACAAAGCCAATAAAATTCTATGCAGATAAAAAGAACTTTAACTTCCAGGCTTTTGAGCATCTCTCTTAACAGAAGTTTTAGCTCTGACAAATTTCATAGCAAGAGATGAAAAATGTTGGTAAGGACTTCAATATTACTAGTACTAATATATGTTGATACAGAAGGCAAGGAGTCACAATGATGTGAAGATTCTTTCTTTACTAATGCTATATCAATCTGTGAGCCACTGTTACTTTATACATACAGAATACCAATTTTTTTCCTTCCACATTAAGCTCTACTTGGCAAAGAAACTCTTCATGCTTTCATGACTTTAACGTTTCCATAAAATAAGACTTACTTTGTACCTATTTTATACACAAATAATAGATAAAACCAAGCTGCACCGAGAGCTGTTTCTATCTAATTATATGTGAAAAAGAAAAAATCAATTTATAAGGCCTGCTTCAAATACTCAGAACAGAGCATACAGGGAAATAATCACTATCACACACACTGTTTGTATAGATGTAAACTGGTACAGTTATTTTGAAGGACAATGTGGAAAAATCCATCAAAAGGTAAAACATTAATACCCTTTGATATAGCAATTCTATTTCATGGAGTATGTCCTACAGATGTATTATCACAAATAGGAAAACATAAAGACATTCATAACAGCAGTTTATAACATGGAAAAGCAGGTGTCTATCAATAAGGAACCAGATAATACTTTAGAGGATAGCCATACAATGAAACACTATGCAGCCATTAAAGAGAAAAAGAAATTATATATATATAATACACATATATACACATATTAAACAAATACATATTTTTCTTTTCTGTCAGTTAAACAAATAAACTATATATATATGTGTGTGTGTGTATATATATGTGTGTACTTTCTCTCTGTCTCTCCAGAGAGAAAGATGATAGCTAGCTACATAGATACATACATACAAAAGAATTTTAACTACATACATATATACATACATACATACATAACATTAAAAAATCAGGAGGTAAAATTTTTTTAAAAAGCAAGGAAGCAAATTAGACAGGTCAATGGTACCAGTGGAGGACAGAGAAAGATATGATCTGAAAAGGGCAGACAGGCTAACTATCACTTGACTTAGTTAAAGGTTAACTGTGTACTGAAGACAAACCATTGCTGAAATACTCATAAACAAATTATAAAAAATTATTCCCAGAAAGTTCGAAAGATTCAAAACTCTAAAATATGGTATACAAATTAGAATTGGTCATGATCATTGAAGGTTCTTAATAAAAAAACTACTCTCTGGTAATAAATGTTTGATTCTGGAAAGAACATATTTGCAGGAGACCATGAAGAGCTAAGAAAACTTTCAAATGCTAATTTCTTATGATTACATAAAGTTAATTTACTTCAAAAAGAAAATTGTTTACTTACAAAACTATGTCATTTATAAAATAAGATAAATGAAAACTTGTATCTGCTGCAAAACACTAATGCAAAGTTATTTACAGCGTGATAAAGATGCTATCATTAAAATACATCTTAAGAGTTTACTGACCTTTCTGCAGATGGCCACTCTAACATTTATATGTGCTCTGTGAGATATATATACCACAGATAATAGATCTTTGAAATGAATAACAGGATCTATGACAGAAAAACAAAAAGTTAAAATTAAATACCAGAGATAACCCATGAAAGAACTGTGCATAATACTTGTATAAAATGCTGTAATAATTAATTCATTTTAAAATATGAATTATAGGTATGTTCAAATTTTAAAGAAAAAAATAGGTTTAGAATATTTGACATCCTCCTGAGTTAAACCTAAATAGCTGTTACTTTCTTTTGATTGCTTGAACATACTGTCCATACTGCATGGCTTTTACATTAGTATCTATCTTTTTATGTACGTGTCTTATCAACAAGATTGTAAACTACTCAAGACAAAATTCTCATATCTCCAAACTCCCAGCATTTGGCATAAATTCTATAGTGTGTCATTAAGTACTAAAAGAACTATTTAAGAAAATTAGAAGCAGGGCATGGTGGCACATGCCTGTAGTCCCAGCTACTTAGAAAGTTGAGGTGGGAGGATCACTGCATCCAGTATGAGGCTACAGCAAGCTATGATCAGACCTGTGACTAGCCACTGCACAACCAGCCTGGTCAATACAGCAAGACTCTGTCTCTAAAAAGAAAAACCAAAAACCAAACCAAAACAAACATAAAGAAGAAACCACAAAGAATATCTAAAATTAGTTTTCATTTGCCTTTAAAAATTTAAGCTCCTTAAAGAAAAAACAATCTTTTGTACATAATTTCTGTAGTGTCCTTTTCTTGTTCTGTGGACTCAGTTATTAACTTAATCACTGAGTCAATAAACATTTACTGAGTAAGGAACTGTGCTATGCCCTGGAGAGACAAAAAAAACAAAACTATACAAGACACGGTAACCAAGGAAGGCTCTGCTGAAACAAATAACAGATCATTGTATTTATTTATTTTTGAGACAGAGTTTCAATCTTGTTGCCCAGTCTGGAGGGCAATGACACAATCTCAGCTCACTGCAACCTCCGCCAGCCAGGTTCAAGTGATTTTCCTGCCTCAGTCTCCCAAGTAGCTGGGATTACAGGCATGCACCACCATGCCTGGCTAATTTTGTATTTTTAATAGAGATAGGGTTTCTCCATGTTGGTCAGGCTGGTCTCAAACTCCTGAACTCAGGTGATCAACCTGCCTCGGCCTCCCAAAGTGCTGGGATTACAGGCTTGAGCAACCGCACCCAGTTGTAACAGATCATTTTAAAAGCAGCCTGAAAAAGGTATGAAAAAACTTAGAGGAAAAAACATTTCTTATATATGTTAGCTTTATCAATATTATTCATACCTGTATTTATGATTTGATTGGTGAGGTTTTTAATGAGAGAAGTATTAACAAGTGCTTCATTAAGAAGGAGTCCCAGTCCTGAGTAGCCAACGTCTCTGAGTCGAATATGTTGTTTACTACGCTCATAAACATTCGTGCATTTCAACATTTGTTCCATAATCTGGTCACAACAAGTAATACATTCTCAATACAGAAAACTAGTAGTTTGTCACTTATTAACATTAAATTTTGTTAGTTAATATCATTAGTATTAATATTAATGTTAATAAGTATTGCTATTAACTTATAGCAATATTAACTTATAGACTAAAATAACGCTATTAATTCATAGAATAAAATATTGCTATACTTTGTTTTTGGAGCATCATTTTATTCCTTAAGTATAAAAACCTCAGCATTAACCCATTTATGCTGGAGTTTGCAATTTTTTGGATTGAAGACATGCATGAAAAATCAGACCTTGTTGATGACCTTGAGCAGTGGTATATAAATAACTCCTGCATGCCTAGTGTTCCAATAATGGGATGCTAGGCATAAATGAATTTAATAGGGAGGAGCAATCTGTGTTATACTATTATGTAAAAATGGGTTTACGAATAAACTGGGCCTGGCATGGTAGCTCACGCCAATAATCCCAGCATTTTGGGAGGCTGAGGTGGGCAGATCACTTGAGGTCAGGAGTTCGAGACCAGCCTGGCCAATATGGTGAAACCGTGCCTCGACTAAAAATACAAAAATTAGCCGGGCATGGTGGTGTGTGCCTGTAGTCCCTGCTACTAGGAGGGCTAAGGCAGGAGAATCGCTTGAACCTAGGAGGCAGAGGTTGCAGTAAGCCAAGATCATACCACTGCACTTCAGCCTGGGTGACAGAGCATGACTCTATCTCAAAAAAATTAACAAATTTAAAAAAAGAAGGGCCGGGCATGGTGGCTCATGCTTGTAATCCCAGCACTTTGGGAGGCCAAGGTGGGCGGATCACAAGGTCAGGAGATCAAGACCATCCTGGCCAACATGGTGAAACTCCATCTCTACTAAAAATACAAAAATTAAGCCGGGCATAGTGGCAGGAGCCTGTAATCCCAGCTACTTGGAAGGCTGAGGCAGGAGAATCGCTTGAATCTGGAAGGCGGAGGTTGCAGTGAGACGAGATTACGCCATTGCCCTCCAGCCTGGGGGACAAGAGCAAATTGAAATGCACCTGTATTTGAATAATCAGTATGCTTAAAACTTTAATCATATGGCAAATTAAAGAGAAATAATTAAAAATTTTGTTTCTTAATGGGAAAGGCTTGAATGAAAACAAACCATGTAGCTTGCAAGAACAAATGTGTGTCAATACACCTCTGGATCAATCTAATAATCCACTTAAGTAACAGTTATTAAAATTAAAATAATTTTCAAGGATAAGTAAACATTTGTGAAGCTACTCATCTATTTATTTTATACATTGCTGATCCCTCTGGACTCAGTTTCTTCATCTGTAAAATGCGAATAGTAATAATACCCACTCCATAAAGTTGTTGCAGGATTAAGTAAGCCAATATATAAAAAATGCTTAATGGCTGACATACAGTGGTTGCTATATAAAGTTAGCTATTAATTGTTGAAATGTTCTGAATTGCCACATAGACCCACCAAGTCAAGAAGATGAGAGGTTTTATATTGAGGATGGTATGACAAAGTGAATATTCCACTGAGATGATTTTCAGATTACAATAGAATTAGTTTTTAAATATGTAAACAACTAGAACATAAAAACTATATATAAAAATAAGTTGAACAACTTAGAGAAATAGATATAAAAATAATTTACAGTCACAGAATGGATATATTGCAAGAAAATTCATATACCCACAAATGCCCCAAAATACAAAGATGTTTAAGAAATGTTTCTACCTTAAAAATGATTTCTCTTAGTCTGTCAGAGTACTTCTGGTTTAAGAGCAAGGCATACAGTATGTCAGCATTTCCTGGTTCAAAGAGCAGTAAGAAAAGCTGACCTCGACTTGGGCTGGTGCGTAGGAGACTGAACAGTACATCCAAAATTCCAAAGAGCTTTTAAAATTAAACAACACAAAACAATTCACCACATTCATATATACAAGCACAAATAAGGTCATAAGCCACAAAGAGTCATTTAATTAAGTCCTATATACTCTAATGTTTTAACTTTACTGTATCTGATGATATGGTTTGTTTGTTTTTTTTGACAGGGTCTCCCTCTGTTGCCTAGGCTGGAGTGCAGTGGCACAATCACAGCTCACTGCAGCCTCAACCTCCCAGGCTCAGGTGATCCTCCCACCTCAGTCTCCCAGGGGTAGCTGGGACTACAGGTGTACACCATTATGCCTGACTGATTTTCTGTATTTTTGGTAGAAAAGGGGTTTCGTCATGTTGTCCAGGTAGTCTAAAACTCCTGGGCTCAAGTGATCCACCCAGCTCACTGTACCTCGCCTCTGATATCTTTTGAACCTGGCCTCTGATATGCTTTTGTCTTATTCAACTTCCTTTAGTATATCCCTTTCACTATTCAAATTTACCTGTTGGAACCATATCTATCCTGCTTTATCTACATGAAAAGACATCTCCTCCAAAAGTCTTTCCTGGTCTCTGCAACATGTAAAAAACCCTCTTATGAAAACCTCACAGAACTTTGTATCTCTCTTATAGATATTATCATACTCTTTTTTGTTTATATAGTATTTGTAAACCTCTCTTATTGACGCCACCCTATTAGCTTAAGAGAATAATAATTCATCATTATATTACCTATAATGTCTAATATTATTGTGTGTAAACAGTAAGTCCTCAACAAATAACTCTGACTGAATTGACCAAAAAAATATTGCTGGCAATGAATCACAGATACAGCTATAATGAAATAAGATGGGAATAATGAGTTTTTTTAAGTAGTCCCGCCTTATGGGAAAATAGCCTGCAGTAACTCATCTAAATAATACCGATAATGAAGCTATGTAACCACTGAGTATGTAATAAATATTACATACAGAGGGAAAAATGTCCTAGTTAACATAAATCTACTTAAATTTGTGGTATTGAGGAGATTATACCAGAAGAGCACAAAAATGGCACTAAGAAAACATTTAGGTTCCAGTTTCAGGCTTATCAGCTGTATGACTTTTTAAGTCACATAATCTCTCTGAATATAAATTTCCAAAAGCGTACATGCAAAAAGTAATTCCTGGTCTGTCTGTTATAGTGGTGGTTCTCAAATTTTACCATGTGCACCAGAAAAATCTGGAGGGCTTTATTCAGCAGTTGAATTGCTTGAACCCAGGAGGCGGAGGTTACAGTGAGCCGAGATCGTGCTACTACACTCCAGCCTGGCACCTGGAGACAGAGCGAGACTCTGTCTCAAAAAATGTATATGTGTGTGTGTGTGTGTGTGTGTGTGTGTGTGTGTGTGTGTGTGTATTTAACTAGACAAATACATAGGCTCAAAAGATGATGTAGCAACTCAAATGTTAAAAAGGAAAAGTAGATTTATCTTAGGCATAATACCTGTTCTTCTTCATTAATAGCAGCTATGTACCCCATAATACTTTGTATCTCTTCATGAGATCCACCTTTGCACAGAAAATATTTAATTAGTCCATACAAAGAAGTCCTTATTGTTCGAATATCATCTAGAGATAGTTCATTATATTTACAACCATTCCTGAAACAGAAAACAAGTGAAAGAATTGAAATTTTAATTTTTACATTTCTATATTTTCTATATAAAAGAATTGATAGGGTTAAAAAAAATCTTTCCATGTAATTCTGAGATTCAAGGTAACTTTGGCTTTTCTTTTTATGGAAAATCTTTTGAGTTAAGAGTTTCAGTGACAGAAATTAAAAATGTTAAAATAGCTTATGTGAATACAATACCCACTGCATAGCAGACATAGTTTAAGTGTTTTACATTATTAACTCATTTAATTTAATCCTCAAAACAACCAAAGGAGGTAACAGTTTTCTTATTTCCCTTCAAAAATGAAGAAACTCAAGCACAGAGAGGTTGATTTGCCTATAGCGGCCTGATTAATGAAAGCCAGATTCAAACCCACTGTTCATCATTTTAATCTCCACTCTATCCTACTTCTCTCCAGCTAAAACATACTAGAATCGCTGGTAAAGAGAAAGTCTACAGTCTACAAATTCCAGTCAAGTAGCAGACAGAAAACAACATATCAAACGGAGAAGGAACAAGGGCATCATACCCATAATAAATCCTAAGTGTATCTAGAAGAAACTGCACACCAAACTTCTTTCGGAAAACTCTCCTGCTGTCTTTAATGATGGTTGAAAGATACTGTATGTGACCTAAAATAGAAAGTTCAGTGGTAAGTTATTTAGCTAAAATAAGGTCAACAAGTAGTTATACATTTCTAAAACAACTATAAAATTTTTATCTGAAAGACTGCTCTCACCAATTCGAAAGGGAAAATCTCCACGGTTCCAAATACGAAAGTCAAAGAGTAAATATTGATACATTTGTTGCAGGAGCTGCACATTTTTCTCTAATGATACTTGTTCAATTAGTAACTGAACTGCCATCAACACATTAACATCCATCAAGGTGCTTGGCACCTGAAATCAAACAGAAGAAGGTTCCACATAGTTCAGTTTAAATAACTGTCATTAAGCTATGATTTTAAATCATTAATTCAGAACATCTACTGAGAATAAAAATGGAAAAACCTACATTAGAAAAATATAAACTTAAATATTGATTTTTCTGATGTTATACCACAATATATTCTCCTAGTGTCATATTCCTAAACTAGTCTTACATTTCTCAATATCTCAAATATAAAGCTATCAAACAAGGTTGTATACATCAAAGATTATACACTATTATATAAAATAGGCATTTCTTATATAAGATGATCCTATACAAGTTTTAAAAGCTGCCTGTGAAACAAATCATATCCATTAATATAACTTAAGTGGTAATAATCCTTAAAAATATATTTACTAAAAAGAACTATCATCAGAGTGAACAGGCAACCTATAGAATGGGAGAAAATTTTTGCAGTCTACCCATCTGACAAAGGGCTAATAATCCAGAATCTACAAAGAACTTAAGCAAATTTACAGGAAAAAAAAAAAACATCAAAAAGTGAGTGAAGGATATGAACAAACACTTCTCAAAAGGAAAAATTTATGCAGCCAACAAACATGAAAAAATGCTCATCATCACTGGTCGTTAGGGAAATGCAAATCAAAACCACACTGAGATACCATCTCACACCAGTTAGAATGGCAATCGTTAAAAAGTCAGGAGACAACAGGTGCTGGAGAGGATGTGGAGAAATTTACGAATGCTTTTACACTGTTGGTGGGAGTGTAAATTGGTTCAGTCATTGCGGAAGACAGTGTGGCGATTCCTCAAGGAGCTACAACTAGAAATACCATTTGACCCAGCAATCCCATTACTGGGTATATACCCCAAGAATTATTACTTGTTCTATTATAAAGACACATGAACACATATGCTTATTACAGCGCTGTTCACAATAGCAAAGACTTAGAACCAACCCAAATGCCCATCAATGATAAGAAAATGTGGCACATATACACCATGGAATACTATGCAGATGTAAAAAAGAATGAGTTCATGTCCTTTGCAGGGACATGGATGAAGCTAGAAACCATCATCCTCAGCAAACTAACACAACAACAGAAAACCAAACACTGCATGTTCTAATTCGTAAGTGGGAGTTGAACAATGAGAACACAGATGAAACTGGAAACCATCATTCTCAGCAAACTAACACAAGAACAGAAAAACAAACACTGAATGTTCTCACTCATAAGTGGGAGTTGAACAATGAGAACACATGGGCACAGGGAGGGAAACATCACACACTGGGGACTGTCCAGGGGTGGGGGTGGGGCTAGGGGAGGGATAGCATTAGGAGAAATACCTAATGTAGATGATGGGGTGATGGATGCACCTAACCACTGTGGCACAAGTATACCTATATAACAGACCTGCATGTTCTGCACATGCACTCCAGAACTTAAAGTACAATTAAAATACACACACACATACACACACACACACACACACACACACACACACACACATATTAGAAAGAAAAAATCCCAACATCAACTGCAAATCACAACCATTAGCTATATCAACAAAATGCTAGACTGGCTCACCTTCTGAAGTAAAGCACCAAGAGTTGCAACTCCATGGGAGTGAATAAGATTGTCCTGGTTGATAGGGTGTCTCTGAATAAAATGTTTCACAATCAAGATAAATGTTGCAACTAGGTTTCTCTCTAGTCTTGACTCTGTGGAATCAGGAACATACTAATTATCACAATTACTCTAATCACTTTCATATCAAGTTTTCTATATCATAATGCATACTGTCACACAGTAGAAATCTGGTTCAGGAGTTGGCTTCCAAGGCTCCCATTGTACAACAGAATCAGAAAAAGTAGCAACTGCAATATTGTATATTTACATACACATATTTTTTCTACTATAAATTTAACAGTGTGGTCATATTTCCACTAAGAGCAGAAACTAAGAATACTGGAAAGTTATCTTTAGTTTTTTGATAAAAGTATTATAAACTTTCTGAATGATATTTGTAAAAGTAGGAACAGCTGCTATAGCTACAAATGGTTAAGTTTCTTCCTAATGACAGCAAAATATTTTCCTCTATTTCTCAATTAAGTCTCAAATTTCTCAATGACTATCTTGTGTTAGTTTCATCGTAATACCTGAGGCCTTTGTGGAAGTCAATATGAGCCCATCTCCTTCAACAGGTGTTACTGATTCAGGAACTGTGCTTTCATTCTTTTCTTCAGGAATCTGTCCTTCACTAAAGTGGCTGATTTGTTCCAATAAAGGAAAGAGTACATTTAACCCGCCTATGCAGTTTATGATATCCTAAAGGGAAAATTATAATGTTTAAATCTTATAAAACAAGGACAATTTTGTCATTTAATATCTTCATATGTATGACGTTATAATTTACTAGATAAACCTTTAGGCAATGTATGGGATAACCTAAGCTGAAGAAACTTTTGTGTGGGAAGATGCTTTAAAGAGCAGCCTCAAGGGTCACCATAATCAATACTTAAGAGAGATCAGGCCAGACCATTTTTACTGCATCTTTGTTTTCCAAAGTTTAGGGATTTTGAACATAGGCAAATGAAACATAACCCCATAAGTGGACTTTATAAGGTAACTCCCAACAATGGAGAAACAACTGTCACTAGGCAATTAGGCATAATAAACAAGATAATAAATAATTTAAAAAATGCACTTGGTGGTAGAAATATGACTGACTCCTCGACTTTTAGTTAACAAAAACATGGAAAGGGTATTTCAGTCAAAGTTCAAAGTTTTGGATATCTTGGGTAGCTTAATAAAATATTTTCTCTATCTTTTGGTAAGTTACAAATATCACTGACCTCATTTTCTTCATCTGTAAAATGGGGATAACAATAATACCTACTTCATAAAGTATTGCAAGGATTAAGCTAATACATAAAAAGTACACAGTGGGCCGGGAGTGGTGGCTCATGCCTGTAATCCCAGCACTTTGGGAGGCCGAGGCGGGTGGATCATGAGGTCAAGAGATCAAGACCATCCTGGTCAATATGGTGAAACCCCATCTCTACCAAAAATACAAAAATTAGCTGGGCATGGTGGCACGTGCCTGTAATCCCAGCTACTTAGGAGGCTGAGGCAGGAGAATTGCCTGAACCCAGGAGGCGGAGGTTGCGGTGAGCCGAGATTGCGCCATTGCACTCTAGCCTGGGTAACAAGAGCGAAACTCCGTCTCAAAAAAAAAAAAAGTACATAGTGTCTGACATACAGTTGATGCCATACAAGGTTTGCTCTTATTATTATTAAAGTGTTCTGAATTGCCACGTGGCAATTGAGTCTGCAAGCAACCTCTTTGTATTCTTTGCTTGTTTTCTGAGAAATACATTTTATTGCACATATTTGAGGTTTACAACATAATGTTGTAGGATACACATAGATAATAAAATGGTTACTATAGTGAAGCAGATTAACATTTCTATCATCTCACATAGTTACTTTGTGACAAGAGCAGCTAAAATCTACTTACTTAACAAAACTCCCTAATAAAATGTAATTTTATTAACCATAGTCCTCATGTTTTACATTGGATCTCTGGACTTGTTCATCCTAAATATCTGCTACTTTGTTGGGTTTTTGTTGTTTTTGAGACAGGGTTTCACTCTGTCACTCAGCTGGAGTGCACTGGCCAGATCACAGCTCACTGTGGTCTCAACCTCCCAGGCTCAACCGATCCTCTCATCTCAGCCTCCCAAGTAGCTAAGAATACAGGCATGTACCACCAAACCCAGCTAATGTTTGTATTTTTTGTACAAAGTTTTGCCATGTTGCCCAGGCTGTTCTCAAACTCTTGGACTCACGCAATCTGCCTGCCATGGCCTCCCAAAGTACTGGGATTACAGGTGTGAGCCACTGTGCCTGTCCCATATCTTTTACTTTGTTTTGACTGTCATACTGATTTTGAAGAACTCTTTGTATAAGTAAGTAAATTAACTTTTTGGATGGCAAATATTATTTTACCAGTTGTCACTGAATTTAACATGTTGGGTCTTTGACTTTGCTACAGCATAAAAATACAATGATCTTTCTTTTGATAATTCTGTTGCTTTTTGATTTCCACATCAAGCAAATGTCTAACTAGTTAATAATCTATCCGCATAGCTGTAACTCAGGGCACAAAAAACTGCTTGATTTTCAGGTGTGTATGGCATATATAAACAAGTTTCTATATATAATACTAAATGGAATCAGCTTTATAAAACCAGTCTTACAAATGAAGCAAAAGTTAACTTATGAATTGTCAATCATGTCATAAATCTTACTATGTTAACAGATAAGAAAAAGTGTCTGGCCAGGTGTGGTGGCGCATGCCTGTAATCCAGTACTTTGAGAGGTAGAGGCAGGCTGATCACCTGAGGTCAGGAGTTCAAGATCAGCCTATCCAACATGATGAGACCCTGTCTCTATTAAAAAACATAAAAATTAGCCAGGCATGGTGGTAGGCACCTGTAATCCCAGCTATTTGGGAGGCTGAGGTAGAATTGGTTAAACCTGGGAGGCAGAGGTTGCAGTGAGCCGATATCATACCACTGCACTCCAGCCTGGGTGACAGAGCAAAACTGTGCCTCAAAAAAAAAAAAAAAAAAAAAAAAAAAACAAGAAAAGAAAAAAAGTAAGTGTTCTTATCCCCAAATTAAGGAGAAAAATGCTTTATATACCATGAATAAATATGAAACTGATACTAATCGATAGATTCACTTCTACATAGGCAAAATTATCTTAATGATTTCTGTTTCACTGAAATAAATGTACTTGGTGTTAACTGATTAGAAGTTTTCTTTTTTCCTGATTTACCAGCAAGTTCTCTTATAATTATCTTTTATATTTCTTTTTATTTTACTTAGGTTATAACTTCTATAAAATATCATTTAAGGAAACACTATATTTAAGATATCACCCTAAACAACCTTTACTAATTTAATCACTCAAGTCAACACTTACTTGTGGCATAATCCTGTACCAGGAACTGGTTAAAATAAAGAAAAAAGCAGTGACCCCTCCTTCAAAGTTCTTATGGGCTACTAGAGCATTAAGCAAACAGTTACTATTTGCCAAGTTAGTGAAATGATAAAGTACTACGGATACCCCCAAGAGCAGTTAATTTGATCTTGCAAAGTAAGTAGAAGCCTCTAAATGGAAGCAAACTTCTAGCTGTGACATAAATATGAAGCCAATGAAGAAGGCAAATAAGATTTGAGAACCCACACAGACATGTCAAAAAACATGCAAACTCCATACAGACATTTGTCACTGCCAGGAATCGATTTTTTTCTCACTGACTTAATAAGGAACATCATTCCAAGGATCTGGCTTACAAAGGTAACATTTCAAACCCAAGTCATTCAACTACATTAATCACTTAAATTTGCATTTGTTTATCCTTCAAATTGTATGTTTGCATAACATTTTAACTGAGATCTTATTATTTAGATCAATCTGGTGGTGCTTAAAAAATAAAAATTTTTAATAAAAATATCAGTAAACTTGGCCAGGCATGTGGCTCACACCTGTAATCCCAGAACTTTGGGGCTGAGATGGGCAAATCACCTGAGGTCGAAAGTTTGAGACCAGCCTGACCAACATGAAGAAACACCATCTCTACTAAAAAAAATACAGAATTAGCTGGGTGTGGTGGCACATGCCTATAATCCCAGCTACTCGGGAGGAGAATCGCTTCAACCAGGGAGGCAAAGGTTGCAGTAAGCTGAGATCATGCCATTGCACTCCAGCCTAGGCAACAAGAGTGAAATTTTATCTTAAAAAAAAAAAAAGAGTATCAGTAAACTTAAATAATATGTTGCCCAACATTTACTCTTAATTTACCTTAATGTCCCAGTTCACTACTTTGTTTCCTGTTAATCTTCCATGCAAACAATTAGTAGATAAATCAAGACAGATTGAATTTTTGCAGGCCTAAGAATAAAAGAAAAATATGGCAAACAACCCAATTAGAACAAAATGTAACTTAAACCACATATAGAACATTTTACCATAATATAAAAAGGAATATAGGATAGTCAATGGTAAGTGTCCACCACGTGCATTTTAGTATTACTGTTCTCTATCTCTTAGAAGAAAGAATCAGGAATTAGATTCTAAAGCACCCACTTGTGAAAAGTAGGTCACTGCTGCTTGTCATCTGACAGATGAGCTACAACTAGAACTTAGTTGCCAGTTTAAAATTTTTCTCTTTTTAACAAATATATGAAAACAGATTTTTGGCTTAAAAAAATTCAATGTTTTATTCCCATTAGCACTTTCCGAGGCATAATTTCGGGATACACATGTGTGATTAATATGAGAGATAAGAGAAATCACAGAACAAAAAAATATATATATATCATGATATAAATGTACAGTTACAGATATAAGATACTATTTTCCCTCGTGTTGCTGCCAGACAATCCCGGCCATATTCAGAGTAAGAGCTTAGTCATCCATACATAAAGACATGTAACTTTATACTATATCTGAATTTTCAAGTAATGAAGCATCCTTGAATCTAATCCCCATTCCAAAAGAAAATAACCCTAGAAATTTTAGCGCACATGCTGAAGCTATTGTTCTACTCTTAAATAGTTGAGAAAAATTACATTAATAAAAGCAATACTTAATGTAAATGTTATCAGTCTCAGAAACAGACATGTCTTTCTCCAGTTACTACCTTAGTCTGTGACTCAAAACTGTGGATCTGTGACCTGTTTTAACACAATAATCTCCTAATGGTATGACTGCCTCTAGAATTCTACCCCTCCAATCCAACTTTCACAATGAAGCTTAAGACCATTTCTAAAATGCAAACCTGATATTACTCTTCTGCTTAAAATTCTATCCACTGCCTATTATTTACTCTGACATAGGAGGTTTGCTATAATGTGACCTTGCTCTCTAGTCTCATCTCTTGCTCTGTGTCCTATATCCAAATGTAGAACCCGGTTTTATAGTCTATGCCTTTTTAGGTGATATTTACCATGCATCCCTTCTCAATCTTGCTTGAACCTGGGAGGCAGAGGCTACAGTAAGCCTAGATTGTGCCACTACACTCCAGCCTGGATGACAGAGCAAGACTTGGTCTCAAAAAAAAAAAAAAAAGACCAAAAAAAAAAAAAAAAAAAAAGTCACACATCCAGAACTTACCACTAAATACAGTGTTTGTAATATATGCAATAATTTCTTAGCTATCTATGCTATACAGTGGAGAATGAAAATAGGTATAAGATACAATTCTTGGCAAGAAATAATATAAGATAGAGTAAACAAACATGTATCTTTGCGAAAAGAAGTTATACAAAGCAAACAAAAATATAAGTGTCAAGAGACATTATAACCAATGCAATGCATAAACTTTGACTGGATCCAGAATTCATTTCTAAAAGGCTATACAAATATTTTCAGAAAAAATTGAATATAGATTGTATATTAGATGAATTATGGGTCATATTCTTAGGTAGATAGATGATTATGTAGAAGTAGTATATAGGGATGAAGTGTCTTGATAGCTATGTCACTTTGTTTTCACAAATGATTTGAGACAAAGTCAGCAAGTACAGTAAAATGTTAATTGGTTAATTTAGGTAAAGAGTATATAGGTTATAACTTTACCATTCTTTTGAGTCCTCTATAGGTTTGAAATGTACCACAGCAAAAAGATGGAAGAAAATAAAACTAACAAGTAAATTTTATTAGGTAAGATACAAAAAGAAGTATTTAAAAGTATGGCCAGACAGGGTGGCTCGTTCCTGTAATCCCAACATTTTGGGAGGCTCAGGTGGAAGGACTACTTTAGCCCAGGAGTTCAAGACTAACCTGGGCAACAGAATAGACCCTATCTCCATAAAAAATACAAAAAAATAAGCTCAACATGGTGGCACATGCCTGCAGTCCTAGCTACTCAGGAGGCTGAGGGCAGGAGGACTGCTTAAGCTCAGGAGTTAAACACTACAGTGAGCCAAGATCCCACCACTGCACTCCAACCTGGGTGACAGAATGAGAACCTGTTTCCAGGAAAAAAAAGGTATAAGGTGGTGGGGTAGAAAAAAGTAACTATTATATGCAAGTCCTTTTTCCTTTTACTTATCTAATAAAAGCAACTGAGGTCAGCAAGGACTGAGGGGAAAAAAGACAAAAGAACTGTGAGGGACAAAAGAACTGGGAGGAAGAAAAGAAGTAACAAAAACAACACTAATTGCCTCCATTATACTAACTGTTACATGTAACATATATACTAAATGTTACAGAAAATGTTTTGGTTTTGTGAGATTATACATTTTTGTATATCTTTTTCTAGTTTAGCCAACTGGTACACGATTACAATTTACTACTTTTTTTTTTTTTTTGAGATGGAGTCTTGCTCTGTCACCCAGACTGGAGAGCATTGGTGCAATCTCAGTTCACTGCAACCTCTGACTCCCAGGTTTGATCAATTCTCATGCCTCAGCCTCCCAAGTAGCTGGGACTATAGGCGCCTGCCCCCATGCCCAGCTAATTTTTCGTATTTTCAGTAGAGATGGGGTTTCACTATATTGGCTAGGCTGATCTCAAACTCCTGACCTCAAGTAATCTGCCCAGCTCAGCCTCCTAAAGTGCTGAGATTACAGGCATGAGCCACTGTGCTGGACCCTTTTTTTTTTTTTTTTGGACAGGGTCTTGCTCTGTCACCTAGGCTGCAGTGTAATGGCACAATCACAGGTCATTGTAGCCTCGAACTCCTTAGGCTCAAGGAGGCTCAAATTTACTTTTCCTGCCTTTGCCTCCCAAGTAGCTGGGATTACAGGCATATGCCACCATGCCTAGCTAACTTTTGTGCATTTTTCATATGTTTTGTAGAGACAGAGGTCTCGCTATGTTGCCCAGGCTAGTCTGGAACTCCTGGCCTCAAACGATCCTCCCACCTAGGCATCCCAAAGCACTGAGATTACAAGTGTGAGCCAATGTACTTTCTGGCCTTTTTCTCCTTTAGAAGTGAACATTTTTCTTTTTCTCTCTCTTTTTTAAAATTTTTGCTACATCACATTTTTAAAACTGAGTACAATTTTGTTTCATCTCTTTCTAGTAAACTATAAGAATACAAATAGTTTCACTTACTGAAGTCAATTCATTGGTACAAATTCCAACTATAACTATTGCCATTAATACCACAGAGATGATATAATGACAGTATTTGGACTCTAGTTGAGGAGGTATACCTTTATTTTTACTGCTTCTCACCTTCCTTTGAAAATTCATGATTATTTGATGGCAATTCAAACCCTTCCTTTTAATTACCCACTGAAATGACAAAAGGAATAGAAAAGGAATTGCATTTCACAGCATAGTTATAACTAGATGGACAGTTTACAAATTTACTCTGACCTTTGCTGTGTAGTAAAGAAGGATGTTACCAGGCAGGTCAGCCATGTCAGACTCTTGAGACTTCCAAGGGCTTAAACAATTTGGACCTGAAAATTATTTACACACACATATATATACATTATTGAATACATAATGGTCTCCTTGATTCTGTGTTACCAGAATACAATTTAAAATTAAGCTGTTTCAAGCTACTCAAACAACGCAGTTGAAACTCATTAAGTTAAAATGTACTTTGTTTTTATATTACTTCCAGTTTATCTAAAACCTATAAAAATTGGGGAATAAACCAATTTCCATTACAGAAAAAAATTTTATATAGTATTTAAAACTACTATCAGCCAGATACATTGGCTCAGGTCTGTAATCCCAGCACTTTGGGAAGCTGAGGCAGGGGGATCACTTGAGCTCAGGAGTTTGAGATCAGCCTGGGCAACATGGAAAGACACCATTTCTACAAAAAATATATAAAAAATTAGCCAGATGTGGTGGCATATACCAGTAGTCCCAGCTACTCAGGAGGTGGGAGGATCACTGAAGCCTGGGAGGTAGAGGCTACAGTGATCTGAGATTGCGCCACTGCACTCTAGCCTCAGTGAGAGAGTGAGATACTGTCTCAAAAAAAAAAAAAAAAAACACACACACACAAAACAACAACAAAAAATTATTATCTGGCCATGTGCAGTGGCTCACACCTGTAATCCCAGCAATTTGGGATGCTGAGGAGGGTGGATCACTTGAGGTCAGGAGTTCGAGACTAGCCTGGCCAACACAGTAAAACCGTGTCTCTACCAAAAATACACATTTAGTCCAACGTGATGGTGCATGCCTGTAATCCCAGCTGCTTGAGGCTGAGCCAGGAGAATCACTTGAACCCGGGAGGCAGAGGTTGCAGTAAGCCAAGATCATGCCACTGTAATCCAGAATGCATGACAGAGTGAGACTCTGTCTCAAAAAAACAACAACCAAAAAAAAAACCACACACACACACACAAAAATCACAATTATCAAATATAACAAAGTCTACATTAGTTTATCTAATGTAAGTCAATTCAAATATATAAGATAAAAAAGTGAAACATTCTATTACTAATGTGAACAGACATCATAGAAATGGAGTAGCAGATGAGTAGGAAAAATATTTTTAATTTTATTTAAAAATGTAAGAAATACAAATTATTACAAAGTTCTATTTTCTACAGAATAATGGAGAAAACAGTATTGACCATTCCATATTATTGAGGTTGTGGTAAAACTGGTACACTTATGTGTTATGGATAGACATTGTGAATTCATGTATCCCTTCTTAGAAACTGATTAGGCAATAAGTAATGAGAATCATGAAAATATCCACATACTTTGAATATTTATCCTAGAAATTTATCATTAAATATATTGATATAAGAAAAACTAGAAGTATATCATATTTGAAATTTTAAGTTTATAGCAAAATTGAAAATTATAGGCCAGGCGCAGTGGCTCACACCTGTAATCCCAGCACTTTGGGAGGCCAAGGCAGGCAGATAATGAGATCAAGAGATCGGGACCTTCCTGGCCAACATGGTGAAACCCTGTCTCTACAAAAAAAAATACAAAAATTAGCTGGGCATGGTGGTGTGTGCCTGTACTCCCAGCTATTCCGGAGGCTGAGGCAGGAGAATCGCTTCAACCCGGGAGGTGGAAGTTGCAGTGAGCCAAGATTGCGCCACTGCACTCCAGCCTGGTGACAGACCAAGACTCCGTCTCAAAATAAATAAATAAATAAATAAATATAAACAGGGCCGGGCACAGTGGATCACACCTGTAATCCAGCACTTAGGGAGGGCGAGGTGGGCAGATCACAAGGTCAGGAGATGGAGACCATCCTGGTCAACATGGTGAAACTCCATCTCTACTAAAAATACAAAAATTAGCTGGGTGTGGTGGTGCGCACCTGCAGTTCCAAGCCACTCAGGAGGCTGAGGCAGGAGAATTGCTTCAACCCAGGACGCAGAGGTGGCAGTGGGCCAAGATCGTGCCACCTCTCCAGCCTGGCGACAGAGCAAGACTCTGTCTCAAAAATAAAATAAAATAAAATAAAATCCCAGCACTTTGAAAGGCCAAAGTGGGTGGATCACGAGGTTAGGAGATTGAGACCATCCTGGCCAACATGGTGAAACCCCGTCTCTAGTAAAATACAAAAAAATTAGGTGGGTGTGGTGGTGCCCGCTTGTAGTTCCAGCTACTTGGGAGGCTGAGGTAGGGGAATTGCTTGAAGCGAGGAGGCAGAGGTTGCAGTGAGCCAAGATGGCACCACTGCACTCTAGACTGGCAACAGAGTGACATTCTGTCTCAAAAAAAAAAAAATTATAAACTACCAGCCGGGCACAGTGGCTCACACCTGTAATCCCAGCACTTTGGGAGTCTGAGGTGGGAGGATTACTTGAGACCAGGCGTTCAAGACCAGCCTGGCCAATATGGTGAAACCCTGTCTCTACTAAAAATATAATAATTAGCTGGGTGTGGTGGCACATGTCTGTAATCCTAGCTACTTGGGAGGCTGAAGCACTAGAATCACTTGAACCCAGGAGACAGAGGTTGCAGCGAGCCAAGATCATACCACTGCATTCTGGCCTGGGCAATAGGGCAAGGCTCTGTCTCAAAAAAAAAAAAAGAAAGAAAGAAAAAAGGTTCTAATATAAAGTCTGAAAGTGTGGGCAATCCCATTCATCTCAAAATTCCCACGCAATCTAAAAAAGATATTAGACAAATAAGATTTTCTGCAGAGTTATATACTTTTAAAAGCTTAACTCCTGAACATCCTTTAAGAATATAGATACAATTTTGAAAGTAGTTAGGATCCAATAATAACAATTAGTACATTTGTTTAAAATCATAGCCAAAAGAAAAACAAAAAGCCAAAACAAAATGAAAAACAGTTTGCAAACTTATCCAAGGTCCCCTAATTCTACTGCCTCCATGAATTCTTTAGGTATATTAATATATTAATTGAAAACACAACGTTTTGGTATAAACTCATGATTTTGGAACAGTTACATAATTTCTCCTGCAGATCTCGTTATATTTTGTTTTATCAGTTCATTAAAATCTATGAAAAGTACTGGCAGTGTTATGGACTGAACTATTTTCCCCTAAAATTCATATGCTAAAGCCATAATCCCCAATGTTACTGTATTTGGAAATAGGGCATTTAAAGTAGTAACTGGAATTAAATGAAGTCATCAGGATGGGGCCCTAGTCTGATAGAGCCCCTTATAAGAAAAAGAAGAGACACAAGAGATCTCTTTCTCTGTCCATTTGCACAGAGAGCAAAGACCATATGAGAGCACAGCAAAACAGTGACCACCTGGAGGAAGCCAGGAAGAGAAGCCTCACTTCTATAGAAGTGAGAGCCTGATCCTGATGTCACCTTGATCTTGAACTTCTAGTTTCCAGAACTGTGAGAAAATAAATTTCTGTTGTTAAAACCACCCAGTCTGTGGTACTTCGCTATGACAGCCCTAGCAAACTAATACAGGCAGTATTATGGATGATATTTAAAATATTTACCGAAGGTTTGCTTTATTTATGCCTACAAAATAAAACGTATGGTATGTGCTGGGCTTTTTCTTCCCTTTCGGTTTCAATTAAAACAAATACACTCTTCAGATGAAATACATTCTTCAGAATATATTTAGACAATAGAAAAAACTCTAAATTTGCTTATACATTGTGACTGTACATGCTCACCTGCTAAATACAATGCCTTCACTTGAGGAGCCTGTAGCGCTTCATAGAAGATGATAACAGATCCTAGCTGACCCTCTAGAGATGTGGGACACCCCCATTCACTGTCTTGGGTTCCAGCTGATATCAATTTGGTAATCAATTTTGATTTTTCATTTGTTCCTCCCCAGGAAGCTGATGACAGAATTCCACCAAATGATGTCCGATGAGGGGTAACAGGAGAAGAGAAAGGTGGATCTGGGATCTGGGATGGTGGAGGAGTGGTGGTTCTTTGCCCAGCTGAACCAATGCAACAGGAAGTAAAGGGCTAAAACACAAAAAAATTACACAATTTTAATTAAAATATATCCTATATTTAACATAAAATAGTAGATAAAATTACACAAATATATAAATTGAAAATAAAAATAGAAGCGGTTTTACTTTTACTCAATCATGATGTATACTTGCATGTTTATACTTAGAAAATTATTAGCAAAATTACCTTGGCCTATAGAATCTGCATGTACTACTTTTATTATTTATTTATTTATTCAGAAACGGTCTTGCTCTGTTGCCAGGCTGGAGTGCAGTGGCGTGATGTTGGCTCACTGCAACCTCAACCTCCTGGGTTCAAGCAGTTCTCCTGCCTCAGCCTCCTGAGTAGCTGGGATTACAGGTGCATGCCACCATACCCGGGTAATTTTTGTATTTTTAACAGAGATGGGATTGGCCAGATGGTCTCGATCTCTTGACCTTGTGATGGGCCCACCTCTGCCTCCCAAAGTGTGAGATTACAGGTGTGAGCCACTGCGCCCAGCCTGGATGCATTACTTTTATGACTCACTTTATATTCTTTTGCAAATTTTGAATTTTTAAAGAGTGTATTTAATTAAGAATTTTTTAACTTTACTGTTTTTGAAAATAGAGAAAACTGTATTTTTTCTCTTTAAAATGTATAAATGTTAATGACAAACTATCTTGAAATGGTCACTGAGATGAAAACCAACAAGAAATTACTTGAATCCTAAGACTTGAGAAATAATCTACTCTATTCCACTATCTTCAGAAAAGGCCCTCTAGTGTTCTTTAAGAACCACTTCACTATATGAACTCTACTTGATATCTGACTAAAATGTGAATGTTTTAAGCTTCTTCATTATTGTTTCAATTTTTTTTTTTTTTGGAGAGGGACTCTCACTGTGTCTCCCAGGCTAGAGTGCAGTGGCATGATCTCAGCTCACCACAACCTCCACCTGCTGGGTTCAGGCAATTCCCTGCCTTAGCCTCCCAAGTAACTGAGATTACAGGTGGATGCCACCATGACCGGCTAATATTTCTATTTTTAGCAGAGACGGGGTTTCAACATGTTGGCCAGGCTGGTCTTGAACTCCTGACCTCATAATACACCTGCCATGGCCTCCCAAAGTGCTGGGATTATAGGCATGAGCTAACGCACCTGGCCTATTGTTTCAATTTTCAATTTTAATGGAGTTAGAAGAGTCCATCATAATATTTAAGTATTTTACATACTTAAATAACTTTTATTAAAAGATACATTCTGCTGGCTGCTCTATTCATTCCGTTGGCTTTCCTGTCATAAGTCTTTCTTTCTAAGCCTTTGTTTCTTCCTTAAACGTTTTCCTTTTTTCACATTGTCTGACTTCATCTAATAATGACAGGCTGACAGAATTGAATATTAATGTGCAGAGTCTTAGTACATAGAAAACACTTTAAAATATGGGGGCACATATTTATAATAAACATAACCTTCTATATATCAACTGGAACATTTCAAGAATTCTCAATCAAAGCCGCCTGTAATGAACAGGTATGATATGCTTACTTCATTCATGGCAGGAAATCTGATAGGGGCAGAAACCTTCTGTTGTCCATTGTCATAGATATAGACGAAGCTCTGACCAAAGGGCCTTTTTCCAGGCATGTGGACAATGGTTATGTTGTGCTGGTAAAGTGAAACACACATTTAAAAGGTTAAAATTACATTATGCCTTTGGAATGACAAATGGTTTCAGAATATTGCTCTATAATTTGAACAAATGGTAGAACATTAAGATGAAGCATAATTAAATGTTAATTAAACTGATGTTCTCAAAGTAACAATTTTTTCCATAGTAGTACAAAAGCATGTAAGCCTATAAAATATCCACAACTGTAACTGTACCTTTTCTGCATTTCCAAAGCTTAAGTATTCCTTAGAATCATTTTTAAAAATGAGAAGCAGTTTATATTTTAGAAAGACAACACAAATGCATTGTTTAAAACAACCTAACGGCTGGGTGAACTGGCTCACGCCTGTAATCCCAGCACTTTGGGAGGCCAAGGTGGGTGGATCACCTGAGGTTGGGAGTTTGAGACCAGCCTGGACAACAAGGTGTAACCTCATCTCTACTAAAAAATACAAAAATTAGTCAGGCGTGGTGGCAGTTGCCTGTAATCCTAGCTATTCAGAAGGCTGAGGGAGGAGAACTGCTTGAACCCGGGAGGCAGAGGTTACAATGAGCCAAGATGGCATCACTGGACTCCAGCCTTGGCGACAGAGCGAGACTCTGTCCCAAAAGAAAAAAACAAAAAAAGCACAAAACAACCTATCATTGCATTTTATTTTATTATTGTTTTAAAAAACCTTTTTTAGAGATTGGGTTATGCTCTACAGCTGAGGCTCAAGTGCAGTGGCACAATCACAGCTCACTGCAGCCTTCAACTCCTAGGCTCAAGCAATCTTGCCCCAGCCTCCTAAGTAGCTAGGATTACAGATGTGTGCCACCTCATCCAACTAATTTTTTAAATTTTTTGTAGAGATAGAGTCTCACTTCTTGTCCAGGCTGGGCTTGAACTCCTGGCTTCAAGCAGTCCTCCCACCTTGGCCTCCCAAAGTGCTGGGTTTATAGATGTGAGTTACAGCACCCAGCCCATCTCATTTTAAATTGAAATTCAAAATTAAATTTTCTTAAAGAAAAACTGAAGACATCCTAATATTACACACACACACACACACACACACACACACGCACACACACATTATTATTATTTTTGAGACATGGTCTCACTCTGTTGTCCAGGCTGGAGTACAGTGGTGCCATCTCAGCTTACTGGAGCCTTGACTTCCTGAGCTCAAGTGATTCTCCCAACTCAGTCTCCTGAGTAGCTGGGACCACAGGTACAAATCACCATACCTAGCTAATTTTTTTATTTTTCGGTAGATATGGGGTTTCACCATGTTGCCCAGAATGGTCTCAAACTCTTGAGCTAAGTAATCTGCTGGCCTTGGCATCTTAAAGTATTGGGATTACTTACAGGTATGCCACCAAGTCCAGCCTCATTTAAATTTTTTAGCAAAAAAGAAAAAAATGACTGCTGCCGAATTTATGACAATGATGGGAAATACCATCAACCATACTAAAAGTTATATGTGATATTCTAAAGCCTTACCCAGAGGGAATCACAGAAACTGTGGTCAGGAAGCATAACCGTTGCATATTCTCTTTTTGTGCACACTGCCACGACCAACATACCTGAATGTGTAATAAAGGCTTCAAAACCTATGCCACTTCCTGTAAAAAAACTAACAAAAATATGTATTATCAGAACTTTTGAAGTTAGTTGTTCACTTTCATTATTATTAAAGTACATAAAACCATAAAGCCATTATGAATGTCTTTGTCAACAATTCTGTGGCTTAAATTCTATTGCCATACACTAGTCCAAACTCGTTTCAAAGACACTTTTAAAATCCATTTGGGCATAAGAGTTTAGTAAATAAAAGACAGCCTTGTAAGTGGAATTCCACTAGTAAAAATAAAACTATTAATTTTCAAATCTTTAAAATTTTTCCAAGTAAGATTCAGTAAGTATAAATAAAGGTCTTAAAAATCACAAAGCTTAGGCCAGGCATGGTTGCTCATGCCTATAATCCCAGCACTTTGGGAGGCCAAGGCAGGCAGATCACCTAAGGTCAGGAGTTCGGGGAGACCAGCCCGGCCAATGTTGTGAAACCTTGTTTCTACTAAAAATACAAAAATTAGCCCAGTGTGGTGGCAGGCATCTGTAATCCCAGTCACTTAGGAGGCTGAGGCAGGAGAATCGCTTGAACCCAGGAGGCGGAGGTTACAATGAGCCGAGATCACGCCACTGCATTCCAGCTTGGGCAACAAGAGCGAAACTCGGACTCAAAAAAATAAATCACAAGGCATATTAAAAAGTAGTAGCTACTAAAGTCTGGACATACATACACATAGCTTTTCTGTTCCTTCATATAAATATATGACATATGTTCCATGTATTTATAGAATTTTCAATGGAACAGAAATCATTACTCATTTTCTTTTCTTTCTTTCTTACTTTTTTTTTGAGGCAGAATCTCACTCTATTGCCCAGGCTGGAGTACAGTGGCATGATCTTGGCTCACTGCAACCTCCACCTCCCAGGTTCAAGTGATTCTCGTGCCTCAGCAAATTCTGTACCTCAGCCTCCCAAGTAGCTGGGATTATAGGCATGCCCAGCTAATTTCTGTATTTTTAGTAGAGACGGTGTTTCTCCATATTGACCAGGCTGGTCTTGAATTCCTGACCTCAAGTGATCTGCCCGCCCCAGCCATTTAAAATGCTAGGATTGCAGCTATGAGTCACCACACCTGGACATTTTTCATTTTCACAGTTTTTTTTTCTGTGTGTGTGACAGAGTTTTTCTTTGTCACCCAGGTTGAAGTGCAGTAGTAATCATAGCTCCCTGCAGCTTCAACTTCCCGAGCTCAAGTGATCCTCTCATCTCAGCCTTCCAAGCAGCTGGAACTACAGGTATGTGTCACTATACCCGGCTAATGTTTACATTTTTTTGTAGAGATAAGGTTTTGCCATGTTGCCTAGGCTGGTCTTGAACTCCTGGCCTCAAGCAATGCACCTGCCTCGACCTCCTCAAGTGGTGGGATTACAAGCATGCCATCACGCCTGGCCCATTTTCAAGATTATTCTTTCCATTCACTTGTACACTACTTTTAAGAAGGAAACTTATTTCCAAACTAGCCTCAAAACTTAACCAGCAATATTTGAGATATACAGTTCTTACTATGAAAGCAATAAAGCACTTAAAATTAAACTGTATAAAGCCTAACAATGAAGAGGCTTTAAATAAATTATACCTCTAAAAGCTAGATGCTTGGAAACAGTTTTCCTGTTTAAGAATCACGGCATATGTTGTTATGACAGTATTCATTTCTATTCCATAATTTTTACCAGTACCTGTACAATTGTTTCCTTTTCCCTCCTTTGTTAGCAATGCCAAGAGTCAATTGATCCTGATCTAAGCAAAACCAAGCACTGAAAGAAAAGGCAGACCCCGGCCATTTCTGTATGGGAGGCACAGAAATTCCTGCCATACTATGTGACAAATTGAAATACTGTAAGGCACTCTCTAGACTTAGTTTTCGGGCCATTGTCAGCACTGCTCGAGTCACAGGAGTGGTATAAGGGTGAACAGACTCAGATTCATCCACTCTCAGCAATCTTATTAGTCGACGGATTTCTTCTGAGCTCACTGACTGACTCCCCAAGGAACCATGGATTGCAATCAAGTTCTCAGCACAAGTTTGATGGAGGGAAGAATGGGAGTCAAGTGTTTCAATGATTCTAATTCCCATGTTTGCATTGACACAAGTAGTTCGACTCTGCCTGTTAATACAACAAATTCTTTTCAGCCAATCAGAGATGAAGATTTGTAGGTCATGAGATTGTAATTCTGGAAGCCACTGGATAAGAAGCAAGAGAGGTTGGACATTACTTATGCCCAAAATCCCAACTGAAGTGTGGTCACCCTCTACAGCCTGGAAAGCAACATAAAAGATAAAAGGTTAGTTATCGTTTTCAAAACAGTTATTAACAGAACTCTTAATAAAGGTTAAAAACTCACCATATTCATAAGTTCTTTAAGTAATTCCGGTGGTGGCTGACCCAGGGATTTTAATACTTCAAACATATGTGTATAACCAATTCTTTCTTTAAATACTTCCTAGGGGATGGGAAAACAATATATCAAAGTACATTTTCAAAGACTGAATATCTTGGAATATTAAAAAATACTCATTTAAGCTGATTAACTTAATACTAAATAAAAAGATTATGATTCACTATTTGTCTTCTTAAATTACATCTACATCTTAAAATAGATTCCATATAACTTCTGGAGTAATAAAGTTACTATTATATAACAAAATGCAAAATAAATAAAATTAACATTAACTGTTATAAAATGATTACATTATTTGCAGATAAGGGCATATGACACTTCTTGTATATTCTTCATTTGATTTGCAATTACTAGAATAGTAGTTAATTCAAAATAAAAATAGAGAAAAAGTGAGGAAACTGTAGGTAAGAGGAGTCAGGTATCAGACTAAAAGGATTCAGAGTCCCTGGCAGTTCTGAATAGTGGTCAGAAAGAAATTGAGTACAAAGAGTTTTCTCTCTGCTATTTGTATCTAAATGGTCTGAATTATCAAGTTCCTTTTAGAAAGTTCTATGTCACATGTATTTTTGAACCAGTAGGCACCCAAAGTTATAAAGTAAAATATTAAGACAACTGGAAAACTTAGAACATATTAAATTGCCCCATTAAATTAGGTAGAAATATATATACTCACTACAAAATCAAGAAATTTAACAAAACAAGTAAAACTGGTTCCTCTAGGGAGGGAAATGGTTGAATGTGGGTCAAGAATAGGAAGGAAATCTTTTTGTTATATAATCTTTTTAATTCTAAACATGCCAGATATTATATGGACCAAAAAAAAAAAAATCTTTCAAGGAAGACTGGAACATCTTTTTTGATGTTTGAATTTCAGAATACAGTACCAGCAATCAATTATACTCATAAACCAGTTATTTAAGACTTAAAATGGTTTCCATCTTATAGCAACTAGTATTAAATGGAGATTAAGTCACAAGCCAGACTGTAAAAGTTGTAAAAGCCTATTCAATAGGAACCTAACCATGAATTACATCAATATTTCTAGGGCAAAAGTTAGAGTCTCCTAACACAAACCAATGTAATCTAAGAAATACAATGGAAGGCATGTTTCAGAAAATAGGGAGTAATTAATTCACTTCTGGTGCCAGAAAGGTAAGGCATGAAGTATATTGGATGTGGCAGATAAGAGTGTAAAGTAATAATAATAGTCACTGACATGTATTTAGCACTTATCATGTACCTGGCATTATGCTTACCACTTCACACAGATGACCCTCACTAATCTTATCAGTGTATGAGCAAACAACCAGTATAACTGGAGAGAAGAACAGGCAGTGGCAGTGAATGAGAAGAGACAGAAAACTCTAAGGGTTACTGAATACAAGAAGTAGAATTCCCATGGCCATACAACCTGGAAAAACTAGTATCCAATCGATAGGCTATTCAAATGTGAAAAATGTTCATACTTTAGGCAGTCTTAAACTGACTAAATAGAGAAAGGGTAATTATTTTATTAAGGAAGAAAAGCTCTGATATGAAACTTAATTCTTTAAACTCATTAACCATAGAACCACTTAAAATTATCATTTCAACATCAGTGCTCTCATCCCATCTTTGCCAACACTGTAAATCCAATCTGTTTGGAGTTCTATCATTAATACCTTTTAAAATCCTAAAGCAGTGCCATAGGGCTTTGTCTTTAAAATTATCGCAAGCTATAAGTAACCTCATTCTTATACTAAGATATTTTGTGAATGATTTTATTTCAAGTGTTAAGCTGCGTGTATTATATACTTTCATACATCACTTCAGAATTTATATAGTGAAAATTGACACATTTAATTAAATATTTTAAAATCTGACGATAAATCAGGCCAATAGCAGACCTTTCAACAGAAACCCTATAAGCCAGAAGCAACCAGGAGCATCTAGTCAGCATTCTTAAAGAAAAGAGGCTGGGCACAGTGGCTCCTGCCTGTGATCCCAGACTTTGGTAGGCTGAAGGGGGTGGAGCATGAGGTTAGGAGTTCAAGACCAGCCTGGTCAACATGGTGAAACCCCAGCTATACTAAAAATACAAAAATTAGTTGGGTGTGGTGGCAAGCACCTGTAATTCAAGCTGGTTGGGAGGCTGAGGCAAAAGAATTGCTTGAACCTAGGAGGTGGAGGTTGCAGTGAGCCAGTATTGTGCCACTGCACTCCAGCCTGAACAACACAGCAAGACTCCATCTTAAAAACAAAAAAAGAAATTCCAAAGAGTTGCATATCCAACCAAACTAAGCTTTATAAGTGAAGGAGGACTAAGTCCTTTTCATAGAAGCAAATGCTAAAAGAATTCATTACTACCAGACCAACCTTACAAGTTGTCCTAAAGGGAGTGATAAATATGGAAAGGAAAGACCATTACCAGCCACTACCAAAACACACTTAAATACATAGACCAGTGACACTATAAGGTAACCACACACAAAAGTGAACAAGTCTGCATAATAACCAGCTAAAAACATGGTAATAAGATCAAATCTGTACAGATTAAATGTATATGGGCTAAATTCCACAATTAAAATACACAGAGTGGCAAGCTGGATAAAGAGGCAAGAACCAATGGTATGCTGTCTTCAAGAGATTCATCTCATATGCAACACCCATAGGCTTAAAGTAAAGGAATGAAGAAAAATCGCCAAGGAAATGAAAAACAGAAAAAAGCAGGGTTCCTATTCTTATTTCAGACAAAACAGACTTTAAACCAACAAAGATCAAAAAGATGAAGAAGGGCCTTCTTCATTACTACATAATGGTAAAGGGCCCAATTTAACAAGACTTAACTATCTTAAATATACATACACACTCAACACAGGAGCACCGAGATTCATAAAGCAAGTTCTTAGAGACCTACTAAGAGATTTAGATAACCACGCAATAATAGTGAGAGACTTCAACACCCCACTTAATAGTATACTTAGACAGATCATTGAGGCAGAAAACTAATGAAGATATTCAAGACCTGAACTTAACATTTGACCAAATGGACCTAGTAGACATCTACAGAACACTTTACCACAAAACAAAATAACATGCATTCTTCACATCTGCACATGGCACACACTCTAAAACTGCCAACACAATCAGACATAAAATAATCCTAAACAAATTTCAAAAAACAGAAATCATATCAACCACACTCTTGAACCACAGTGCAATAAAAATAGGAATCAAGACTAAGAAAATCACTCAAAACCATACAATTACATGAAAATTAAACTGTCTACTCCTGAATGACTCTTGGGAAAACAATGAAATTAGAGCAGAAATAAAGAAATGTTTGAAACTAATGAGAACAAAGATACAACATACCAGAATCTCTGGGACATAAGCTAAAGCAGTGTTAAGAGGAAATTTTAGAGCACTAAATGCCTGCATCAAAGTTAGAAAGATCGCAAATCAACAACCTAACATCACAACTAGAGAACTAGAGAAACAAGAGCAAACCAATCTCAAAGCTAGCAGAAGACAAGAACTAACCAAAATAGCACTGAACTGAAGGAAACTGAGAGGTCAAAAACCATACAAAAGACAGGCCAGGCATGGTGGCTCACACCTGTAATCCCAGCACTTTGGGAGGGTGAGGTGGGCGGATCACTTGAGGTCAAGAGTTCAAGACTAGTCTGGCCAACATGGTGAAACCCCATCTCTACTAAAAATACAAAAATTAGCCAGGCATGGTGGCATGCACTTAAAATCCCAGCTATTCGGGAGGCTGAGGCAGGAGAATTGCTTGAATCTGCAAGGCAGAGGCTGCAGTGAGCCAAGATCGCACCACTGGACTCCAGCCTGGGTGACAAATGACAAATGCACAGCCAACATCATATTGAATGGACAAAAGCTGGAAGCATTCCCCTTGAAAGACAGAATAAGACAGTGATACCCTCGTCCACCACTCCTATTCAACACAGTACTAGAAGTCACAGCCAGAGCAATCAGTCAAGAGAAAAAAAGAAAATGCTTCAAAGTAGGAAAAGAGTAAGTCAAACTCTCCCTATTTGTAGACAGTATGATTATATACCTAGAAAAGCCCATAGTCTCTACATAAAGCTCCTTGATCTGATAAACTACTTGAGCAAAGTTACAGGATACAAAATCGATGTATAAAAATCAGAGGATTCCAAACAGCAGCAATATCCAAGCTAAGAGCCAAATCAAGAATGCAATCCCATTCGCAATTGCCACAAAAAGAATAAAATACCTAGGAATATGGCTAACTAGTGAGGCGAAAGATCTCTATGACAAGAATTACAAAACACTGCTCAAAGAAATCAGAAATGATACCAACAAATGGAAAAATGTTCCATGTTCATGAATAGAAAGAATCAATATTGTTAAAATGACCATACTGCCTGGGTGAGTGTGAAGCTCACACCTGCAATCCCAGCATTTTGGGAGGCTGAGATGGGCAGAAGTCTCGGTCAGGAGTCCAAGACCAGTCTGGCCAACGTCGTGAAACCCTGTCTCTACTGAAAATACAAAAAAATTAGCTGGGAGTAGTGCTGCACACCTGTAATCCCAGCTACCTGAGAGGCTGAGGCAGTAGAAGCACTTGAACCTGAGAGATGGAGGTTACAGTGAGCCAGGATTGTGCCACTGCACTCTACCTGGGTGATAGAGCGAGTCTCCATCTCAAAAAAAAAAAAACCTGATCATACTGCTCAAGGCAATTTAGAGATTCAGTGCTATTCCTATCAAAATACCAATGGCATTCTTCACAGACCTAGAAAAAAAATACTTTAACAGTCATATGGAACCAAAAAAGAGCCTGAATAGCCAAGGCAATTTTAAACAAAAAGAACAAAGCTGGAGGCATTACCCTGAAGTCACATTACCTGACTTCACACTATACCACGAGGCTACAGTAACCAAAACAACATAGTACTGGTACAGAAACACACACACAGACCAGTAGAAGAGAATAGAGAGCCCCCAAAAATTGCTGCACACTTACAGCCAACCAATCTTCGAAAAATGACAAAAACAAGCAATGGGAAAGGGCTCCTATTCAATAAATGGTGCTGGGGTAACTAGCTAACAATATGCAGAAGACTGAAAGTGGACCCCTTCCTTACAATACGCAAAAATCAACTCAAGATGGATTAAAGACTTAAATATAAAAACTATAAAAAACCTGCAAGATAACCTAGGAAATACCATTATGGACATAAGACCTGGCAAAGATTTCTTGATGAAGCCATCAAAAGTAACTTCAACAAAAACAAAAATTGACAGTAGGAAAAAATTAAAATAAAGACCTTCTGCACAGCAAAAGAAACTATCAACAGAGTAAAAAGACAACCTACAGAATGGGAGAAAATATTTGCAAACTATGCATCCAACAAAGGTCTAATATCCAGAATCTATAAGGCACTTAGACAAATCAACAAGTAAAAGCAAATAACTCCATTAAAAAGTGGACAAAGGACAAGAATAGACACTTTTCAAAAGAAAACAGGGCTGGGCGTGGTGGCTCATGCCTGTAATCCTAGTACTTTTGGAGGTCCAGGAGGATGGATTACCTGAGATTGGGAGTTTGAGACCAGCCTGGCCAACATGGTGAAACCCCCTCTCTACTAAAAATAAAAAAAGTAGCCAGGCTGTGCTGGCACACACCTGTAATCCCAGCTACTCAAGAGGATGAGGCAAAAGAATCTCTTGAAAAAAAAAAAAAAAAAAAAAGAATCTCTTGAACCCAGGAGGGGGAGGCTGTAGTGAGCCAAGTACTCCAGCTTGGGCAAGAGAGGAGAGAAAGGGGAGAAAAGGGAGAAAGGTGGGGGGAGAGAGAGAGAGAGAGAAAGAGGGAGAGAGGAGAGAGGAGAGAGCACATAAGCAAACATACATAGCCAATAAGCATATGAAAAAATGCTCAACATCACTAGAGACATGCAAATCAAAACCACAATTACATGCCATCTCACACCCCTCAGAATGGCTATTACTAAAAAGTCAAAAATAACAGACACTGGCAAGGCTGTGAAGAAAAGGGAACACTTATAACTGCTGGAGGAATGTACCTTAGCTCAGCCATGGTGGAAAGCAGTCTGGCAATTTCTCAAAGAACTCAAAGCAGAATCACCATTTACCCAATCCTATTATTGGGTAAATACACAAAGGAATATAAACTGTTCTACCATAAAGACACATGCACATGTATGTTCATCACAGTACTATTCACAATAGCAAAGACGTGGAATCAACCTAAATGCCCATCAACAGGAGACTGGATAAAGAAAATATGGTACATATTCACCATGGAATACCACACAACCATAAAAACAAATGAGATCATATCTTCATATCCTTTACAACAACATGGATGGAGCTGGAGGCCATTATTCTAGGCAAACTAACAAAGGAATAGAAAACCAAATACCATATGTTTTTACATGTAAGTGGGAGCTAAACACTGAGTTCATATGGACACAAAGAAAGGAACAATAGACACCAGGGTCTACTTGAAGGTGGATGGAAGGAGGAGAGTGAAGACGAAAAAACTACCTACAGGGTACTATGCTTATTACCTGGGTGGCAAAATAATCTGTATGCCAAATCCCTATAATATGCAATTTACATGTATTAACAAACCTGCACATGTATCCCTGAACCTAAAATAAAAGTTAAGAAAAGAGAAAGCTTGAGGATATATATTTCACCTTAGCGGCTGGAGATTTGTTCATTACTGCTGTCAAAGCCTGAATGGTTGATATGGCCAAACAATCCAATTGTCCCTGAAACACCTATTGAGGGGAAGGGGAAAACAAGAAATTAACAAATATGTTGACGATTTTTATTCAGTTAGGAAACCTTTGTTCTGAAATCCTGAAAAAATACTTAACATGCATTACAATCCTCTTCCAATGAAATGAATTTCCGAAACACTATAACCTGCAAGAAAAGTTACCTACTTAAAAGAAAAATAAGGCACATGTCAAGAAGGATAAGGCAACATTCACTTATTACATTAAAATGTTTTGAGAAAAAAAAAATAAGCTTAACACATGCTTTTTAAAAATAATGGACAATCTCAAGAGGAAGGAAGGGAGGTCTATCATTTGAAATCCTACTACATTTTAATTTCCCTTCAAAAATACACTTGAACTATCCACGTTTAAATTCCATTTCCATGTATGATAAGATAGCTATAATAATCTTGTTCATCTAGTTTCCAAACCCTGTGTTAAAATTATGATGGCATGCACATACACCAATTAATTATACTTATAAGCAATTAAGTATATCTATTTTTATATAAAATGGAAAATTTGAGGCAGACACAGAAAATGAAATACGTATCTCTAAGTATTGTCATGTTTTTGAGAAGGCAAATTTTAATGGTAAAAGTTGTATGAAAAAATAAAAATTAGCTTCATTTTATCTACTGTTTAAGCTTCAGGGCAGTGTATTCATAGCAAAAACAAAAACTAACATCAAGAATATTAAAAAACTGAACATGACTGTTATATCAGGCTTAGACAATCATGAAAGCATAGACTCAGGACTAGAAGACTGTAAAAACAAACAGTCCCAAAAATCTGCTTTCAAGAATATATTACTATGGGCCAGGTACAATGGCTCACACCTATAATTCCAGCACTTTAGGAGGCCAAAGGAGATGGATCGCTTGAGCCCAGGAGTTCAATACCAGGCTAGGCAACATGGCAAAACTCATCTCTACTAAAAATACAAAAAATTAGCCAGGGGTGGTGGCACACACCTGTAGTCCCAGCTTCTTGGGGGCTTAGGCAGGAGGATTGCTTGAGCCTGGGAGGTTGAGGATGCAGTGAACTCTGATTGTGCGACTGTATCCCAGCCTGGGCGACAGAGCAAGACCTTGTCTAAAAATATATATATTACTATGATCTGATGGCAGTCACTCCACAAATAAAATTTTCCTCTCTCTCTCTCTCTCCCAGCAAAACAGATTTGAGTAAAGAGAACTGCTTTCTTTGTAACGTTAAGCTACATTGCTACCACTTTTTGGCAAGTTGTTTAACCTAGAATCCTGTTTATTGTTGATGTTTGTTAGAATCCTGTTTATTGTTGATGTTTGTTAAACATTATTACACAGAATAAATGTATTACATATGTAATAAACATATTATAATATGCATTAAATATTCTGCATACAGCAGAAATTCATATGAGTCTGTTCTAGACTTTATCCAAGAGAAGTCAGTCAAAAAGATCTCATTTCTCTTATAATTTGGAATTGTAACATGAACCTCTAAGAAACTATAACTGTTTTATTATAGTTATTAATATATATAGTATATATATTAATCTATATAAGGAGGTCTTAAGAAGAATTAACATTTATACAGAAATCTGAAACAGTACTCTGTAAATTGATATTTCGCATCTAGGATAAATAAGATGATAATATCTCTTGTTACACAAAAATTCTATTTATAAACTTGGATGTTAATACAATGTTAAGACATTATGTAAATTTTCTTGAAAATATTTTGGAAAAGAAAAATAACACAGCAATTTTTAAAGGTAGGTTTTTCTTCAAACTAAATTATTGAAAGAAGCAACATAAATTACATATTTTTGCTTTATTATACTTGTATAGACTTGAATTTCTAGAACACAAAAAGTCAAGTTTTATGCTAAATTAAGAGAGAGTTAAGCATCTTCTTCCCTTCCTCCAAGATTCAGGTTGTCCATTGAATTATAATCATGACTTGTCAATAAGAAGCAAAGAATCAAGATATTAACAATGACCATATATATTCACAAAGAAAGCCCTAAGGTCCCAATATATCACAGTGCTTAGAAAAGTTGCCACCAGGTAGACAGCATTGATATTGAGATCCCATTCCTGTACTTTATATCTCCTCAAATTGAAAAGACCATACAACATAGAGGGAATGGTATTAATTGATTGATTGTATCAACCACCAAGATATTTATCCTTTAGATGAAAGTAATTTTTTATTTTAACTTTTTAGTAACTTTCAAAAATAATTAATGAATATTAGATTAGACAATGTTTGAGTATCTTATGCATAAGACGAAAAGCACAGGAATAGTTATTCCCATTGGTTGATTTTAGACTTCAGCTGAAACAAGATGCAGGCTTTGTAGATACCTGGTCCTCATTCATTTCTGTCAGTAATTTGTTGGCAAGGTCTTTCTCGTTCTTGTCTGCCACCTTATTGTTAGCATTTAAAAATAGCTGTTAAAAACAGAGACAAGAATAATGGAGAAAGAACATTACATTGTTTCCTATAAGCAGCAATGAAGCTTAAAGGGGTTTCCATGTCTCTTGAAAATAAATGCAACAATTCCCTTGTGAAGTATACCACACTTTTAGAAATTAAAGATTATTCACTTTTTAGATTACGAACTAACAGTAGTTTATATATTATATAATTATTATATACTTCTCTCGTGGAATTCAAAGTTAGTATAATTAGAAACAATGGCAATAATTAGAATTAGTTAAAATTCCTAAATTCTTAAAGAATCAGCAAAGAATGTCTCACAGTGATATAGTTTGGCTCTGTGTCCCCACCCAAATATCATCTTGAATTGTAACTCCCACAATTCCCATGTGTTGTGGGAGAAACCCAGTGGGAGGTCTCATGATACATGAACAAGTCTCATGAGATCTGAAGGTTTTATATTATAAAGGGAAGTTTCCCTGCACAAGCTCTCTTCTCTTGTCTGCCGCCATGTAAGATGAGCCATTCACCTTCCACCATGATTGTGAGGCCTCCCCAGACACATGAAACTATGAGTCCATTAAACCACGTTCTTTTGTAAATTACCCAGTCTCAGGTATGACTTCATGAGCGGCATGAAAATGGATTAATACACACAGAAAAGAAGAAAGGCTGTTACTGACACAGACTAAGGTACTGTAGTACATAATACCCAGTAAGGGTTCTATAGTTAAGGAAGTCTGCAAAATGCTATCGAGCTAACTTTAAAAACGGTTCTTTCTAAAAATACATCTCAGAGTCTCAAATATGCTAATGTGTACTTTGGCAAGAGAGGTCAGGGTGAAGCATTTCCAAAATTTATCTGACCACACATTTTGTTAAAACATTAGTTTAAAGACATTCTCCAAAGTCATCAAGAATTGAGCTTAATTTATATTAGTTTGTATTCTGTAAAGATTATATTTAGCATACATGGGCATTACTCTCTTCTGAATAAAAGAAAGGAATCAAGTATTTTAGTTTCAGTACATAAAACTCAGCATCACAAAAGGCCTTCGCCTTGCCCACAGTTTGGGTACAGAGAAAGAAAGTTAAAATGAGATTAAAAGGGGGAGAGAGTTAGACTTATAAAGGAACTTATTAAGAGCATCCTAAGAAAAGAAGTTCTTAGCAAGTTCAATTATTTTAGAAATGAGAAAACAAATGGTCAACTTATGTGCTGAAATATGCACTATAAAATAAACTAGATAAAGGTATGGTATTATATGTTATGCAAGAGTATATGTAAGGCTTAACATAACAATAAATTGATATATACACTATAGGTCTTGGAATCAGAGACTTGAGTTTAAATTTTGGTTCTGCAACTTATTGGCTATCAGATTTTAAGGAAAATTACTTCGCCAAGCTTTTCTCAAAAATAGGGAGAAAAATACCTCATCAAATAGCTATACATATTAAATGACATCATCCACAGTAGCTTATTAGCGTAATATCTGGCACATAACAGAGACTTAACAAATGAAAGGTGTCGGCCAGGCCGGCCAGGCATGGCTCACGCCTATAATCCCAGCACTTTGAGAGGCTGAAGCAGCAGGATACCTGAGGTCAGGAGTTGGACACCAGCCTAGCCAACATGGTGAAACCCTGTCTCTACTAAAAATGCAAAAATTAGCCAGTTCTGTTGGCACCTTCCTGCAGTCCCAGCTACTGGGGAGGCTGAGGCAGGAGAATCACTTGGAGGCAGAGGTTGTAGCGAGGTGAGATAGCAGTACTGCACTCCAGCCTGGGTGACAGAGCAAGACTCACTCAAACAAACAAAACAAACAAAAAAAAAATGAAAGGTGGCATTATTACAAGCAAAGGTTTTTAAAATAATAATATTTCATATTTAGGTAAAGGGAAACAAATGGTCAGATAAAACTGATCAATGTAAAAATGAGTAACATCTTTCCAGAAAGCAATACAGCAATTCATATGAACAATCTTTGGGCAGCTTAAAAAATTTACGTTAATTCAAATCATAGCCCTGAAATTTAATAAAACAAAATAACTGACAAATGTTTAAGGTTCATCACAGCTATCATAAAAGTTTAACATATGATTCCATGGAATTGTAAAGTACTCTATAGTATGATGAAACTCATTTTGCCAAGCCAAGAAGCTCTTACGCAAATACTTAAGGAAATCAATGCATACTTAAATAGGTTGATGAATCTCATACAAAAAGAAAGCATGGAAACGGCAGCAGTCAGCTTAAGGTTGTCTAGATTCATAAAGTGTTTGTGATACTTTAAACTTTATTTGCCAAAGTTTCCAATGGTTCTAAATGTATAAACAGCAAAACTGTCTTGATTCTGTACTACTGCATAAAAAGAGCATAAAGGATTCATTCTTTACTAACAAAAAATAATTTAAACAAAAAATCGTAGACATCTATATAGCATCATGCAATATATTTGGGAACTTAGGTTTTCACAGATTCCAAAGATTTTTATATATTCAGGAATCATATCAAATATGTCCATAAACTGTTTTTATATCAATAAAACAGCTGATTCTCCTATATTTAATACATAGAAAACATTTTTTCCTACTGACTAAACAGTGACCCTAAGTTCCAGTAATACAATTAGAAAATTACATATTACAATGGACTTAGGGTCAGAAAACCTGGGTAAGAAATCCTACCTCCATCAATGATGAGTGTTGACCTTGGGCTAATCATTTAATGCCTCAGGACACTTTTCCTTATTTGTATAATGAAGAAGTTTAGAAGCTTATTTAAAGATTCCCCTTTGTTGTAAAGACTTAATGGACTCAATGTCTAGTGATAAAACTAAAGTGATTCTGACAAAAAAAAATTCTTGAAATAAGGAAGACTATTACTAAAGATCGAGTCTCACTCTGTCACCCAGGCTAGAGTGCAGTGGTCAGATGGCTCACTGCAACCTCCACCTTCCAGGTTCAAATGATTCTTCAGCCTCCTGAGTAGCTGGGATTACAGGCGCACACCACCACACCTAACTAATTTTTATATTTTTAGTAGAGATGGGGTTTCTCCATGTTGGTCAGGCTGGTCTCAAACTCCTGACCTCAAGCGATCGGCCCACCTTGGCCTCCCAGAGTGCTGAGATTACAGGTGTGAGCCACCACGCCCAGCCAGTTTTCCCTCTTTATAGGGGTTTCTTCTCCAGCGTTTTTGTTTCAAAATAAAATGTGACAGGTGGTATCAAATAATTAATTTTTAAAAGTCATTAGACTGTCAGCAAGTTTCCAGACAAAAATTTTAAGAAACTTTGGGTTATACCACAGTACAAAGAACAAACATTAGCTCACCATCATAATAGCTATGACAAACAGTTTTGTATTTTTTAAAAAGATGTTATTCATATTAGAAATTTATTATATCTGAGTTTCAGATGCTGAAGAAAAACCAATGCTAATAAATTTTAGTAGGAACTATATTGTATCCTACAGATGACCCTATCTATGATCCTATAAGTGTGTAATTAGCAGATTCTTTTTTTTTCTAGAGAGAGTCTCACTTTGTGGCCCCAAGATGGAGTGCAGTGGCATGATCTTACCTCACTACAACCTCCGCCTCCTGGGTTCAAGTGAGTCTCCTGCCTCCCGAGTAGCTGGGACTACAGGCGCATGCCATCACACTTGGCTAATTTTTTGTTTTTTTAGTAGAGATGAGGTTTCATCATGTTAATCAGGATAGTCTCGATCTCCTGACCTCGTGATCTGCCTGCCTCAGCCTCCCAAAGCACTGGGATTACAGGCATGAGCCACTGCGCCCTGCCAATTAGCAGATTCTTTACACCTGTGAGATGTTGGTTTTATCATTGTATTTGTCTTTATAACTGATAAAGCCACACAGGTATAGGCAGAGGTTGCAGTGAGCCAAGATTGCGCCACTGTACTCTACAGACACATACATGGTTAATTCTTGGGGCATCTCTGCAACTCTTAAATTATTTATGCGAAAACCCAGAAGAAACCAGGAACCATCCATCCCTTGTTTCCAATCTCTCCAGTCAAGACTTTTTCTTGATGTGATTCATGCCAAACACTTAAGACACTGCTGTATTTCAGATGGATCAAGCCTATTTCATCTTTAATCTTAAAGCAGACAGAAACAATTGAGGGCCTTCCATGTAGAAAGTGGGGTCAGGAGGCCAAGAAAGGGAATATGAATGTATATCCAAGTCACTCTGAAACTTTTATGCAGATATAAGAAACTTAGGTCATGGCCAGAGGTTGTTTAATAGGAGATAGAAGAATGTAACTCCATGTTTACTACTAGAAACCAGAGCTTTGTGTGAAATCTTGAATTATGGGGAGAGAGGGAGGGTACCCGTCTGTTCTCTTCCTGATCCCTTCACCTCATTCCTGAACTGCAGGAGACTGAGCTCCTTTTGGCTTTGGAGACCCCATCAATGAGGTGTGTTTATTTGATGGTTGATTTTGCTATACCAGTTACTTCCTTTCCTATTTTCTAATCATTTTGTAATACACATGCTGATTCTTTTCCTTTCCCTCCTCCTTTCCCTGGGAAGATACAATAAATAAATAAATAAATAATTATTGGCACTGAAAAAAATTGTAATGAATCCTAATTTTTAAATTAATCCTATTCCAATACATATCATAAATAATTTAACATTTGTAATGAATTTATACATAAAAGGAGGATAGTATCCCATTGTAGTTTATATCATTTAATACATGATGTAGTTGTTCTAATACTTTTAAAATCAGCTTGAGTTTTAGGTTATAAAATGTTGGCCATAAAGTAAAGACGGAAAGGGACAAGGAAAAGCATTATATGCCCCTTCTTTGGGAGAGAGTTGTGCAGCCAGGCAAATTTTTAAACCAAATATATTTTATTTCTGATATTCATTCTGCTCCCCTACCCTAATATAATTCTGTTGTTCAAGGCAACCAACCACAAATTTAATCAATTCAGCTTTATTTATTAAGCTTCTACTATGTGCCAAATACCTAATGATGGGAGAGAAGAGATTAAAGTCAGCCTGCTTGGCTTCAAATAGACCACAGTTGAATATGAAACACAAAAAGTTTAAGTGTCACCCTGTAAATTTGTAAAAGATACTACAGGGGCCAAAAATATGTATCTATCTAGACCTAGCAGCACCAGAAAATATTATGTAGTAATTTTTTAAAAAGAACAGGAAAGAAATTATTTCAAGTAGCTATAAAAGCATCAAGTAGACAGAAAAGAATGAATAAGAAAACATGAAGGGTTTAATAAGGGTCTTTGTAAGAAAGGCTTAAGAGGCAGGCCTCGAGTCAGATGTCAGCCTTTCACAAGTCATGGTAAAGAGATTTTAAGATCACTAGAATATTTTAATGGTTTGGAGAGGACATCTTAAACAAAGAATTTTGATGACATTCAATTCAATTATGACATTGACTAACGTATCAAAAAGATAGTTTTAACTTCAGTGTAGAAGGGGATAAGAGTGAAAAGGGGCTGGGTGCGGTGGCTCACGCCTGTAATCCCAGCACTTTGGGAGGCCGAGGCAGGTAGATAACAAGGTCAGCAGATGGAGACCATTCTGGCCGACATGGTGAAACCCCATCTCTACTAAAAATATAAAAATTAACTAGGCATGATGGCAGGTGCCTGTAATCCCAGCTACTCAGGAGGCTAAGGCAGGAGAATCACTTGAACCCCAGAGACAGAGGTTGCAGTGAGCCAAGATCATGCCACTGCACTCTGCACTCTAGCCTGGGTGACGGAGCAAGACTTCATCTCAAAAAAAAAAAAGAATGAAAACGGAGAAAACATGAAATTGTCAATTTTGGTAACATAAGCAGATGTGGGAGATGAGAGATCACAAAAACTTGAGACTGATTTCCAAGTTTCTCTCTTGAGAAACTGGGAAGATAACGGTGTCTCTGACTGAAATTAGCAATACAGGAAAAGCAGGCTGGGTGCAGTGGCTCACATCTGTAATCCCAGCACTTCTGGGGGCTGAGGAGGGCCAATCACCTAAGGTTAAGAGTTCAAGACCAGCCTAGCCAACATGGTGAAACCCCGTCTCTAATAGATATACAAAAATTAGCCAGGTGTGGTGGTAGGCACCTGTAATCTCAGCTATTTGGGAGGCTGAGGCAGAAGAATCACTTGAACCGAGGAGGCAAAGGTTGCAGTGAGCTGAGCTGGTACCATTTTATTCCAGCCTGGATGACTTAAGCAGCTGTAGGGATAAGACAAGAAATGGGAGACAAAAGAGTAGGGGATGAACTGTTCCATTTTAGATGTAACAAATTTGATATTTTTGAGAGACATTCCAGTAGAATTCCTTAAGGAAGCTGAACTAACAACAAAAAATGTGGATATTATAGATGATATCTAAAGCCACATATGCAGATGAGACATTAAGAAGGTTGGAAAAAAGAGCCTAGAACAAAACAGGGAATGCCAGCATTTTTAGAAAGGGCAATATTCCAGAAAGACTAACAAGTGGCCACAGTGATACACAGAAAAAAAGATGAATATAGAAAAGAAGATGAGTGTACTGACATTTTAGAAATTAAAAAAAAATTTTTTTAATGTTTCAAGAAGTGTGTTCTTCCTATTTCATATTTTTGCATCAAAATACTGTTTTGTTACAAAATAACAATGGTACATACATTGTGTAAAATTCACTTACAAACATATTAACGTTTCTACAAGTCTGCATTAACCTCCACAACCTCTGAATAAATGCAGAAAAGGTTAACACTGATAATGAAAAAGTTATCAAGTAGTTGGTTTCTTCAAAATTTTGTATTAGTGCTATAATATGATTTTGAGCTATCAAAATATATTTATAAATGTATTCCATTGATACTATTCAGCTTAATGTAGGATCTTAGTTTTTCATTAATAGAAATACATATTTTTACAGTAGGAAGTGTGGGAATTATTACCACTTTTCCCCCATGAGTAACATTCTGGAATTAATATATTTATTATTGTATGGGAGAATCAATATGCTATCAATGTTTACATTTTACAATGAGCATGTATTACTTTAATTATAATTTTTAAAAATGCTATTTGACCCTGACAGGGCACCAAATCATTTATGAGCTTTATTTAAATTATGCAAAAATATCACATATTTGGAGAGAAGAATGGAAATAAACACCCAAAATCATCCTTTGGGTCATTACATGGTGTACAAGTTAGGAACAAATGACTTGAAGTCAAAAAGAACTAAACTGAAACCCTCGCTTTGAAACTTCTTGCCTAATTTATAAAGTGGTCATTATGAGGACAACATATATTTTGTGACATCAAATGAAAAGTGTCTGATACACAATTGGTACACAATAAATATTCATTAAATAAATCATTTAATTAAAAAGCTATTTCTGGCTGAGCACAGGGGCTCACGCCTGTAATCCCAGCACTTTGGGAGGCCAAGACAGGTAGATAATGAGATCAGCAGATGGAGACCATCCTGGCTGACATGGTGAAACTCCACCTCTACTAAAAATACAAAAATTAGCCAGGTGTGGAGGTGCGTGCCTGTAGTCCTAGCTACTCAGTAGGCTGAGGCAGGAGAATCACTTGAACCCAGGAGGCAAAGGCTGCAGTGAGCTGAGATTGTGCCATAGCACCCCAGCCTGGGCGACAGAGTGACATTCTGTATCAAAAAAAAAAAGCTATATCTTGTTCAAGCACGGTGGCTCACACCTGTAATCCCAGCACTTTGGGAGGCCAAGGTGGGCAGAACACGAGGTCAAGAGATCGAGACCATCCCGGCCAACATGGTAAAACCCCATCTCTACTAAAAATACAAAAAATTAACTGGGCGCAGTGGCCTGCTCCTGTAGGCCCAGCTACTCGGGAGGTGGAGGCATGAGAATCACTTGAACTCAGGAGGTGGAGGTTGCAATGAGCCAAGATTTCACCACTACACTCAAGCTTGGTGACAGAGCAAGACTCCGTCTCAAAACAAAAAAAAATGAAGGTTATTTCTTATATAAAAACATTATTCAGTGAATGACATACAATTTGAGTTGGAGTAATCAGTTTGCACCAAGAAATCTACATGTTTTATATAATACTCACTATAATCAGTGGCATGCATTTATAGGATATGTAACTTGGAGTCTACAAACTGTGATAGATAGAAGACAGTGTTTCCATGAGAAACAACTGTTTTTCAAATACTCATCTTAGTACACTCAGGCACAAATAGAAGAGCTCAGGCGCAACTAATGACCTACAGGGCCTCAAGGATATTCCTGGATGGAATGAAAATAATATACTTCATAAACCAAAATGCTTCCCATACAAAGAAATTCCAGTTTGACTACCTTTCAAGTATTTTGACAATTTCAAGTGATTTAATACTAGTTTCAATTCAAGAGAAAACTTGGTTATGTGATTATGCAAACAGAGATTAAGTATAAAAATTAGTAGTAAAACTATGCTCAAATATGAAACAAAACAAAAAACACTATCTTCTTAAAATCAAAGACAACAACAATAATAGAAAAATACCTTGCAGTTCTGTAGCAGTCGTATGAGATGTTCAAAGCAATTGCTGTTAAGAAAAATAGCCTGAAGAACAGGTCTATCTGTACAATCCAACATGGCTGTGATGGTATCTAGGAAAATAAAAAGAAAATCATCCATGCAAAAGTGAAAATTTGGGATCATACAAACATTTTTCTTTTTAATTTTTAAAACAATTATGGTGTTCAATATTTTTTAAATGACACTGACATACACAAACACATAAAAGCATTTGTATGCCTCTAGAAACTATATACCAAACCATTAATGTTGGTTATGTCTGTGTGGCAGGATATAAAGAACTTTTCTTTTCACTGAATTTTCCTAGTTTAGCTTTAATGAAAACATTTCATTTCTGTAAGAAACTATCAGTTATTAATATTTTATTTAACCACCTTACATGGGAATACAATAAGAAATCATATTAGTGAGGGAGCTTGCAGAACAGAGAGACAAAGATAAGCAGACTGACAAAACAACACAAAGAGAAGGGAAGAGAAACAAAGACACACACACACACACACACACACACACACACACACACACTGAGGAAAAAAAGAAACAAAAACAGAGGCCCTCTAGAGAAAGGACTTTTTTTTTTTTGACACAGAGTCTTGGTCTTTGCTCTTTCGCCAGGCACAAGGCTGGAGTGCAGTGGCGCGATTTCGGTTCACCACAACCTCCACCTCCCGGCTTCAAGCAAATTATCCTGCCTCAGCCTCCCGAGTAGCTGCGACTACAGGCATGAGCCACCATGCTCAGCTAATTTTTGTATTTTAGTAGAGATGGGGTTTCACTATGTTGGCCAGAATGGTCTTGATCTCTTGATCTTATGATCTGTCCACCTAGGCCTCCTAAAGTGCTGGGATTACAGGCGAGCCACTGCCCCCAGCCGAGAAAGGGCAGATTTTTGAAGTGACTTCTACAGAGATGTTACAGAGGCACATACAAAATTTATTGTATGTGACTCTTTGCCATAGGTTACTACAAATGGTGCTTTCTAAAAATTTACTTTTCCTATAATTTCAAAGTCATAGTTTTCTTTTTAACATTGATGCTTTTAGGAGATTACACTTTCAAAATAATACAGAGACTTGACTTTGTTACTGTTAAAGCAAAGAGGTTGTAAGAAACACATCAATTCTATATAAATTATTTTGAAGTCAAAGTCTAAGCAGCCACATAATATCTGAATTAAATAATCAAGAGTTTCCATAAAATGGCCTTGTATTTCAAAAGAAAGTGGAAGATATGAAAACAAAAAACAGACTTAGAAAAAGTTGTCATTATGTAATACTTACTTAGCATTTTGATCTGTAGAGCAATAAATCGGCTTTCCCACTGTCTGGACCTTCTTTGATTAGGTAAAGCTGAAGGATCTGAATTTAGCAACTTAAAATAGTTCTCCAGAATAGTACTAGTTTCCACTTGACGTTGATCACAGTTGCTACTGAGAAGGATATGTACCACTTGTGTAAGGCACTTCAGAGTTAGTTCTGCCTTCCTACCCACTTCTTCAGGATCTCCATCCTCCCAGGAATCACAATCTGCCAAAACTCGCATAAGAACTTCCATAGTGGCTGGAGAAATTGCTTGCAAAGCATTCCTCTGAAACATTAGAGACAATAAAAATGAAACCTAAACCTAACTGAAGAGAACTCTATGTGTGCAACAATGAGAATTTAATACATCTGCAGGCAACCTTTTCTTTTCTTTTTTTTTTTTGAGACGGAGTTTCGCACTTGTTACCCAGGCTGGAGTGCAATGGCGCGATCTCGGCTCACCGCAACCTCCGCCTCCTGGGTTCAGGCAATTCTCCTGCCTCAGCCTCCTGAGTGGCTGGGATTACAGGCACGCGCCACCATGCCCAGCTAATTTTTTGTATATTTTTTAGTAGAGACGGGCTTTCACCATGTTGACCAGGATGGTCTCGATCTCCTGACCTCGTGATCCACCCACCTCGGCCTCCCAAAGTGCTGGGATTACAGGCTTGAGTCACCGCGCCCGGCCAGGCAATCTTTTCTTTTCTGAGACGGAGTTTTGCTCTTGTTGCCCAGGCTGCAGTACAATGGTGCAATCTTGGCTCACAGCAACCTCTGCCTCCAGGATTCAAGCAATTCTCCTGCCTCAGCCTTCGAAGTAGCTTGTTTTACAGGTACGTGCCACCACGCCCAGCTAATTTTTGTATTATAAGTAGAGATGGGGTTTCTCCATGTTGGTCAGGCTGGTCTTGAACTTCCAACCTCTGGTGATCTGCCCACCTCGACCTCTCAAAGTGCTGTATTACAGGTGTCAGCCACTGTGCCTGGCCAATCCTTTCTTTTAATAAATAAACACATAAAAATTTGTAACAGATACTCTGATAGACACTGCTACTGGTTCATATATATTAAATCCTTCCTCTTAGAAAACTTACTTCTGAGAGGAAGAAAAGGGTAGCCAGCTAAGGGTAGCCATGTGACATAGTTTTGGTCAAGGATATTTGGAAGTAGACTACAAAGAGGGTATCACTTTACAAATAAAAAGGGAAGGACCCTTTGCCCTTGGTCCTTTTACTTTTCCTGCCTAGAATATGGACATAATGCTTAGAGCCACCTTTATATCATGAAGCGATAAGTCCAAGATTAAAGTAGCAGGGTACAGAAAGAACAGGAATATCAAAGGACCTCAGTCTTTGATGTTCTCACTGAGCTGCTCTACCAGGCGAGAACTGCCTAAACCTGGAGTTCTTAGGCAAAATCAAACAAATAAAAAACAACGTCAAATTGGTTAAGTCTCACTCAGGTTTCCAGGTTGGTTACAGAAAATTCATCACAACTGATTTAAACATATAAGATGACTGGTTTGGTTTTGATTCTACAAACATGTTTCTCAAACTCCATGCACTAAGTAATTGGTAGCTATATGTCAAGGTGACCAGTAAAACACGGAAATCAATTCATCTAAATGTCCTCATACTAATGCCATATTCAACAAACAACTTTCTAACTTTGATATAAATCCCACTGTAACTATGCCTGGATAACAAGGATTTTTAGTATATAAAGTAATAAATTGGACTTCCAATATCTACTTGATTTCAGTGTTAGGTTTCATTATGGAGGTCTCTTGGGGCTTGACTACCCCGAGGCACTAACAAGAACAAGTATCTGTGTTTTCAAAAAGAGAAGGAGATCCAATCAACTTCTACACTGGTCATAACAATGCCACTTCCATTTTCATACACTTTTTAAGTGTAGTAAAGAAATTATAGAAATGGGGAGATAATGACCCAAAAGAAGGAAATCAGCTAATACTGAAACATGATTAAGGACACTTAAACTGGAAAATAAGATTCTGGTCACCACCTGTCTCACTACAAGGAGACTCTTTTCTTCTACTAGAGTGAAAAGGAGAAGGTCACACAGTCCACCAAAAAACCTAACTAGCAACTCTGGCAAGGTACCAAAAAAAGGACAGGACAAACAAAAAGAGAAGGAAATTTCAGTAGTGCTCTGGAGGCTAACAAGGTACAAAGGTAAAAATGAATAAAAAAATTTTTTTAAAAAGGCCATTGAGCATAAGGGCCATTCAATGAAAACAAAAATGATAATACAGAGGGAAAACAAAACAGAGCAAAAACAAGGAGGACAAGGGAATTGCATCAGTACCAACAGATCAGAAACTCTTAAACTCATAATGGTATTTAAAAAATTAATACTCAATAAAATATCTAAATTTGATATATTAAATTAAAAAGAAATCCCCAAAATACATAAAGTCAACTTTTATGAAGTTCACTTGAGAAACAAAAACTATACTCTCTCAAATCTCCAAACAGAATAAGAAATGATAAATTATCACACAAATAACTGCTTACTGCTAGAAGATTAAAAGTTCTAGCAGAATAAGAAATGATAAATTATCACAAAAATAACTGCTTACTGCTAGAAGATTAAAAGTTCCCTACAGCTATAAGCTAAAGAGCCTTATAAAAGGCTCTTGAACTCAAATAAATATCTAAGCATTAATCTTCATGATGTCTTCCTGGAGGTAGACAAGAATTTCCTCCTAATGCCCCAAATAATAAGGTAACATACCTAGAGTATTATTGGCATAATTTTGTATCTTTAAATAAAATTTACTTACGTTTTTAAAAATACAGGTTTCTAAGTTTTTAAAATAATAATATGTAATTTATTACAACAATATTAACAACATAGTACACTGATGTTAGTAAGAGAATGTTTAATGTCAAAGAAAACACTGATACTTAAAAAAGAGAAAATAGGAACTTTCAACCTAAGAGAAAGCAACAGAGGGATAGAGGGGAGGGAATTAAGGAGATCTGTAAACACGGATGGGAAAAACTAGATATCTTAATTTCTTATAATCTCTAAAATTGAGTATTTCCTTGAAATTTAAATGTAAGTAACAAAAGCACAGTAGTATAAATAATACTTGTGATTTTGTTGGCCTGGCATAGTGACTCACACCTATAATCCCAGCACTTTGGGAGTCTTAAGTAGGCAGGTTGCTTGAGTCAGGGATTCGTGATCAACCTGGGCAGCATGGCAAAACAGTGTCTTTACAAAAAATACAAAAATTATCCGGGTGTGGTGGCATGCACCTGTAGTCCTTAGGAGGCTGAAGTGGGAGAACTGACTGAGCCCAGGAGGTCAAGGTTGCAGTGAGCCATGATAGAGCCACTGCATTCCACTCTGGGCAGCAGAACAAAACCCTGTCTCAAAACAAAACAAACTTGATTTTGTCACCAGTAAAAATCATATGCATTTTCATTTATTATAGCTGTTACAGTCTCTCAAAATATAATTTATGTTCATTTCTTCTTGAAAATTACATTAGTTTCTAGATTTGCTGTTATAACTTTTTTATTTAATTTATTATAAAGAAGCACAAGTGGACAAAGGATATAGACAGACTCTTTTCAAATGAAGACATTTATGTGGCCAACAAACATATGAAAAAAAGCTGATCATCACTGGTCATTAGAAAAATACAAATCAAAACCACAATGATATACTATCACATGCCAGTTAGAAAGATCATCAAAAAGTCAGAAAACAACAGATGTTGGAGAGGATATAGAGAAATAGGAACACTTTTATACTATTGGGGGGAGCATAAATTAATTCAACCATTGTGGAAGACAGTGTGGCAATTCCTAAAGGATCTAGAATGAGAAATACCATTTGACCCAGCAATCCCATTACTGGGTGTGTAGCCAAAGGATTATAAATCATTCTACTATAAAGACACATGCACACGTATGTTTACTGCAGTACTATTCACAATAGCAAAGACTTGGAACCAACTCAAATGCCCATCAATGATAGACTATGTTAAGAAAATGTAGCACATACACCATGGAATACTATGCAACCATATAAAAGGATGAGTTCATGTCCTTTGCAGGGACATGGATGAAGCTGGAAACCATCATTCTCAGCAAACTAACACAGGAACAGAAAACCAAACACTGCAGGTTCTCATTCTTAAGTGGGAGCTGAACAATGAGAATACATGGACATGGGGAGGGGAACATCACACACCCAGCCTGTCCGGGGATTGTGGGGCTAGGGGAGGGATAGCATTAGAAGAAATACCTAATGTAGATGACGGGTTGACGGGTGCAGCAAACCACCATGGCATGCGTATACCTATGTAACAAACCTGCACGTTCTGCACATGTATCCCAGAACTTAAAGTATAATCAAAAAAATGCAAGGAAAAAAAAGCACATATTACTATGTCAAAGATTTGTTTTATTAATATTTTAGTAACTGCATTTCAGTTTAATTGGTTTCCTTTATTTCAGGCATTTAAAAACATTCTGACAAAGGGCTTTATCAGATTGCCAAAGGGATGTATGGTATAAAAAGTACAGAAAGTGTTAGGAACCTCTGATCTAAATTCTGTGGTTTAAGAAAACATACGTATAAGAAGGCACTTTCTGAACTATGATCCTTTTGTCAACTAGAATTTATATTCAAAGTTTATGACAGTGGTTAGGCATAGGGGGCTCATGCCTGTAATTCCAGCACTTTAGGAGGCCGATGTGGGCAGATCGCTTGAGCCCAGCAGTTCAAGATCAGCCTGGGCCACATGGCAAAAATGTTGTGTCTACTAAAAATAAAAAAATTAGCTGGGCATGGTGGTGTGTGCCTGTAGTCCCAACTACTAGGGAGGCTGAAGGGGGAGATTACTTGAACCTGGGAGGCAGAGGTGGCAGTGAGCCAATGATTGTGACTCTGCACTCCAGCCTAGGTAACACAGCAAGACCCCATTTCAAAAAACAAAAACCAAAAAGTTTATAACAGTACTTAGATGCTTACCTTAAAAAAAATACTAGAAATTCTTTTTTGTAAATTTTAAAACACTAGAGTTTTGGGGGAAAAAAAAAAACCCATAAACTTACATAGATGCGTTTAGTATTATAGGTACACAGAAGAGTGAATAAATTCCTGTCTTTAGAAACAAAACTACTAGAGTTTGATTTCATCAAGTGAACTGATAAGGTTGCTTTCCTCTGTCATCTGAAATAAAAACTAGTATCTGAAAGCTAACATAAATAAAAATTTACAATACCAAAAATCGTTAAATTTGCTTATTTATTCAGTAATTTTATTGTCAGTGCTAAACATTACTTAGGTTTTTTGGAAAATAAAAGTAGATTCGTTTAAAACAATATATAAATTCAATATTTGTATGGTGAATTAAATTATAAAAAGACAAAGAATACACTAAATAATCCATGGAAAGCTTTTTGTGCTGTTAATTATAATTTTATTCACTAAATTTCAACATTTTTCTTACCTGCCCACCAGCTACAATGGCTCCAAAGAGATGCAATAAGCAACACTTAAGACTCTCCTTGAGATGTTCACTTTCCTGAAAACATTCTGTAAATATATTACACACATAAATAAATAACATTTTCTTTGACAATATGATTTATCTCTAAGGAATGTGTGATACAAACATGAACTATTTGTGAAAAGGCTAATCTGTGTTAAAAGGCAATGTGTTGATATGCATTTTGTCTTAGGAAAAGAGAAGCCATCTACCAGATAGCATTTTAGGTATTTATGTCATCTCATTTAGTTCTCATAATTCTCCATATAAGGATGATATTTGGCCCCCATTTATAAATGAGAAAAAGGAAGTTCAGAAGTTAATATCTTGGCTCAAGTCACATGGCTACTGACAGGGCTACAAACTAACCCAAACTGGCATAAAATTAGATGTCTCTCTTTTTTTTTTTCTTTGAAATGGAGTCTCACTCTATTGCCCAAGGTAGAGTGTAACGGAGCAATTTTGGCTCACTGCAACCTCTGTCTCCCAGGTTCAAGTGATTCTCCTGCCTCAGCCACTGGAATAACTGGGATTATAGGCACCTGCTACCACACCTGGCTAATTTTTGTATTTTTAGTAGAGATGACATTTCGCCATGTTGGCCAGGCTGGTCTCGGACTCTTGACCTCAGGTGATCCACCCACCTTGGCCTCCCAAAGTCCTGGGATTACAGTCGTTAACCACCGCCCCCGGCCTAGATGTCTCTTTACTAAGACTATTACCTCTCATTAGTAAAAACTGACCATAACTAGTCAACTATAAAATGAATGAGTTGGACTAATATATTCAGAGCCAATATTCTAAAATTCTGGTACTAATAGTAACCTTTCCTTTAACATTAGAAATTATTGTATTGTTGTATTGTTTTTAAAAAGGCTATACATGCACATGACAACAAAAAAACAGCATAAAATAACTGACAAGGAAAAGTAAGTCTCCCTTTGACCTATTCCTCAACCCACTGACACTACTACTGCTTGCACACCTGTAATTCCAGCACTTTGGGAGGCTGAGGTGGGTGGATCACCTGAGGTCAGGACACTCTCCAAACATTTGCAGGTTAAACAACATATTCCTTTTCATTTTATTAACTTAATCTTTTTTAATTGACAAATACAAGTTGCATATATTTATGGTGAACAACAGGGTATTTTGAATGTATACATTACGGCTAAATCAAGCTAATTAACATATATACTACCTCACATACTTAACTTTTTTTGTGGTGAGCTCTCTCTTAGCTGTCTGCTTAGCAATTTTTAAGTATACAATGCATTGTTACTAACTACAGTCACAATGTTATGTAGTAGCTCTCTTGAATTTATTCTTCCTAACAGAAATTTTGTATCCTTTGAGTGACATTTCCCCAATTTGAAAATATTTTAAACCAAAAGAACAAAAAATTGTTTTAATTTAACAAAATTAAACATATCAAAGTCTGTAGGGCACAACTAAAGTAATGATTCACGTTCATTCTAGAAAAGGTCTAAATAAATATCTAATTAAAGATTGAACTTTTACTCTAAGAAGCTAGAAAAAGAAGAGCAATTAAGAGGGAGTTAATATTAAATAGAAAAAATAATGAAAAAGGAAATGAATAAACAATAGAGGAAAATCAGTGAAATCAAAAGCTAGTTCAATGAAAAGATCAACATAATTTTTTAAGAGACAGGGCCTCACTATGTTGCCCAGGCTGAAGTGTAGTGGCTATTCACAGGTGCAATTCATAGTTTACTACATCTCTAAACCCCTGGGCTAAGTGGTCCTCCCACCTCAGTCTCTAAAGTAGCCAGGACTGCAGGCATGTGCCAGGATCAATATAATTTAAAAACCTCTAGCTAGACCCATCAAGAAAAAAGAAGAGAGAAAAATGTAAATTATCAATGTCAGGAATGAAAGAGGAGACATCAATCTAGAGTCCATAGATTTAAAAAGGATACATGAAGAAATAATATGAACAACTTTATGCCAATAAATTCAACACAGATGAAAAACAAATTCCTTGAAAGACATGCATTACAAAAATGAACACAAGAAAAAATAATCTGAGTAGCCCTTTATCTAGAAAATAAATCTACTCCATAATTTAAAACCTTTTCACATTAGGAACAATAGCACATGCCTATAGTCTCAGCTACTCAGGAGGCTGAGGTGGGAGGATCACTTGAGCCCAGGAATTTGAGACCAGCCTGGGCAAAACAACAAGGTTATGTCTCAATGAAAAACAAAACAAAAACTTTCCACAAAGTAATCTCCAGGTCCAGATTTGCTGGTGAATGTTAAGAAAATCATAATAGCATTGTCAAACCAACTCTCACAGAAAATAGAGGAAAAGAGAACCCTAACTCATGTAATATGACCAGTATTGTTGTTTGAGCCACCAAATCAATAGTATTTTGTTATACCAGCCCAAACAGATTAAGATAGATTTTGGTACAAAGAAGTAGAGTGCTTCTATAACAAAGACCTAAGAATACAGATGCAGCTTTAGAACTGGGTAATGGGTAGAAGCTGGAAGAGTTGTGAGGTACATGCTAGAAATATGGACCTTAAGGGCAATTCCGGTGAGCTCTCAAACATAAATAGGGAGTATGTTAGTTATTGAGAACTAGTAGAAAGGTGATCCTTATTATAAAGTGGCAAAGAACTTGGCTGAACTGTGTTCTAGTGTTTTGTGGAAGGCAGAACTTGCAGCAAGCAATGAAACTGGATATTTAGCTAAGATGATTTCTAAACAAATTATTGAAGGAGTAGCTTGATTTACTGCTTATAGTAAAATGAGGAGAGAAATAAACTGAAGAAACTGTTAAGCCCAAAAGAACCAGAAGTTGAAGATTTAGAAAATTCTCAGCCTATCCAAATTACAAAAAACAAACACAAAAAGCTTGTTCTGAAGAAAATACTGAGGATATGACTGAAACACACCATGGGTATAACTAGTGAACCTAATTAGCCAGCTCAGTGAAGCCAGGAATGGATATGGGATTATACCAGAAAAGACACTACCATTCTGAACTAAAGGGGACAGAGAAAGTGGGAAGGAATGAAGGTAGACTATTGGACTTCTTGGATTCCATAGACCAGACCATAAAGCTATTCAGTTTGAATGTGTGATAAAAATAACTCCAAAAGCAATTCAGAGATCATGAGGGCTGCCCCTCCCACCAAAGATCCAGGAGGCAAGGCTGTATCCTCTTCCTTGGTTTCAAAGGGCAGGACCACAGGTCAGGTTTCTGTGGGCCAGTATGACCTACCCAGTGCCTCAAGGGTGGGGCTGCCCTCACAGATGGTGTTATGGGTGGGGCCCTTGCAGAGAGCTGGGGTGGGTGGGTGACACTAGCCCCCCAGTGGCCATGGAGAGTAGAGTATCAAACCAAAGTGGACTACTCTCAAGTTTTAATGCCCAAGAGAATTTACCTTAATAGGTTTTAGGCTTACCTGAGACTTGTTATCCCTTTATTCCTTCCTCTATCTCCCTTTTAGAATAGGAATGTGTATCTTACACCTGTTTCAACATTGTATTCTGGCTACATAACTCACCCATTTTCAGAGGATTGCAGCTGGAGAGGGATTTCAACTCAGGAATAATTTAACTTCAGTCTCACCAGTATCAGATTTAGATATTTAGATAAGATTTTGAACTTTACACTTATGGAGTTGATGTGAGAATGAGTTAAGACATTTGGGGCTGTTAGGATGAAAAGAATGTATTCTGTATGTAATAAGTTCATGAATGGGTGTGGAGCAAGGAAAGGGTGGTATAGAGTGAACTGTGTACCCCCAAAATTAATATGTGGAAGCCCTAACACCCCACCCCCATGTGACTGTATTGCAGATAGGGTCTTAAAGAGGTGATTTAAATTCAATGAGGTCATAAAAGTAGAGCCTTGATCAAAGAGAACAGGTGCCCTTGTAAGAGAAAGAGACAACAGTCTTTTTCCAATATGTGAGGACACAGCAAGAAGGTTACTATCTGCAAGCCACAAAGAGAAATCTCCCTAGAAAATAAACCCTGCTAGACTTTCCAGCCTCCATAACTGTGAGAAATAAATTTCTGTTATTTAAGCCACCCAGTGTATAGTATTTTGTTATGATAATCCAAGCTACGACAAAAACCATACAAGATATATAAAGGAAAAAATCCTAGAAACCCTTATCATCCTTGAAGAGAGATACAAAACTTTTAAACAAAATATTAGCCAATCAAATGTAGTATTACATAAAAATGATAACATACTATAATCCTAGCACTTTGGAAGGCTGAGGAAGGAGGAACACTGGAGGCCAGGAGTTCAAGACCAGCCTGGAGGTAACATAGCAAGACCCGTATCTACAAAAACATTTTGCTAGCCAGTTGATATGGTTTGGATCTATGTCCCCACCCAAATCTCATGTTCAACTGTAATCCCCAGTGTTGGAGTGGGACCTGGTGGGAAGTGACTGGATCATGGGGTCGGATCCCTCATAAATGGTTTAGTATAGTCCCTTTGGTGCTGTTTTCATGACAGAGTTCTCACGAGATCTGGTCATTTAAAAGTGTGTAACACCTCCCCACTTTCTCACACTTGTTCCTGTTCCTGCTTCACCTTCTGCCATGAATAAGAGCTCCAGAAGCAGAGGCTATCCTGCTTCCTGTACAGCCTCCAGAACCATTAACCAATTAAACCTCTTTCCTTTATAAATTACCCCAGTCTCAGGTATTACTTTATGGCAGTGTGGAAATAAACTAATACACTGAGTATGATGGTGCATGCCTGTAATCCCAGCCACTCAGGAGACTGAGGCAGGAAAATCACTTGAGCCCAGGAGTTTCAGGCTATATAGTAAGCTATGATTATACCATAGCACTCCAGATTGAACAACAGAGCAACACCCTGTTTCTCAAAAAAAAAAAAAGAAAAGAAAAGACAAAGAAAATTTAATATAATTATATAATCACAACCAAAGGTAGTTTAGGCCAGAAATATGATGTTAGTTTTATATTTGAAAATCAATCTAAGTATTTTACCAATTAACAAGCACCTCAAATAGATGAAGTAAAAATACACTTTAAAAAAAGTCAATGTCCATTCAATAATAAAAACTATTGGCAAATTAGGGTTAAAATAAGATTTCCTCTACTTAATAAAGGGCATCTATTTTAAAAACAAACAGCTAATATTGTATTTAATGGTGAAAGACTGAATTGTTCCCTTCCACATGTGAGAACAAGGATATAAAAATCAATATGTAAAAACAAATTATATTTCTAAATACTAGTTTTAAAAATGAAATATACAATTTAAAATAAATCAGGCTGGGCATGGTGGCTCTTACATGTAATCCCAATACTTTGAGAGGCTGAGATAGGAAGATCACTTGAGGCCAGGAGTCTGAGACCAGCCTAGACAACATAGTGAGACTTTGTCTCCATTAAAAATTTTTTTTTAATTAGCCAGGAATGGTGGCATATGCCACCATAGTTCTATATATTTGGGAGGCTGAGGTAAGAGGACCACTTAAGCTCACAAGTTAGAGGTTATATAGTGAGCTATGACTGTACTACTGCACTCCAGTCTGGGCAACTGAATGAGACCCCAACTCTCCCAAAAAATGAGTAAATCATTTACAAAGCATATAAAATATATAATACTTTGGGATAAATTAACAAAATATGTGCACAATCTATACATACAAGAGACAAAGGCTTCTATGTGATACTTTACTTCTAAGCCAAGTGGCTCCCTGATACACCAATTTGACTTTTTAACTTCACTGAGAGGACCAAAGAATAGTCCTTGGATGGCTGTGAGGACTCCTGCTGACTAGAAACACCTTTACTGTTCTACTGGCATGTTGGGTTTCCTGTCCTGTATTTTTTAAGTGAGGCCAGTTTCCAGAGATGGTCTATTGTGGAGCTTCATTACCTAGCTAAAGCCAGTATCACTACTGGTGGTCAAGCAGATTCAGCAATGTAGTCATCTTCAGCAAGCAAACAAAGGACTATTTCTGTCTTGCTTCATTTCACAGAGAAAAGAAAGAACTGAAGCAAATATGGCAAAATGTTAAGTGACAAATTTGAACAGGAAATACATAGGCAAGAAACAACATTCCTTTTATATTCTGCAAACTACTCTGTGTTTTTGAAAGATGGCATATATAAGTCACATATACAGTGGCTAACTCTCTCAAGTTTCCTATTTTCAGTATAAATTCTGAAGTTCTCAAATATGCCACCATTGGCTGCGTGCAGTAGCTCACACCTGTAATCCTAGCACTTTGGGAGGCTGAGGCGGGAGGATCACCCAAGGTCAGAAGTTCAAGACCAGCCTGGCCAACATGTCAAAACCCCACCTCTACAAAAAATTACAAAAATTAGTGAGGTGTGGTGGCCCACATCTATAACTCCAGCTATCTGGGAGGCTGAGGCAGAAGAATTGCTAGAACCCAAGAGGTGGAGGTTGTGGTGAGCCAAGATCATACCACTACACTCCAGCCTGGGTAACAGAGCAAGACTTCATCTCAAAAATGAAATAAAATAAACTACTATCATTAAAATATTCAGCTATTCTCAAAAAAGAAAAAACACTTTGAGAACAGCAAATTAAATAAAACCATGTACAATAATTGCAGCCAAACACAAATCATGTAACTTACTCCAGTGACATGTTCTTACAACTTTTATTTTATAAATTCACAAAACTGAATCAATATCAGAATCAGAGTAAGAATAAAAAGTAATCAGAATAAGACGATAATCATAGCAAGAGAAATTAGAGGTGTTACTTACGATAAAAGAAAGGAACGAATTCCACTGTGAGAGAAGCTGGTTTATATTTCTGTCTGCTCTTTTCCACAGTACTAAGGATTCGTCTATCATTAAAAAGAAGTTAATAATAAATTACAACATGGGCAAGCAGAAATGGTACAATTACAAAACAATTACAAAACAAATTTAGTATTTTACTTTAGATTTGTGTCTTGAACTATGTATCTGTAGGATTGGCATAATCTTGAAAAGGAAGTCTAGCCAATAACTTAAATGTTCATCAATTAAAAGATTTATTTTTTTGAATTATGCAACATGGTAGCTAGGTTAAATCTCCAAATGACTAGAAAATAAACAAGAAACCAGCTCTTAAAATTTCCAATCTGTAAAAGAATTTGTTCAGCAGTAACGCTCAACTGAAAACTCAGACAAATAGCATATTATTAAAGTTGAAATTTTTCAGAAATCCAGGCTACACTGCCACTTTCTGAAACTTTGTAATAATAGATAATGAGGCCACATTAGCTTCTTTCATCTTGAGAATACAGATCCAGTATGGGCTGGAATTACTTTTGTTTTTAATGACAATTCTAGTAGTTTTGATGTATGTCATTTTTCTGCAGGTTTTGATAAAGCCAATACAAATTGCATGTGCTTTTATCAAGAACATTTCAATTCAATACAAAATGAATCTCTTAGATGGGCACAGTGGTGTGGAGATTGGAGAATAAACAGTAGTATAATGATGATACAGCCAACTGGTAGATGGTAAATTTATAAAAATCAGAGACATTTTTTCATTCCCTGAAAAAGCATTTAAAATTACTACATAAAGCTAACAAAAATAAAATATCTAAAGGACAGCCACATAGAAATTCTGTACATCTAAATATAATCTACTGATAAAGCACTGGTCTAAGATGCTTTCTTCTTAATGACCGTAACTGAGCTATTGAAACTACTTTCCTCATAATTATTTCAAAGCTAAGAAGAAATGTCAACTGACCATAGAACAAACCACATAGGATAAGCATAGCTAGACTCACTGATAGCAGAATAAAGAGTTCTAAGATCTGGATCTACCAGCCAGATTCATTAGAAATCATATTAGACCTCATTTGCTACTGCACTGCTTTCCAAATCTATGCCTATTTCCAGTGTGTGGAAGGCACAACAATGATTACGCCAGCTGTATTTATTTTAATTTTAAACATAACATGTTAGAACATTAATAATCTTCCTATTTAATTAATACATTATCAAAGATTTTCATGTCTTTGTAACAATACAAAATTCACTGGAGTTTCAAATTAAAAATTCAGTCATGTAGTAGAAAAATTAAGTTTAAAAGGATAAAATTTCCCTTCATTCTGAGTTGATAAATATTTTAAATTTTTTTAAAAAAAGGATAAATTTAATTTAGCTTTCAGTTAGGTTTTTCCATGAGATTATTTCCATTTTGTGCATCCTTTATAAATTATGGTATTAACTAATAGATTGCTTATATCCTATCTGAACAACCTGTGCTACAAACAAGCATCCTCACCTGATTAACATAATAAAAATGCACTTCTACAATTTGTGATCAATGACTCATTCTAAAGTCCCTGTATTAGATATAACAAATGAACATAATTTCCAATATATTTGTAATAAAAGTTTAATATGCTAACATAAACAAAAGGGGTGAGAACTATTACATATATTAGAACATAAAAATTAAAGCACAATAGTTTGCACTGCATGTTTTCAATAAGTTAAGTTTGTAGAGCTAAAAATGAACTTTAGTCTCACATCATTTGTAGAATATAGCATAGTTAATTGCTCCATTATTATTTGATATCTGGGCCAAGCATCTAGCATTTAGCAGATGCTACACATAAACTGGCTTCTGAGAGAGATGTAAAACACTTCTTTGCATCTCAGTTTTCTATGTTCTTGGTTGATTTAACCATGCTTCTTTTTTGTACTCACATCATGCCTAGGACATAATTCTTCTTTTTTTTTTTTTTGAGACTAAGTCTCACTCTGTCGCCCAGGGTGGAGTATAGTGGAGCCATCTCAGCTCACTGCAACCTCCACCTCCCAGGTTCAAGTGATTCTCCTGCCTTAGCCTTCCAAGTAGCTGGGATTACAGGCACCTGCCACCAAGCCCAGCTAATTTTTCTATTTTTAGTGAAGATGGGGTTTCACTGTGTTGGCCAGGCTGGTCTTGAACTCCTGACCTCATGATCTGCCCACCTCAGCCTCCCAAGGTGCTGGGATTACAAGCATGAGCCACTACACCTAGCCCTTACTTTTTAATTTTAAATTTTATTTGGAAAAAGCTCAAGTTCTGGCAAAAGTTACAACAATAAGAATAGAACAAATAACATCAAATAGAGTTTATCCAAGTTCACTGTTAACCCTTTATCCTGAATTTTTTCTTTTAGAGACAGGGTCTTGCTCTATTGACCAGACTGGAGTGAAGTGGTGCTATCCTAGCTCACTGCAACCTCTAACTCCTGGGCTCAAACAATCTTCCACCTCAGCCTCCTGTGAATCTAGGACCAAAGGCATAAGCCACCACACCCAACTAATTTTTTAAAAATTTTTTTGTGAAAATGAAGATTTTATGTTGCCCAGGTTGGTCTCAAACTCCTGGGTTTAAGTGATCCTCCTACCTCAGCCTCCCTAAGTATTAGGATTGCAGGTATGAGCCACTGAGCCAGCCTCCTAAATTTTTATCATTTGCTTACTTTCTCCATATATATATATAAATAGATATTTATATATACATATAGTCACACATAAAATTTTCCAGAACATTTAAGGGGAAATTACATATATCACGGCTCTTCATCTCTTAATATCTTAGTGAATATTTACTAATAGGGATACAGTCTTACATAATACCACAGTTTGGTTATAAACTTTAATAAATTTAATGCTGATACTATACTTCTGTGTAATCTATCAACCATATTCCAGTTTTGTCAGTTCACCCAATAATATCCTTTGTAAGCATTTCCTCCTTCCAATACAGCTTCCAGGCCAGGGTAAGGTATTGCATTTAGTATCTCTTTAGCCTCTTAATATGAAACATTTCCATAACCCCTGTTTGTGACATTTTTAAAGGAGGTTGTCCTCCAGCCCTCCTTTTTTAAAATTAGAATGCTCTTTATTTTGGTTTTGCTTGCTGTTTTCTTACAATTAGATTCAGACTATGCATGCTTGGGTAGAATAACATGTAAGCAATGATGCGGCCTTCTTGGGGTTATCACATGTGGAGCACATGATGCCCGTCTACTTCTTACTAATGATCAGTTAATTTTGATCATTCAACCAACTGGATTATTTGGTCCAGTACTGTCCAAAATCATTACTAATTTTTTAATTACAAGTAATAAGTAATTGTGGGGAGACAATTTAAAACCACACATGTCTGGGCACAGTGGCTCACACCTGTAATCCTAGCACTTTGGGAGACTGAGATGGGTGGATCACCTGAGGTCAGCAGTTCAAGACCAGTCTGGCCAACATGGTGAAACCCTGTCTCTACCAAAAGTAAAAAAATAGTCAGGTGTGGTGGTGCGCACCTGTAATCCCAGCTACTCGAAAGGCTGAGGCATGAGAATTGTTTAAACCCGGGAGGCAGAGGTTGCAGTATGCCGAGATCACAGTACTGCACTTCAGCCTGGGTGACAGAGCAAGATTCTGTCTCAAAAAACCACCACCACCACCGAAAAAACAAACCAAAACCATACACACACCATGCTCCCAAACAAAACTTCCCCTTGGGTTTAACATCCATTAATGATTCTTGCCTGATTCAATCTTACTACAATGTGTGCAAAATGTTTTGTTTTGTTTTTTCCCCAACTCCAGCATCCCCTCTATAATTGGCAGTTGGGATTTTACTGTAAGCAAGACCCTTCACTTCTCTCTTTATCCATCTATCCATCCATCCATCCATCCATCCATCCATCCATCCATCCATCAATCACTGGTATGAACTCATAAATTTTCTTCCTAAATGGTTAAATAATTCATTACTGTAATTATTTAGTGCATATATTATCCCAGATTTGACAAGTAGGAGGCACAGGGCATACCTTAATATAAATTATTTTTTTCAGTGAAAGCAATGAATCCTACTAAATTTGCACTAGTCACAAAGTAGAAACTCAAAAGTATATTTCTGAATAAATGGTTAAATGAACGAACTAGTCATATTGAAGGAAGACTTTTCTCTTTTCCTTCTTCTTTCCTCTTTCCTCCTCCTCCTCTCACTCTCTTCTTCCTTTCCTCCCTTTTTCCTTTTTCCGTTCCTTTCTCCTTTCTCCTCTCCTTTCCTCCTTTCCTCCCTCTCTCCCCCGTCTCCCTTCCTCTCTTTCAAGTTTTGCTTTCACCCAGGCTGTAATGCAATGGTGTCATCATAGCTCACTGCAGGCTTCAACTTGTGGGCTCAAGTGATCCTCTCATCTCAGCCTCCCAAATATTTGGAACTACAGGCACACATCATCACACCTGGATAATTTTTTCTTTTTTCTAGATGGAGTCTTACACTCCTGGCCTCAACAAATCCTCCTGCCTTGGTCTCCCAAAGGGCTGGCATTACAGGTGTGAGCCACCATGTCTAACTGATTTATTTCCCTATACTTATTTTAGTTCCACTTGAGGAAATCTTCCTAAGTTTATGAGATTATGTAAGTAGAATCAAAATTGAGATACCAGATTAATCAAATCTACAAAAAGTATCGATTTGTTTTCATCAAACAAGAAAATAAATAGTTTTAAATGGCTCTGTATTTGGAATTATGTTAATTTTAATTAAATCTATTCTAATCTGGTTTAGCTATTTTGGTAAGCAATAAACACAAACAGTGAATAAGAAAATTTGTATCTTCCAGATTTCCATTTAATTTCAGAATCAGATTAATAAATAAGGTATAAACTATTGCTGTAGATCCCTTTGTATAGTCTTCCATGAGCAATAGATTTCTCCTAATTCCATTTTTTAACCTCCCTGTCGAAGTGAAAGAAACCCAAGTCTGAATTCCCTGCTTTATCATTTATCTTTGAAGCAGTACTTACATAACTGGCAAGACTGTTGTGCATATTA